GTTTTATAAACCATCGATTCAAGTTAAGAACGCTTTCCATTTCATTGGTAATTTAAAATGTTTTACAAATAATAAATAAATTTAAAAAAAAAAACACTCTATAAGTGTATACTCAATTAACAAGGGTATAAATTGGTTGCTAAATTAAACGATCGTTTCTCTCACCATAATGATACTCCTACAAAATTCTCTTTGTTCAAGTCAGCCTGTATCTATGTGTGTTTATATTTGTGTATATGTGTGTGTGTGTTTGTATGAGAGCTTACGAAGAAAGAGATGTAAACCATTTTTAGAAAGTAGTTTTGATCAAGTCTTAAAATATAATAAAAAATAAAATATACATACATACATATACAATATGAAAATTAAAAATAATAATTTAAAAATCCAAGGCCTCTTACTATCTAACTCTTACTACTAACTTAACTTAACTTGTCTTATGGCGTACTTTTCTGTTCAAGACGCCTGAAATGAATTTGTAGCTAGATGTTATAAAGTCTGTGCTTTACTTATGAATTTGTTTCTTTCATTTGGCAATTTCATTTTAGGTACCGAGAATGTTGATGTTGCAATACAGCAAACATGGCGAATGTATTCTTAAAGAAATTGGAGCTGCATTTCGTGGAGAACATCCCGCTGATTTGACAATTGTCTGTGAGAACAAAGTGAAATTACACGCTCACAAATTGGTTTTGGCAGCAGCAAGTCCCTTGATAAGGTAATTTAAAACTTTAACAATGTCCATATTACAATTTAATTCTAAAATGTTTCTTTTATTCTTTGTATATTTTTTAAGAAATCTTCTGGAAGATACTCAACTATATGACTGTATGACGACAGTGTATTTCCCGGATGTAAATGCCACATACTTCAAATTCTTATTGGACTTTTTGTACTCCGGCCAGACCTGCATTACATCACGGGATGTCAATTATTTGCACGATCTGCTCCTGTTGCTACAGATCAAATCGGATAACTGGAAGACAACTGATACGACATTGGCTGGCAGTGGTAGTGGCGGCACCGGTACCTGTTCAGATAGCGCAAGTAATCAAATAAATTCGAATAGAAAGCTTTCGGATTCAGTCGAAAGTCCCGAATGTGAAAAGAAACTTAAAAGTGAAAATTGCAGCGACATAAAAAAGAGCCCTCCATCATCATCCAGCTCCGAGAAAAACATTTCCGAAGAAAATGAAGACGACAACTTGAACATTGACAGCGACAGCACAGCAGATTTGAATAAAAATAAAGATACAAATGACATAGACAGCCTTTCAGATGCAAATAACATTAGTGGCCTGAATCCGGTTAATTTATCGTTGGGTATACGCACAAAATCAGAGCACAGTATGAAAAATATATTCCGTGGCAAAAGCAGCTATTCACCAGACTATGATTCTCTCAATATAATGGAAAGCGCCAAGCGCAAAACACTTTTCTCCGACTCAGCCAAGGATTGTCTTAAACCACTTTCAGATCATGGAGACCTGAACAGTTCGCCGGACAATTACGTTGTCACGCCACATCGAAAACGGCGACCCGGTTTCCATTCCTCGCCCAGCCACAAGCCTTTCGTATCGTATCAACAAAATCTGCTTGATGAATTCCGCTCAGCTAAATCGTCCCTTTCACCAATGACCGGCTATTTGCCGGAGAAAAACCTACTACTGCCACTCGAAGAGAGCGTAATCAACCCGTCTGATATTTTGCCCCAAAATCGAAATTTACTAGAAAAAAATATATCCCGACATGACAGCCCTGAAAAGACAGTACAACTGCCACCACAATTGGTATACCAATGGCAATCAACGCACAACTCGAATATGTCCTCATTATCTCATCTACAACCTGGCCTTACATCTATTTCAGAGATCAACCTAAGTCTCGAAGGTTCCAGCAATCAAAACAGCCCCAACACAGGCCTATGCAATAACACGCAGAACTCGGTGCGAGAGTATCGTTGCGAGTACTGCGGCAAACAGTTCGGCATGTCCTGGAACTTGAAAACCCATCTTAGAGTTCACACCGGCGAGAAGCCCTTCGCCTGCCGTCTCTGCATAGCGATGTTCAAACAAAAGGCCCATCTATTAAAACACTTGTGTTCAGTTCATAGAAACGTCATCACCACAAATGGCAACGACAATGACACCCGCTATTGTTGCTGCTTCTGTTCAATGTATTTCGAATCAGTACAAGAGTTGGTCCGACATTTATCTGGCCACCATAACAATTTATTGCTAGCAAAAAATTTACGCGATTAGTACTTTTACAAAACCAACCAACAAACAAACAAAAAAATTGCTCTTAAATATACATATGTATGTATGTATATAACACCTATATACACATTCAAATATATATTTATGCATTTTGTTAATTTTAACATTTCCATCTTCTTTTCTACTTTTTTTTTGTATATTTTACACTATAAATTTTACATCGTATACATGATTTTTTTTTATTATTATTATATTATTATTATTTTATACATATTGTATGATGTATGTAATATACTATAAATTGTAATACAACATTCAAATTTTAAATATTAAAAGAAAAAAATACAAATGAACATTTTTTACATATTTTGTTATACATACAATTTTATTTATTGTATGTAAATGGAAATTTGTTTTTTGATTTTATTTTTATTATAAAAAAAGAATACGTTTAATTTTATTCGTATGTATATTTGTTTAATAGATAACAGGTAGTATTTATTTTTAATTGAATTGAATATTTTAATTATTTCTTATGATTTGAAAAGCCACCTGTAAAAACTGAATTATAAAAAAAACACGGAGTGTTTATCAAAACGGATTTTTTTGAATAAAAATATTATTTTTCTTAAATTTTAACGGAATTATCTCAATCACGCTTAATAAACAAGTCTACAGCTAGGGCTAGAAAATTTTTAATAACAATATGAAGCTTCCACCACAAGATGGCTTTGAATTATGGACAAAATCTGAATATTTAAAATAGGACAACTTTCGACAAAAAGACATTATTACGAACTTAGTAGACATTTAATGCCACCACGGAAAACTATTTCCTCAACAATCTTCTGAAATCAAAAATTTTAAAAATATTCGGATTATCCCGAATAGTTTGGTTCGAATTTGGTCGGAAGAGTTTCAAAATGTTTTAAATAAATTCCATTTAAAAATATTGTAAAACACTTGTTTTTGTTTAAACTTTATATATTTTGACGTATGAGTATTATGCATTAAATATAACTCATACGTTTTGCAACTTTAGTTCAGAGTCAAAATGTTCGGAAAATTTCCCAGTTTAAAGCGTCAAAATAATTTAAAATTTTCAGATATATTTTACCATTTAGACTCTTAATTTCAATTTTCGATCAAACTTTGGTCCCTTTTCAGCTATTTATCGAATATTTTTAAGATAATTCTGAAAAATTATTTTCAGTTATGGATCTGAAATGGTACCTGCGATCAGGAACAACTGCAGCGGAAGACTGCAGGAAACCTTTTAGGAGATTTAGTGGAAATGTTAACAATAGCGTAATGATATTGCAGAAGAAAGTGTTCTTTCTTATCAGGTGATGGGGCAAAAACCTCGATCCGTCATTATCGATAGATTGATCTTCGAAAATCTTCATATCGATAGATTGATCTTCGAAAATCTTCATTCATAGCATATTGCAGTGTCCAAGACACGCAGAATTGGTTTAGAAAGGATGACATCAGGAATGATAATCGATAACTTCTCAATAAGAGCTCTTACCATATAATGGGGCAGTAAATTAGAATATAACTATATATGACTTTCATAACTTTCAAATTTCTATTAAAATTGAACCACAATGGGCTTTTGGAATACCCGAACGAATATATCATTGGTAAGTATAGACATTTCTAAACTTAACTAATGTAATATAGCAATGAATCCCTTAAGTTTGAAAATTATTTCGGATATTTGACTCTTCATCAGATGTTTCCCTAAGCTTAAAAGTAAAAGTCCGCTAATCTTTATGGGATTCGAAATTAAATCGATCCAAAATGAATTTCTATTCGAATCGGTTATAAAAGCATACCTACGATCGTAACGCAAATGTAAAGCATTGAAACCAAATGGAATGTCTTCTTCTTTTTCTTACAATTTCGTTTCGTAACTGAATGTGTAAACCGTAATCGAAATACATAAATAAATACATTAAAAAAACATGTTTTTTAATGTTTTAGGAGGCTATCTCATGAGCTTTGTTGTTTAACACCAACGTAAACTCAAACAGATCATTTGTACTTTCAGCCGATACCTGTTTTGAAGGTACCACAGAATAAAAAGACTCTTTTTTATTTACGTTTGCCATATAAGAATTGTCTCATTTTTTGAGCTCCCTTGGAAGACTGTGACAAATGAGCTTCGATTGAGCAAAGAGAAAGTTCATAAGAGAGCTCTTGGCATAACTATAAAGTTCTAGTATATTGGCCATTCGAGAACGCAGAAGCTTTTCATCTTTTTACTTCCCTACGTAAAAAGCTTTTATTAAAATAAGTTGAATTATTACTTTCTGAGTGAGATTAAGTACCTATAAAAGCATAAGAGCTCATAAGAGAGTACTTGACCTTCCTCTACTTTAAAGTTCTAATATATTGGTCATTCTTAGATTTTCTCTCTTTAACAAATATAAGAATGAGACGATAATCTTTTGATTTCGCTGTACATATAACAATCGTTATTTTCGATATTTCAAAAAAAAAATCTAATTTAACTTAAAAATTTAGTTTTTAAAATTGAAATCTGTGCAACACTGTTTGTTAACAGTGATGTTTAATACGTACTATTTGTACACAAATACGAAATTTTTCAACCCTGCTAGTGATGTTAAAACATCATTAGAAATAATAATAAATACGATAAAATCACACTTTCAAGCAGAGAGCCAGTAGTCATTTATAAAATTTGTTGTGAAACGGTTGTTGAAAGCAAATTCTGCTGTACGTTGTAGGTGCGTTTTGTATTTGTTTCTGTGACTGTCTGTGTGTGTTTCTGTGGGCTATATTATTTATTTCTTAATATCAAACTTGTGATTTTTTTTATAAAAAGTAGACTGGTGAACTTATAAAAGCGGTGAAATTATATTACTTTCCTAACAAAAAAGAGTAATTGTTGAAGCAACACTTTAAAATTTATTAATTTTATGAAAAAATATAACAAAACAGATGATGTCATCAAATAAAGTGTATTAATATAATTATAATATAAAATACGCACCCAAATCCCTTGATTTAAACAAATATACATATATACATATGTATAAAAAAATATATACAAACATTTATATAAATCTATAAACATTAAATTGCTACTGTGTACAATTGTTTAATATTAATAATAACAAAGTTATTTGTCGGTGCTTATTCATAAGCAATTATTGCAATTTTTATCTACTGGCAACAAAAAACACATAGTTTAGAAAACTAACAACAACAATAACATACAGTCCATATGGATGGAATTTTATATTAATTTATACAAATAAATTAGTCTCGAATACATATGTATGGATGTATAAACTATGTACCTGTTTGTTAAATACAGATTTCCAATAATAGATTTGTTCCAAAACACAAACATTTAATACAAAACATATGTAGTTTCCGTTCGGTACTACATATGTAGGGTACAAATTAAAACAACAAACAAACAGAAAGTTGTAGTTTCTTCTTGATTAGCCCCTTAAATGGAAAAACGATTTCTCTTTAAATAGCTTGCTCTATTTAGCGACATTTACTGACTGGACTGACAAAAATTCATATTCAACATTAGTATAATATATATGAATGAATATGAATATTAGCAAGAGTACGTCTGTCTGTATGTCTTTCTGACAAACATAACATGTCATTTTTAAATTAAATGGTTTTCATAAGTCTAAAAAAAATGTTCGTGTAGCCACTCCTCAAGGTTTAATTTAAGTTTTCAGGTAATACTCTCGTACGTATTGAGTTTTAGTATTATTCATCTTTTAAGTACCGGGTATAGTTAATTAATAAATTTTATAAATTGTTTATGTTTAAAGAGTTAATAATACAAAGAGATTATTATTGTTTAGAGCGGTGTCAGTATATAAAACAACCATTTAAGAATGAAAACGTAAACAAAATAGTATTTATTATTGAGTATATAAAATATTTCTGTTATCATTTTTTTAATAATGAAACGAAATTGAAAAGTTATATGAGAAAATAGTGCTGTTATAAATTGTACAATATTAAGTACTTTTTAGTTTAAAAAGTCTAAATTTCAATTTTATAAATAAATATGTTTTAAGAAAAAATATTATTTAGATGACAAGTCTTCTTTGTTATAAGCAAAATGTGTTCCAAATAAAATATTTCTAATGTTGAAAACAGTAATAAAATTTCTCTCAAAATTGGGCAACAACTCTTTTCTTTAAAGCAAACAAACAAAAAAAAAAAAAAAAAAAAAAAAGATTCATTGGGGGAAAAACACTTTGAAGGCTTTTATAAAGAACCGAAAAAAAATGAACTCTCAATATTGTATACGAAATATATTTTCAATAAGAAAATGCGTCATGAATTCATGTATACAGTGGTGGTCACTTTTTTTTAAGAAAAATATTGTGAATATTTAATAAAATCTCATTCGAGAAATTCTGAAAGCCGGTATATAGAGCGTTGAAAGTATAACCAATTTTTCCATATATTTTATATAGGGAGACGACACTTCCCATCAGGTCATAACCTTTTTTTTAAAGTCGATAGAATGGACTTTCAGACGGAATAACGGAATTTATAAACAGAGATATCTTTTCGCTGTTATATCGCCTCAAATATGACCAAAAACGGGGTTTTTTTAATGACATATTCCAATAGTAAAAACTTTCAATCGATATAATGGACTTACAGACGAAATAACTGAATTTATAGGCAGAGAGGTTTTCGCGCTGTTATATCATCTCAAATATGGTCAAAAACGGTATTTTTGTATATTTATTACGCCATATTTTGAACTGATTTGAATTTGGATTTAGAGCTGCTCAGTCCTCTAGACTGGGTTAAAAATCAAAGAATGCTGCCAAAAAAATAAAAACTAAAACAAAAGTACCTCAATTCCTCGCCACCACTGTATACTGCACGCTATAAAGACAATGATTCATATACATTTCTAAATATTTACTTTTAGTTTTAAACAATTTATGTTTTAAAAACAACAACAATTCTATATAAATCTTGTTTTATATACGATAATTAAAATAACTTAATTAGTAAAATTTTTAACACAAATTAAACCTTATATTAAATACATTGTAAGTTTTTCAATTGCAAATCTTTAGCTACAAATCAATAATAACTTTTAAAGAAAAAAAAAAAGAGAAAAGTTTTAAGCAGATACACTCATATCTAACAAAGAAAGAAATGAAAGCAATTAAAAGTCTTTAATCTATATAATCATGAGTTTGCATAAATTTGTAAAATAATGATGAATGAAAGAATTAATAAATAACTTCCTACGGCTTTTTTAACCACAACTTGGGAATTTTATTAATTTAATTTCAATATTCTATTATTTCATTAGGACACTCATCATTTATTCGATGAAAAATACAATTTTCCACAAAAAACTTGTTTATTAGATTCAGCTTTCTTTTGTAAAATTTAATGAAAATTTTGTTTTTTAATTAAATTTTCAACAAGAAATCATATAATTCATATAATAAAAATGGAAATATTAAGAGCAAAAAACGCTTAAAGTATAAATAAGGAACAAATAAATAAACAAAATATTTTGTTTAGTTAAATGTCAACAAAACAATTATTTTTTAAGACCATTTTTAAAAACCCTTCAAGCAGACATGTTTAACAAATCCTATACTTAATTTAAAATCTATGTTTTGATAACAATAACTCATAGTGTTTATTTACGAATAAACTTTTCAGAAATAATTAACAAAACGGAAATCACACAATCACAAATTACAAAAAAAAGTATTAAAAACCAAAAAATAAAAAATATATTAAGTTTCTAACTGGAACCAAAGTTTAAATAAAACGTTTCTTACTCCACTTGTTTTAGATATTAGAATCAACCTATAACAAAAGATCCATTCATTGTAATTGAAATTAAAGTGTCAGACAACAATGGGATAATAGAAGCAACCCCTTGAAGAAACTTAAATTGTACAAATTTATCTTAGACCCAACCATAAAAAATTTATTTTAAAAACCAAGGACAATTAATGATGACTGACAGTAGTAGCTAACGAATTAAGTTTCAATTTTAAATGAAAATTTCTCACGCAAAGAACTTTCATCATCAGCAAACAAACATAATAACTTATGACTTTAATTCAACACTATATGTTTGAAATTTGAATAATAACTGCTAACTAGCATACAGCTAATCTCCCCTTATGGAAATTTACACCTTAAAACAAATTAACAGCTCTTTAGTTAGCCCCAAACATAATAAATATAATTTAAAATTTATAATTTTAGAATTACTTCATAAACCCTAAACAAAATGGATGAAATTAAAGGGTTTTTTAGACAAGCCGGCAAAGAGTTCCTCAATGCGGCCGGTGATGCAGCCATGGGTGCTGCCAAAGAAGTTATGGGTTCGGTTATAAATGAAATTTTTATAAAGAAAGAGGCCGAAACTAAGAGAATCTTACCCAGTATTAAAAATATGAGAGTGGTAAGTTATAGTGTGTTCAACTATTTTATCAATAATATTAATTCATCCTCCTCCCACTCATTCTAATAAAATTTTAAAGATTTCAAAACGTAAACGATTGGTGGTATGTAACTAAAACTCATTTAACTAATATTTACATATAAATCTAAAACACTTTTTATCATGGACATCTAATTGTAATTCCTACATTATTGATTAGTGAGGTAACAACTATGATGAAGGACATAATTATTATGTTCGCAACATGACTAATTTAATGAAATTTGTTTTAAGTACTAGTAATGACATTTGTTGTATTTTTTGAAACCTTTTAATCGAACTAGTACTAAAACAAAGAGAATATTTAAGTATAAATGTCTAAAAAAAAATCCCTTAAATCTTACAGCTTGGTGAAAGACCCTTGGGTAGTTATAGGCCACAAACTGAAGTTCAGGATTTTGAAACAATACGTCGTCAATGTTTAGAAAATGGTTCCTTATTTGAAGATCCTCTATTCACGGCTAGCAATGAATCTCTAATGTTTTCCCGGCGTCCAGATCGACATATTGAGTGGTTAAGACCTCATGTAAGTGCTAAACATTTCTAAACATTTTAAATTATTTAATGACTTTAAATTTTCTTTTAGGAAATTGTCGATGATCCACAATTCTTCGTAGAAGGCTATTCTAGATTTGATGTGCAACAGGGAGAATTAGGCGATTGTTGGCTTTTGGCTGCTACCGCAAATTTAACTCAGGATTCGAATCTCTTCTTCCGCGTTGTGCCACCAGATCAAAGTTTTGATGAAAGTTATGCCGGCGTTTTTCACTTTTGCTTTTGGCAATATGGCAAATGGATTGATGTAGTCATAGACGATAGACTGCCTACATATAGAGGTGAATTAATGTATATGCATTCAGCAGAGAAAAATGAATTCTGGAGTGCCTTGCTGGAGAAAGCTTATGCCAAGTAAGATCAATATCTCGTTTATCTGGTAAACATTCATATTGATATTTTATTTTGTTATAAAGATTACACGGTTCTTATGAAGCCCTTAAGGGAGGTTCAACTTGTGAAGCTATGGAAGATTTTACAGGTGGTGTTACTGAATGGTATGATTTGAAAGAAGCTCCCTCCAATCTCTTCAACATTCTCGCCAAAGCGGCTGAACGTAATTCTATGATGGGTTGTTCTCTAGAAGCCGATCCCAATGTTTTAGAAGCTGAAACACCAGAAGGTCTTATACGAGGACATGCCTACTCCATTACCAAAGTGTGCATGATTGATATAGTGACACCAAATCGCCAGGGCAAGATACCCATGATACGTCTACGTAATCCTTGGGGTAATGAGGCAGAGTGGAATGGCCCCTGGAGTGATAGTTCCCCTGAATGGCGTTATATACCTGATGATCAAAAACATGAAATTGGTTTGAATTTCGATCGTGATGGTGAATTTTGGATGTCTTTCCAAGATTTCTTGAATCACTTTGAACGTGTCGAAATTTGCAATTTGTCTCCTGATTCTCTAACGGAAACCCAACAGAACGATGGTAAACGCAAGTGGGAAATGTCTATGTTCGAGGGTGAATGGACAGCAGGTGTTACAGCGGGTGGTTGTCGTAATTTCCTTGATACATTCTGGCACAATCCTCAATATGTTATCTCACTGGAAGATCCCGATGAGGAAGATGATGATGGCAAATGTACTGTTATTGTAGCCTTAATGCAAAAGAATCGTCGTTCCAAACGTAACTTGGGTATGGAGTGTTTAACTATAGGTTTTGCTATTTATCATCTAAATGAACGCGATTTACAAGTCCGTCCCCAGGGCTTGAGTTTCTTCAAATACAAAGCTTCCGTGGCACGTTCACCTCATTTCATTAATACCCGAGAGGTAAATAGAAAATGTTTTTAAATTGCATAAAACATTTTTTTTTATTATTTTACTTTGTTATAGGTTACAGCTCGTTTTAGATTACCCCCTGGTCATTATTTAATTGTACCCTCCACCTTCGATCCTAACGAAGAAGGAGAATTTATTATTCGTGTCTTCTCTGAAACTCAAAATAACATGGAGTATGTATCTTAGTTGCAAAATCTTTTGCTTTGTTTGTAGTTTTTATAAATGTACATATGTATATTAATTATTATGCATTAATTACTGTAATATTTGTTACACTTTTATTTTATTCTATTAAATAACATGTTTTGGTATTAACAAAATTATGTATTTTTTTATTATTATTTTATGGGAATGCAATTTTGTAGTTGTTATCGTCCTTATTTATTGAGTTTTTATAGCTTTAATAGACATATTGTTGGTATTAATTGATTTGAAATTATTTTAGAGAAAACGATGATCATGTGGGTTATGGAGATGCTGACAACGATGTCAAACCACCAGTAAGTAGTACAGTTATATGTTATGATTATAAGTTTGTAGTTATTTAATTAATAATGCATGATTCTTGTAGATTCAGGCAGATATAAGAAATTCTCTAAGTGTTTTATAGATTTATTTTGTTTTCAATTATTTTTAATTAACAAATTGTATATTATAGCTTTATCCTAGTATGCCTTCACCAGTGAAACCTGTTGATCCCCAGAGAGATGCCTTACAACGACTTTTCAATAGTGTTGCTGGTGCCGATATGGAAGTTGACTGGATGGAATTGAAACGTATTTTGGATCATTCTCTACGTGATGGTAAGTGTATCGTGCGTTCTTCAAAAATATGTATGTAATAACTATTACTTTGCATACATATGAGAAGGAAGTTAAATACGTTTACGTTTCGTTTTTGTTATTTTTTTAGTATCATTACAAAAGCATAAATATGTCCAATTCATAACTGAAACTGGTTCTGTTATAACGCCAAAAAAATCGTTTAACACATAATTATGCAAATTAGCAGCCTTGCAAACTTTTGCAAAAACACAATAAACAAATTACTTTTTCTGTGATTTGAATATTTAATAGAAAACAAGAGAGTATTTGTTATTTGTGATAAATTAAAATTTTTGCCAAAATCACCAGTTTAAAAAATTTGGGAAACAAACATATTTTTCTGAGAGAATCGAATAAATATAAGCTTTGCTCAAGAGCCCATAGTGTGAAAAAGTTATAACTATATAAAAAAAAAAAAACAACCCCACACAGCCACCAGTTGTGAATTGGATAATAATATTTTAAACAAATAAATATTTATGCAGTTATGAACAGTAAAATAGTAAAAAAAAACGGTTCTACATTTTAGACATAAATTAAAAACATTACGAAACCTGTAAACGATACAAAAAACCAAAGACAAAATCCTTAAAGACAAAAATACCCAGAACAAAACAGTTATATCTAACAAATTGGGGTATGTCGTTAAAAAATCTCATATTTTCCTTGGTAAAACGTGATACTTTAAATACAATTAAATATATAATAAGCTGTAATTGCTTTTTTACCTTTTCAATCATTTGAAAATAAGTACTTTCCACATTCAATTCATTTTATTATTAGCACTTAGCTAGTAGAGTAGAACCGGCGTTAGTAGAATAGTAGTGGCATTTTATTGTTTATAACTTTGCATAAATACTTTTATATTTGGGTTTTTATAAATCTTATTTTTCTCTTAAACACAATCATGTTATCATGACTCACTCTCATATACAAAATTTTAATGCATAAACCTTTGCAATAACTTGTATTTATAATTAGTGAATCAATCATTTATCTCACAATACCCCCTTTATGCTCCCCCACACCCCCAGTAGCTTGGTTTGATTTTTGCATGTTTAATTAAATAAAATTATTTTGTTTTAGTTTTAATAATTATCGTTTGTTTTAAGTTTTTGTTACCTCTGATTTAAAAGTAGTATTTAAATAATTTTATAGTAAATAAAATCAATCAACTTTTTTGTTTTTTGCCAATTCTTTCACATAATCCAATATTAAAATTATATATATATATAAATACATACATATACATATAGATTTGCCCAAGTCGTCAGATTTTACTGCACAAAATGTTAGAGAAAACTATGCGCCTTTGTCCAAGGAAAATGGTGAGGGACCAAACAATAATAATACTACCGAACTTGATGGTAATAATATTGTGAATACCATCATTTCGTTGCTATGTGGACTTTGTAATAAAAACAATATTGACGAAATGCTTGGACTTGATGAGCAAAATAATACTACTCAACGTCTGGTGGATCATAATGCCACTGACGACCCCAATAACACCGGTGAGCTACTTCGTACTTTTAGAAAACAGATGCATATTATTATATATATTTTATAATTGAATACTTTCCTCCTAAATTATGGTGTTGGCTTATATTGTTTCATACATTTAACTTGAATCCAATTAAGATTTTGAGTTTATCAAAATGACAAAAACCATTTTGTTTTGAAGCCAGGATAAATATCTTTAAATTATTGAAATAGCTATGAAAATATTGAATGCACCACTTACCCCATTTATTAATCTTGTTGCAGTGATGATGGCTAGTCCTGAGGGTTTCTCCAAAGATGTATGTCGTGCCATGGTAGCTATGTTGGATGCGGACAAGTCGGGTAAACTGGGTTTCGAAGAATTCGAGGCTCTTTTAACAGATATTGCCAAATGGAAGGCGGTATTTAAAGTATACGATGTCTATCAAACTGGACGCATTGATGGTTTTCAATTACGTGCTGCCTTAAATTCAGCCGGTTATCATCTTAACAATCACATTTTAAATGCCTTGGCACATCGTTATGGTACTCGAGATGGAAAAATTGCATTTGATGATTTCCTTATGTGTGCTGTTAAAATTAAAACATATATGGGTAAGTATTAAAGAAAATTATTGATATGTGTACTAAAATAGATATTATGAAGCTTAGTTTAGTTTAGAAGGGATGTGTACTCTCCACTTGGAGACCATATGGTCCACTGTGATTCCGAATATTGTATTTGCATTAACCACATGTTATCTGATTAAATCTAGCATACATACTCTAAAATGTATGTTTTGTGTTTAGCTGTTTATTTACCAAAAAGAAACTTGTTATCTAAAACCACAAATCCAACAACAATTCACTTTTTAATAAAAAAAATCAACGCCATTTTTAATGGCGTCCGTACACTAGATAAAATGATTTTATATTTTTGTTAAAGTTTTCATTAATATCAATACCTTTTCTTATCTGCCTCCTTTTTAGACATTTTTAATGACAAGGATACGGAGCATACCGGAACCGCTACCTTTACTATGGATGAATGGATCGAAAGTACAATTTACTCATAATTTTCAAGCAACGACTTAATAAACTATTACTGTATTTATTATTTTACTCGAAATATTTTCTTTTACTCGTATTCTCTAACGTACACAATTATAAATGTTATTAAAATTTGTATTCATGTTATAAACTGATTGGCAAAAACTACTATAAAACACTATTTTATATAAATATATAAACACAAAACAAAAGGAAGCTTTTCTTAACAAATTTTTAGGCTTTAATTTTTGCCGCACAAAATAAAAAACACACGCAACATGCACTTACACACACACATATACATAATTATAGAACAGGCACTGCATTATCCTAAAAACAATTTACAGTTAACACTGATAATAGTGATGCCACTTTATTGAGAACTAATGCAAAAATGTCGTCCATAAATCAATCAAATGTATATACATAATTATTTAATAAACATATTAAGCATATTTTTTTTAAATAATTCGTTAAATAAATAAATAAATATTAAAATCTACACTTTTTTTTTCATCATCGTAATTATTTCTGATTGAAATTTTATTTTAAAGTTTTTTTTTTTAAATACAATAAATTTTACTTGATTGAAATATTAACTTTATTATATATTTCTCTTTATTATTATTATTATTATTATTATTTCTCTTAATGAGAACTTTATAAAGAATTAGTTTTCCATCCCTGAGTTACCAAATAGTATAAAACATGATAAAAATAAAGAAGGTAGTGTCAATCAAAAATTTTAATTTTTAATAAGGTTTTTTGAAGTTTCCTTTTTTATTAAAACTGAATAAAGCGTTGCCATATTTTAAAAAATTATGCTAAGTTCCTAGGAATTTTTAGTGAAGAATTTGTAATTTATTATTAGATTTATTCTATTATTAATTTTTGCGACGTACTGATAACGAAAACACACTGATTTAAATAAGACATTTTTCAATTTATTTTTATTACAATAATGAGTTTATTATATTCATATATGGACTGTAGTTTTGACTATAGTCCAACCTATAGACTAGAATAAACCCTAAACTATAGACTTGACTATTGACTAAACTACGGCTATAATTTTCTGCTATAAACGAATAATGAAATCACACTTTTCTATATATGACTATCCATTTGTTCCAATTATTCAACTAGATGCCAATGTAGTTCTGGCAAAATTTGAGGTTCGTAACACTAAAAGCTTTCAGGTCCATCAAAGTTTGTCTTAAATATTTATATTGATGCAAAAGTAGACTATAGTTTAGTCTATAGTCTGGACTATAGTCTAGTCTGCAGTCTGTACTATAGCTTAGTGCATAGACTGAACTAAAGTTTAGCCTGTAGTCTGGACTATAGTTTATTCTATAGGCTGGTCAAGTTTATAATTTGGACTATATTTTAGTCTAAGTCTGCACTATAGCATAGTCCGGACTAATGTTTTGTCTGTAGTCTGGACAATAGTCTTGTCTGTATTCAGGATATAGTCTGTACTAAAGGCTGAATTTTAGTCTATTCTGTGTTTTGAATAGTCTAGTTTGCGTGGAAATTCAATCCGTTTGTCGACCAGACAGAAGAAGGTAATGCTGGAAACATTTGCACTTTGACAAGTTTCGTTTTAACAATGTGGATATTGCATTGTTTTTTATATAAAGCAAACTCATCACCAGCTCTTTTAGCAAATCTTCTTGCAAGTTTTCAATATATTTTCCTGTTTAAATTGTTTAAATAATTAGTTTCTATTTAATATTAAATATGTTATTAATCTTACCATTGAATTCAATTTAAATGCAAATATTTTGTTAAATTTATTCAATTTTGTTTAATTTTTATACAAACTTCAAAGAAAACTGGAGTTTTTCAAATTAATATGGTAAAACGATTTCTATGAAAACTTCATAATCCTTAAGCATGTCAGATGTAGAATTTAAAAAAATAAAGAGAGATTGACACTACCTTCTATTTTTCTATTATGGTATAAAATATTGCCAGACAGAGTGAACATAGTGATGTTATTCTATTTACATGGTGGTCCCACATAAATTGTAACATTTTTATAAATTTCACAGCTGATTGTAAAATTTTATTTGCAAATAAATGTCAAACTCCTGTGTTGGTAAGTCAAAATTCATATACATACATAGATTACAAATTTTACCATCTGATAATAAATATAATTTTTGCTTAAAATTAAAAAACCCAGTAAATTTAAATTGCACTGTATATAAAAACAACAAAATGTTGATGCATGTTTTATCAGTTAAATAGCTGAAAACTGGGGGATTTTTTTATACTTATTTTATAAACTAGTGTGGGATTTTTCAGAGGGATTTTACAAATCTCGGGTATTTTTTAAGTATTTCAAGTTTATGTACATTAATAGTTGCTTAGCATTAGAACTGAGAAAATATTGGTCTTCTTTTCTTGGTACAATCGAAGTTTTTTAGAAATTTGAAAATATATAAAATATATGTACATATATCTTTTTAGTACTTTTAAATGAAAAGTACCAACAAAAATGTACTATCGTCTCAACACTTCCATCACTGTTATTGAATATACACTGGCGCAGCCCCCCAAATTTTTCATTAGTTTCTTTCATTTCGTTCGGCTATCAGCACACTTGCAGTAGCGGTTGTTGATTGGAACAAAAAAAGTGTATCTGTTTTAATATTATTATATTTACAAAAGATAGAAAATACAAAGTGTGCATTACGCAATTTTCTCTAAATCAAAGTGACGTGTTGAAAATTTAAAAAGGATTTTTCCATAATAAAATAACAATAAAAAGAAGAAAACAATATGCCTTGCCCATTCCTAAATCGATTGAGTGCTAATTTTGTACGTAATTACTCGGAGAATCTGATGCAAGTCTATAGTCGTTATTGCCCTGTGTTGCGGAATAATGGTCAAGCTATTTTGTCTAACGAGGTGGCTCAGTTTGATGTCAACTCGACCCGAAACTATGTGACTTCGAATGTGAATGCTCATAATGAGGAGGAGGTGGTTTTGCCAACCAAGAAGGAGGAAGTGCCAGTTGCTGTGCCAAAGTCAGCAAATGCAACAACTGACCAATTCGCTTATGACAACTTCTTTCATGAGCAAATCATGAAAAAGAAACAAGATCATTCGTATCGTGTTTTCAAGAAGGTTAATCGTTTGGCTGGCTCTGGTCTGTTTCCTCATGCCATGGAGTACTCAACTAGAGAAGAGCGTCCCATTACCGTATGGTGTTCTAATGATTACTTGGGTATGTCGGCGCATCCAAGGGTGAAACAGGCCGTAGCTGATGCCTTGGAATGCCATGGTTCCGGAGCAGGTGGCACTCGTAACATCTCTGGCAACTCATTGTACCATGAGATGTTGGAAGCTCGACTAGCCAAGCTTCATGAAAAGGAAGCTGCCCTCCTATTTACCTCCTGTTTTGTGGCCAACGATTCGACTTTATTTACTTTAGCTAAACTGTTACCTGACTGCCACATATTTTCTGATGCTGGAAATCATGCTTCGATGATACAAGGCATACGAAATAGTGGTGTACCCAAGCATATTTTCCGCCACAATGATGTAGATCATCTGGAGAGTATGTTGGAAAAATTGGACAAGAAAATCCCCAAGATAGTTGCATTCGAAACAGTACATTCCATGACCGGGGACATTTGCCCTCTAGAAGAAATGTGTGATATTGCTCATGAATACGGAGCCATTACCTTTGTGGACGAAGTTCATGCGGTTGGTCTTTATGGAGATCATGGTGCGGGAATAGGCGAACGAGATGATGTTATGCACAAAATGGACATCATATCTGGAACACTTGGTAAAGCGTTCGGTAACATTGGTGGCTACATTGCAGGTTCTCACAATTTAGTTGATATGATACGTTCCTATGCCGCCGGATTCATTTTTACTACTTCCCTGCCTCCTACTGTCTGCCGTGGAGCTCTTCAGGCCGTTGATATTTTAGCCTCTGAGGAAGGTCGCGAATTGAGGGCACTTCATAGAAGAAATGTCAACTACTTGCGTAATCTTTTACGTGCTGAAGGTAGGTTAAAAATATGTTCAAATTAAAGAGAAAACAGCTAAGAAAACTTGGCACGATTTTTTGTTATTATTTAACACCAATCAATTGTATTTACATATGTATTTGTTTTTTTTCCTTTATGCAATTTCTAACATTAGGTTTCCCCGTTGAAGATACGCCCAGTCATATTATTCCTATTCGCATAGGAGATCCCCTTAAGAGTTCTAAAATCTCTGACCTGCTTATGTTCAAATTCGGTCACTATATCCAGGCTATAAATTATCCAACTGTTGCACGTGGCGAAGAGAAATTGCGCTTGGCCCCAACGCCATTCCACAATGTCGAAATGATGAATCAACTTGTCAACGATTTGAAGGAAGTATGGAAGATGTTAGATATGAAACTTAAAAAAGAACAAATTTACAATAATGGTAGTGGCTACGTTGCCAAAAATGATGTCAATGTTTTAATATAAAACCATTATTATAATATGTATATGGACAAAATTCGTAATTGTGTTTTATTACTTTTATCTTAACCAAAATATATCTATATCTATTTACTTATATACATAAAAAATGCTATATATGAACATATACATTCAATGGTTTTTAGTATAACCACTGGTTATTTATGGCCTTTTTAATTGTTATTTTATTTTTATTTTTTTTTTCGTTTGTTTAATTTCAACTTTTAGTTGATATTTTCACGAAATAAATGAATTGTATGGTGGCATGTGATTAAAATATATTTCGATGTTTTAATTATTTTAACAGTAATCAGACGTGTAAAAGAAAACATTCTTAATTTACTTTCATTAGGACTATAAATTTGTATAATCTAAAAAGTTTCTTTCGTTTTGCATATTTGAATCATAAAGAATACATTTCTTTTAGACTCTGTAACTGAGGTAAGTATTGGTGTCGTTAATGTATAAATTTATTTATTTTCTTTTTTTGTTTTGTTGGAAAACGATGACACGACATTTATGATAATGAATAAACAAGTTTAACAAAAAAATTCAAAACGATTTGTGTATAGCGCTAGCACATGAATTCAAGTACATAATATATAAAAAATTTATATGTATAAGCATTTTTTTAAAGCAGAAATTAGCATCTAGCATTTTATTGAAGAATAAAAAATAATCGGTATTTTCCATTACACTTTAAATTTTAAAGCGAAATTTTAAGAAGATTTATATAGACATAAGTATGTGCATATGTATGTATGTATGTACGTCAAAGTTATATCTATAATAGATATTATTAGCTTTATTTAGTTTTTCATATTTTCTCTCGTGTGAATGATATGAATAAAAATATAAATATATCTATATATTCATTGCAGACTTGTGACAGGATCGCCAGAACCCAAAAAGCTTTATTTCATTTTTTAGATTATTTTAGATTTTATGATCAAACTTTGATAAAAGTGTATTCTTGAAACATTTTTTTAACTTTGTTAATAGATTAGGTATCTTAATATTGAAATTGATATTAAAATGTAATTAGATTTCCTGTTAAACATCGTATGAAATAATGTCAAATGGAAAAATAGTGATCAATAATACTCGATCACAAATATGGCAATTCGGAACCAGAATTAATATCATCATATGGAAGAGAAAAACACACTTTTTAGAATTGTAGCTTTGATAAGAACTTTTTATGCAAAGTCATTTAAACAATATTTGAATTATCGAAACTATTAATATTATTTATTTTAATAATGACGCTCTTAACGCAAATTAGCAATTAAGTTTGTGTATAGTATACCTATTTATAAAAACTACACTACTAATTGCTTTTATAAAACGTATTGGATTGGCATTGCGTGTTTTTTTTATATGATAAAGACTTTCACTTTAAAAGACCTTGAATTGACATCTTAAATTTTTAAGATACATTAAATTTTATGTATAATGTAGAGTAGAACTATTAGCAAAACACAAATAACAATAAAAGTTTCACTTGTTGCAAGGTATTTACATGACTTGGTGGTTGGTAGTCATTGCAACACAATAACAAACCCAAAACTTTTATTTACATTAACGTTTGCGAAAAAAGCTGTTCATTTTTCTCAACTATCAAAATACCATACTATAAATAATATGGCAAATTGCATCAGAAATACTAAGTCCAAAATATCATTATCGGTTAATAGATCATTTTAATAAACTTTTTATTCGTTTCTTTAAATTTTGTTTTCATTGCCTAGTTTTAGGCTTTATTAAAAAAAACTAGTTCATACTTCTGTTTACATTAGGGTGGTATAAATGATTTAAAAAATTGTATGGAAATGTCCATATTCTGTTACCATAGCAAAGCTAACGAAAACAAATCCTTACAAAAAAAAACTTTACAGGTTCATTAGTTAAGGGCATTGTTTATTGTTTTTTAATTTTGTAATAACTACAAACGTCGCTTTAAAACTCAACCAATTTTTTATCTAAATTAATCTTAAACACATCAAACTATGGGAATGTTTGATAATTTTTTAAGTTTACTAAAGATTAATAAAGAAAAAATGACAGTGCTAGTGGTAGGTTTGAACAACAGTGGAAAATCCAGCATTATTAACAGTTTTAAAAGGAAAAATGAAGCCAATGCGTATATATCAGTACCTACCGTAGGTTTTACAAATGAGGAATTTTGTAGTAAGTGATTTTTCTAAATATTACAAAAATGTGTCACAATATAATGTTATGTATATTCTACATAGGTCATGGGGTACAGTTTGCCGTAATAGATATGTCAGGTGCCTGGAAATATAGAAATCTATGGCAGCATCAATTCAAAAACTGTCAGGGTATAATTTATGTTATTGATTCCAGTGATAACATGAGAATGGGTAAGTTAATACATCATCTAATCATTTTAGTTATCTAATAAATTCATTATTAATTTTTATTTATTTTAGTGGTTGTTAAAGAGGAGCTTTATATCTTATTACAACACCCTGATTTAGTAGATCGTCAAATACCTATTTTATTCTATGCTAATAAAAATGATTGTGAAAATTCTTTATCCAGCGTCAATATTGCTGCTGCTTTAGATTTAACCTCTGTAATGGATAAACCATGGCATATCAGTTCTAGTAGTGCTAAAACTGGAGATGGTCTGGATGAAGGTGTACAATGGCTGATACAGCAAATACGTTTAAAAAATCAAAAACATCATTCCAAAAAAGATAAATCTAAGCGAAAATAGATTATTTTCTTTCTAAGCAAGTAGTTTTAATCGAATTTAAAATATTTATCTGTTCCAGTGTTAGTCAGATTTAGAGGTTTTAGTTTGAATAAATAAAAATTTACATAAAATTTTGAGTTTTAGTGAAAAAATTTTGTTAATAATAGTATTGTTTCTTATAAAGTATCAGCCTATCACCGCTGTATATCTAATATATTGATGGCATAGACGTTTAGAACACGATAGAAACAGAAGGTTCATGAATCATGACTAAATATTTTAACATATTACTTCAAGATATTTTGGACCAAAATTCTGAAATCAACATCTTATTTATGTGGCTTTACATTGCTAACTTCCCCTGCAAATATTCGTTATTTTTTTGTGACAAATACAACTCGTTATCAGCTGTTTTCGAAATTCTTTTGACGTATCAACCCTACAAGAAATGTATGACCGAAACTAACACATACAAAATGATTTCACTAACACTCTTGCAATATTTTTTTTTATAAAATTGCTAAAAAAATAGTTAATGGATAATTCCATCAATAATGACAGTCAAATGACCGGTAAAATGACTGTTGATGTACCCAATGTGTGGTAAAGGGTTTCATTTGCATATGAAAGAGTGAAACAACTACATTTGACTGTTACTGTGTTTTAGAGTTATATTTTTCGACGTTATAAATTAATTATTTCTGTAAAAGCCAAAGATCAAGAAGCGAAAAATTTTAAAATTTACAAAGTGTATAAATTATTGAAAATAAAGAGAATTATTATAAACAGAATTTAAAAATAGTGCAGGAAGTGGAGCTGAAGATAAACACTTCGGAGTTTAATCAATCTATGGTAACATGATTACTTACTTTTAATTTTTATATTTCGATATTCATATGTATTTCTTACAGACAACTTATTTCCACAAATTAAAAGGAGCATCAGCGGATTTAAGATCCTGCGAGGTATGTAAAATGGTGAAATGATTGTTAATTTATGTACATGCTTATTATATTAATAAAATTAACAAATATATATCTTAAAATATTAATAAATTGTGTTTTATTATAAATTGGTATAGCCGTCACATTTGACGGATATATTCATCACATATGATTAGTCAACAATGACCGATAAATACATCATTTTTAATTTGTTAACTGTGATAGATATATCCATCAAGCATGATCAGTCAATCCTGACTAATATTTATGTCATCCTTGGTAAGTAAACAACAAAAGAGTGAGGAGCTCAAATATATGTTTTAAAGTCGATAGAATTCATAAGTGCAAGGGAGAAGAAAAATCACATGTACACAAATGTTTCCATCACTTTTGTCCATTTGCCTTAAGAAACTGATAGAAACTTTGCTTTACGCTGTGATAGAAATAATACATCAGTAGTGCCAGTCAAATGACCTATCAAATGACTGTCACTGTTCTTGTAGGGAATCTACCAACAAACAGAGGCATTTCGCAAATCGCAGTGATCTTTGTACCGTGTACTAAATTTAAGTTTTGTTTGATTTTTTATATACCCGGTATACAATATATTTTCATTTCATACTTTAACTAATAAACTTTAAAACGAAATTTACAAAAATGTTGGCAAATATCAAATTGTTTGCAGTTACAAATTCTGCCAAGAAATTGTGCACCATTGGTAAGTAAAATAACAATAAAAAATTAAATTATGAAATTTATATGCAATTTAAAAAAAAATTGTATAATTAAGTGCATATGATATGTTTGTATAATATAAATTTTATAGAAAAATCGAAATCACTACAAATTAGTTAATTATCGGCATTAAAATTATAATAAATACAAGAAAAATAACAGTAAAATAGTTTATTTTTGTTGTTAATTAATTTAGCATCAAGTTTAGTCATTTTTGTTGTTTAGTATTTAGTACCGGTCAAAGTCCAAATAAATAAGATTGCGGCTAGACAATAACAATATGTTAAAATAACAGAATGAAAGTACAATCATAATCATCTACTTGATTACGATTAGACGACATACTTTCATATCTGTGCATGTAGACGTATTAAAAAACTTTAAAAATGAAAAATTATTTTGATAACTTTCTCAGGAGCTTTGCGCAATTTCTCCACCCCTACGGCTAGTGCCCCAAGCCAAAAGAACAATATTGTACTTGTTGATGGCGTCAGAACTCCATTTTTATTATCTGGAACGACTTATTCCAAATTGATGCCTCATGAATTGGCCCGCCACTCCCTTTTGTAAGTATTATACAAAAACCCAGGACAAAATTACAATATTTCCACCAATTTACAACTGACTTTCAACAAAATCCGGATAGTCATTGACATTTGTTAAAATTTTTAGGAGCCTTTTACGCAAAACCAAAGTCGACAAATCACTCGTTGACTATATTGTTTATGGCACTGTTATCCAAGAAGTTAAGACCTCCAATATTGCTCGTGAAGCTGCTTTAGCTGCAGGTTTCAGTAACAAAACTCCTGCCCATACTGTTACCATGGCTTGCATTAGTTCAAATGCTGTAAGTGTTTCGGAGATGATATAACACAACACTTCTCTTATTTATTTTATTGAAATATTTTAGGCCATTACCACAGGTATGGGTTTAATTGCTACCGGCACTTATGATGCTATTGTAGCTGGTGGTGTTGAGTTCATGTCTGATGTTCCTATTAGATTTTCACGCAAAATGCGTTCCCTTATGCTGAAGGCCAATAAAGCCAAGACATTGGGTCAACGTTTGGCCTTGCTCTCGACATTTAGACCAAATTTCTTGGTACCCGAACTACCAGCAGTTGCTGAATTTTCTTCTGGAGAAACCATGGGTCATTCTGCTGATCGTCTGGCTGCCGCTTTTAATGTATCACGTCAAGAGCAGGATGAATACGCTTTAAGATCTCACACTTTGGCTCATGAAGCTCAAGGAAAAGGCTACTTCACAGATTTAGTTCCATTCAAAGGTAAACATTAACATTTTATTTGTAAAATCCTTACTAACCCCATCAAATTTTAGTTTCTGGTGTTGATGAGTTGGTATCTAAGGATAATGGTATTCGTGTATCATCCAAAGAACAATTGGGTAAATTGAAACCTGCTTTCGTTAAGCCTCATGGCACCATAACTGCTGCCAATGCTTCATTTCTTGTATGTAAAATACATTACTACTAATTGTCCAATGAAATGAATTAAAATTTTTGTATTTATAGACCGATGGTGCATCTGCCTGCCTCATAATGACTGAAGAAAAAGCTAAGCAATTGGGCTTGAAGCCTAAGGCTTATTTGCGTGACTTTACATTTGTTTCTCAAGATCCCGTCGATCAATTGCTTTTGGGTCCTGCTTATGGTATTCCTAAGTTGTTGAAAAAGGCCAACCTCGGCCTTAAGGATATCGATACTTGGGAAGTTCATGAGGCTTTTGCCGGCCAGATTGTGGCAAACATTAAGGCCTTGGAATCCGACTGGTGGTGCAAGACCTACTTGGGTTTAAGTGAAAAATACGGAGCTCCTGACATGAACAAATTCAACAAATGGGGTGGTTCTCTCTCCATTGGTCATCCTTTCGCTGCTACTGGTGTACGTTTGTGTATGCACACTGCCAACCGTCTGGTCAGAGAAGATGGCAAATTCGGTGTTGTATCAGCTTGTGCCGCTGGCGGTCAAGGTGTTGCTATGCTCCTCGAGAGATATCCCGGAGCAACAGCTGACTAAAATTCGATTCGGTTCCTTATATCTCCATTTCTTATACATGTAATTTTAAATATTTTTAACATTTAAGCCGATATTAAGCTAAAAAGTGCATTTTTTCGAGTCATCCACTTATATCTTATATCTATTTATCTACCTTTAGCCATTTCTTTATAATTTTATGTGCTTTTACTCGAACATAAATCTAAAGTTAAAATACGAGTATGAAAATTTAATAAAAACACTTTTATATTTTTAAATACAAACATACAATGTTTAAGAGAACAAAATTTAGTTTATTTTTCTTATTTGGGGTGGTACATAGTCTTCATCTACAACACGGGGCTTCTTCTTTTTGCCAAACCATCTCTTTGGATAGAAGACACGCTTATTGTAGATTTCCAAGTCAAGTTTATCCTCTTGGTCGAAGAACCAAAGTAAATCTTTTTTCGTAGCAATTTCATTTCTTATATTTTCAATATTCTCTATTCTTTCCTTAGCTGATATTTCTTTTTCAATTTCTAATTTTTTCTGATTTCTCAATTCCTGCCATTTGGGTAGTAAACTCTTTTGTTTCTCAGCCAAAGAGATGGCTTCTTTGGTGGCAGCTTCTGTCAAAAGTCCGTCAACTAAATCTCCAAACTGCTTTTGAGATTGCAGTTGTTCAATTTTATTGACATAATCGGCTTGACCAGCAGCCGATAGAAGTTGTTTGCAGATATCAGCTATATCCGCATTTATTTCGATCGTTTTCGTACTTAAGGTTTTATCTAATTCCGCATAGTTTGCTGTTAGCACTAGACCTAAGATTTTAGCATTATCTTGGGTGTTGCCCTCTAAAACTTTAGAAGCAACTTTTAATACGGCCTTGCCAATCTCCTTGTGTTGATCAACCTCTTCAACATTACGCAGAAAATGTACACGAATTTTTTTCTAGAAAAAAAAAGAACAATTTTTCATCCGATTCAGGTGAATTTCATTGAAGCTTACCTCTTGTACCTTGCCCTTGGGTGGGCTAGGAGCATTCTCTTCGCTAGTTTGTTCCTTTGAAAGTTCTTTTTTTAAAGTTTCCATTGAGGATTTTAAGCAAAATGCCTGAACGAATACACTATCCAATTCGTCCAATAACACTAACTTTAAGGCCAATGGCAAACCCAAAATGTATTCCTTTTCATCGTGCAATGTCTGGGTTACCGCAAAACCGGTAAAGTTGTTTAAAAATATTCCATACTGAGGGCGATCCAAAAGAATGGGAACTAATTCTTGTACATTCGAATTTTCCAACAAATGTCTCACGACTGCAAAATGTGTAGATTCCAAACAAGTATTAGCCAATTTCGTTGATCGCAACTTTGCTAACAAATCCAGAACGGCGGATCTTCTGTCCTCATAATTGCTAAGACTATTTACGAACAAATCGAGGTTAAGTGCATTTAAATTCTTAGTGACAACAGCAAGTTGCATTTGATTTCCATTGGTGCCAGTTGGCGGCTCCAAACGTGCATTAAGCACTTCTCTGACTTCGTTGGATAGAAGTCTCTTTGATATATTTCTGTATGCTGGACATACAAATCCCTTCGATCTAAGAAACATTGTTCACAAATTCCCAATGTAATACCAATAGAACTACACTCTCCTCACTTTGGGACACTTCAATTTCATGACATAACAAGGTACAATTGTTTACAAAATTTTACAGTTTGACATTTCAAATAACAGGGCCACTCGTATGTTAAATTAATTGTGGTTATCGATTTTCGAATTGACATATAATTGATTTTAACGCCATATTCAAACAAAAAATGTTTGTTTAAAATTTTTTAATAATATTTATACAACGACTTTGATGTTTGAATCAAACTATATACAATTTCTACCATGATTTCAAAGCTTGGGATTGGCTTGTTGACAAAATTAATTCAAGTTTCCTTATATGATCGTTACTGATATGTTGTATATTATTTCAGAAATTTAAACATTAACACAGGTAAAATTGTACAATTAAGTTTTTGAGAATAAAAATTGACTTTGTCCTGTATTTATGAAAGAAATGCAATATTTTGGTTTTTTGTTACTAACTATTTGTACAACATACATTTTTTATTCTAAACTTTTTGAAAAGTGTTTTGTATACTAGTCAATACTTACCATGAATATGATGATTTAAGTGCTAATTTGGGTGATTTAAAGTGTTGGATTGCTCGATTTAACTGGGTATATTCTTGGGTGTTAGCAAATATTTATTGCTTGTAGGAAAGTCTTTAAAATATTCAGCACCTTTTTCCAAATAATCCGATTTGTTGGTTAAGATATTTTTAAATTCTGAAGAATTTGCCAGATCTTTTGCTCCATACCAAGCATCTAAAAGTGGATTTTTACTTTCCCTTACCGAAAACGATGAATTAAATGGACGCATTTCTTGCAATTCCTTAAGTAGACGATTTTTAAGACCTATATCGAATATATGTTTGTAATAAAAATAAAGAACAGTTTAGTTAATTATTATTATAAATTACCTGGTAATTTTGAGCAACCTCCAGTTATAAAGATATTATTAGCTAAAGTTTGCTGATCACTCGCATTGAACAAATTGAAAACAAAGTTTAACAGCTCCGCTACACCACACTCGGACATTCCAATCATACTGGGTTGAAATAATAATTCAGGAGCTCTTAATGATTCAACTCCAACATGAAGCTACAAAAAAAATAAATAATTTATCAACTGTATAGATGTTTTCATATTAGTTGTCGCCTAATGCCTGTCGGTACAATTGTGTTTAAAAAATAAATGATAACCGAATTACCCTGTCAGAGAGTAGAATAACTTTTAGTCAACTATATCCACCTTGTCCAGTTATTTATTTTGATTGCACAGTCTCGGTGGACAGACAGCCGTTGTAAAATGTCTTTAAGCAATTTGATAAAACGTTGCACATTAGCTGCTCCTAATTTAATAAGACGTAATATATACACAAGCCTTCCCAGATCAAGTAGCAAGGCTTATGACCACGATGGCAAAACTAAAATAAACATATTCAACACACAACAGGATCTGGGAATAATGATTACTGGCTACAGTCAATATGGTTTCCGCATGAACAACGATATGGTTGTTATTGGTCCAGTGGCTGTATTTCCCAGGTACTTTAAGTTATATAATCAAATCAAATAACACTTTTTAAAACATATTTCGCTTTAAGATCCCTGCTGTCATGGAATGTAGAATCGGTGGATGACATAAACGAAGAAAGTTTGTCTCTATTTACCGCCTTGGAACCCAAATTAGATCTACTGATCATAGGTATAGGAGATCAAACTGCTACACCTAGTTTCTCAAAAAAGATTCTAGGTTTTATGAAAAAGTACAAAATTAATGTGGAAGTTTTAAGAACGGAGCAAGTAAGTACCTATATGAACTATAATAGCTGAATTTCTAATAAATTATTTTTACTTTTAGGCATGTGCTACATTTAATTTCTTAAATGCGGAAAATAGAATGGTTGCCACCGCATTGATACCTCCACTTCACATAACTTATAATGAAAATGATGTCTTGGGCACCAGTATCCAAAGATTTAAGCAAACATTTTAGAGAAATTGGTTTAGAATAGTTGATTTAAGAATAATACTTTGTTCGTTATATTGATATGTTAATAAAATTAAAGCTTAAAAAGCTTACCTGATATAATTCCGCAGTATTCTCAATAGCTTCTTTATCTTTATCCATTACCGCATGATGGTACTTCATAATATTGTCATATTCTAAAAGTTTTTCGTTTTCAGCATCACTATCACTTTCATTTTCGTTGCTTATTTTCTTATACACATCCCAATCTTTGTCATCCTTGCCGAATTCGTCGCTACCCTTTTCATTCGATGCCAATAGGGAAATAATACGCATACGCTCTTGGGACGCCACCGTATGGCGTTTTGCCATTTCCTGACGCCGTTTATTACGATTTGATTTTTTCTCTATTATATCCATATGTTTCTGTTTAATGTCTCTTAGCCAATCTTCCAATGGAATGCCAGGAGGTGGTTTGTATTTTGAACCTCGACTTGAGGTGACCGGGTTTGTTGCGGGCACAACTGCAGCATCCGATGTGGGCTAGTAATTAATAAAAAGTGTTAACTAAATGTCTACAATACATGCTTTGTAAATGAAATAAGATACCTCTTCGCCTTTTTTCTCTCGAAGTCTTTTTTGATTTGCTTCTATTAACCTTCTCGTTAGTTCTTTCCGTTTTTTCAGTTTTTCCTCAGCAGCCATTGGATTCAAAGCAGCCGGTTGAACATACGGCAATTGAATTTTTTTAACATTTTGATTATAATACTCAATATTGTCCCACTTTCTTAATTCTTCCCTATAGTCCAATGCTACGAAACTGTGATTGTGAAATATATCTTCCATACGGGTCCAGGATATAGCATTTAAATGTGCTGGATATTTCATTTGTAGTAGACGATATAGATAAGATATCATTTGATAACCACCCAAATTTAGACGACGAACTTTATCATGTTGCAATGCACCCTTCAAAATGGGCACCACATGTGTGGTGTGATAACCAAAACTTATAATCAAACAATCCTGTTCATTGTTATCGCTTTTGTTGTGCTGCCAGCTTAAGATCGAATCCACACCATAACACACCGATGATACACCGTAACATTCAAACAGCAATTCGTTCATGGCTGAGAGTTGAGGAAGCAGCACAATAAAGTTTAAATAAAAGCTAACTAATAAGGAAAACACTTACTTTGCCTACAATAATTAGGGTTTGCCAAAGGTTCTGTTATTAATATCGTATGTGGTTTCCAATCCACCTCGTTTTTAGCTAATTTGCCAAATATGTAGTCGAATATGTGCTCCTGGTAAGTGGGATGTGTAACAACATTTCGTTCAAACTGATTTTTAACTAGTAAACGCATGGCGTCCACATCTATTTCATCACCAATCTGAAAGGTATTTTCGTTTAACGCGGCGGCCGGTTCTTTCTTTTTGTCCTTACGTGGTTTGGCGACTAGATTCCGAAATTCCAACAATGGCTTCTCCGAATCATTGTAACCAATGCGACACTTGTATGAACCTTGAAAATATATAAATTACTATATTTACAATAAATTTAACGAAAATACTTACCATTGTCTATTATTAAAGTTTTATGCTGAGCCATTTTCTGTTTTTAGCGCAAAAATCAGTAGAAAAATACTATTTTGGCTTTAAATTTTTAGCTGACCGTTTGTATTAAAATATTAACCCATGAATAACCAACTAAACATTAATCACAGGGTGACTACGAATTAACAATTATCAAATATATTTTATATTTCAAAAATACTTTTAAATTGATATTTTTTGTATATTTATAACTTTGTGATTGTTTATGTTGAAAATATTTTTAAAATACATTAAAATTATAAAAATTATATTTTACACTAATGACATTTAAACAATTGACTGATTTTTTTATAGTTGCTTGGCAACTCTTATAAACATAACAATCTGGTAACTTAATAGAATAATTCACATACTTTTTTTAATCAAAACGAAGACGGTGTAAAAAAAGTAGAAAATTTATATATATTTAATTATTTTAATAAAATTATGGAAGAACAACGCAGCGATAAAATATATGGAGGATGTGAAGGTCCTGATGCCATGTATGTAAAGCTTATATCTTCAGATGGACACGAATTTATAGTGAAAAGAGAACATGCTTTAACCTCTGGCACCATTAAGGCTATGTTGTCGGGACCAGGACAGTTTGCAGAAAACGAAGCCAATGAAGTACATTTTCGCGAGATACCGTAAGTGTTTGACAGGCAATTCAATTAGCTTTTAATTACCAATATCCTCGAGATTGCCAATAAATGAAGGCAAAAGTTTATTTTCTAATGACAAATGCAATTCTATGTACAAAAGTATATGTATGAATGAATGTTAATATGTACAATATATATACTCATACATAGTATGTATGTTTGTATATATCATGAAGACTGTTCGCTCATCATACCTCTTAATATTTTGGAAAATTGTCATTGATTATTTTTTTTTTCGCTTAAAACATCCGTGTTTATTCAGTTCTAACCATTTTTTATTTATTGTAAAAAAATCTTTTAAGAGGGATTATTAAAAAGTGAACTTTAACCTTTCATAGAAACAAACAGCTATTTTTAGTAACATGTCTCAAGTGTATGAAACAAATCATAAATCATCATTCTTTAATTTGCAGTGCATAAAATAATGGAATGAAATTTATGAAAATTTACTACTAAAACAATAACCTTAAAGTAGAAAAAAAAAAACAAAATGCATTCATTAACTTTTTTACAAATACCATTTTGGAAGTTGTTTAAAATCACTTCCAGAGTAGTTAAAAAAACTAAATGCTAATTTTGCTATTAAACATAGGTACTTGATTACTTTGCAGGATCGATAAACTAATCTTTTTATACTCAAAAGCAAAAAGATTTCATGGTGGGTATTACCCACTGAGATATTGGTTGTAAATGAGTTCTTATTAGATTCTAAGACGATCTAGCTATCTTCCGCCAGTTTGTTAAACGTTAGGGCTTAAACGGGATGAGCTAGATGGGCAGACCAAAATCTACCTACTTAATTATAATCGATTAATAATTGTCCACACCTTCATATAACCCCTTTTACAGAAAATCATTATATACCCTTTACAAATCATGGTATTAAGTGAAAACAAACGAAAATGATTTGCTATTAGAAATTGAACCCTCATGATATTGGAGAGGAATTTACGCATATGTGACCGGATAAAATTTATCGTGATTTTCCTTTTTTCGATGATGGCATTCGATATCGAAATTTTGTACATTTTAACTTAATTTCAATATCGAAATGTGTTTAAAATACGAAAGCGATCACTTATGCTTTAATAAGTGAGTGAAGAGTTCGATCCAAAATTGACCCAATACTCCATAAAAGTTCCTCTTTCGAGAATCAATTTGACGTTTATATTAATATTGATTTTAACGAGATTTTCGTGTAACATTTTATATTTATATGTATGTATGTACATATATAATTAAAACTAATACTTTTATGTTATTTCTTCTTCCAGCTCTCATATTTTGCAAAAGGTTTGCATTTACTTTACCTACAAAGTGCGCTATACAAATAGCTCAACAGAAATTCCAGAATTCCCGATTGCCCCTGAAATAGCTTTGGAACTTTTGATGGCTGCAAACTTTTTAGATTGTTAAAAAATATTCATTATGTTGTTCTTTTATTTTTCTTTTTCTTATATAAAATCGATCTGATAAAAAATAAATATTTTTTTATTTCGATGAAAAAGACAAAATTGTAAATCGGACTTCGACAGACGACACAGTAAATGCAATAGCACTCAAGTAACAATAAAAACAAATGACTTAAACCTGTTAGCTTCTAAATTATTTACTTTGCCAGTTTTTACCTTTTTTTATTTAATGAGAAAATGTAAATTATAAATAAATTAATAATGTACCACTAATATAAAATAATAAAAAAACTATTTCAATTATTAAATTATTTAAAACCTACGTTACAAGTAATACATACATCTTTATCATGGCATTTAAAGGTTTGTTTATACTACTATGTGTAAATTTTCAACTCATTAATTTTTGAATAAAAATGGCCAACATTACAATTTGGAATTTAGTGTTGCAATTCAGTTAGAGAAATTGTTACTGAAAAATGGTCAAAACACAGTTTTTATAATTTTGTTTCGAAATCATATTTTTAGTAAAAAAAATTATGACATACAACACTACAACTCCAATTTGATTTGAATTGTAAAACTCCATACGAAAAAAATGACAGCATACGCTCTCCTCTTACTTTTTTAAATACGAAAACAACCAACAGCTGTTAAAAGTATCTATATCTATGAAATTCGTTTGTTTTACTCGATACTTCACATTTTTCTGACTTATGACAATCTACACGCAAATAAGCGATAACAAAAAGTATGGAATACTTGAGATACTTTAGTATTAAATTGTATTCCATACTTTTTTAAGCAGCTTTGCAACACGTGATAATTTAGTAGTTTCCAAGTAGAACATTTGTTCAATCGGCTTATTTAGAATGGATCCTGAAGTCAAACAAAAAAGATCGAAAATGTCGGCTTTGGAGCAATTAAAAAAATACACTACTATTGTAGCTGATACTGGTGACTTTGAAAGTGAGTATAAAAAACAAAAAACATATAATCCGCCTAGGGATTAAGACAAATTTTAACCTAGTGGGGGGCAAGGAACATTTGCAATGTAAACGTGTGCGGGTATTCGGGTGTAAATGTGAGATTGCAAAATGTGATTTGCAAAAATGAAAAAGTGTAACCTTAGATACTACATACATACAACTTTCAAACAGCGTCGTCTAACCTTCAATTGTCTTAGATTAGAATAAAGAATGAAAACATTATAGATTGTTATGTAGATAGTAAAATGGACACAGATACAAACGTACATACATATGGATGTATGTATCTATGTACTTTGTTTGTAAACACTTCATGATAAAGATAGATAAAGTAATTACTTAAAATGCTTACTCTTACAAAACTAAAACTTTCCCCCCGGATTTTTAGGCATGAAGCTTTACAAGCCTACTGATGCTACAACAAATCCTTCTCTTATTTTAAATGCCGCCAAGATGGAAAAGTACCAGGAGATTGTACAAAAAGCTGTACAATATGGCAACAAGGCTGGAGGGTTAGTAAATTTCGCACATTACAAACAACAACAAATAACTAAATAATTTTATTTGTAGTTCCACCGAGGAAAAGGTCGAAGAAGCCATGGATTACTTGTGCGTTTTATTCGGTTGCGAAATTTTGAAAATTGTACCAGGTCGTGTGTCTACTGAAGTCGATGCTCGTCTATCTTTTGATACCGAGAAGAGCGTCAAGAAGGCTTTGAAATTGATTTCCTTATATGAAGACATGGGAGTCGGAAAGGATCGCATTCTCATCAAATTGGCTTCTACATGGGAGGGTATTCAAGCCGCCAAAATCTTAGAATCCCAACATAATGTCAAATGTAATTTGACTTTATTATTCTCTTTTGCCCAGGCCGTAGCCTGCGCCGAGGCCAATGTAACTCTCATTTCCCCATTTGTGGGTCGCATCCTCGATTGGTATGTCGCCCATACAGATAAAAAGAAGTATGAATCTAAAGAGGATCCCGGTGTGGTTTCCGTCACAAAAATCTACAACTACTATAAGAAATTTGGTTATCAGACTGTCGTAATGGGTGCTTCATTCAGAAACACCGGCGAAATTAAAGCTTTGGCTGGCTGCGATTTGCTAACAATTGGACCCTCTCTCCTCAAGGAACTCGAGAATGATGCTGAAGAAATTACTCCCCAATTGAATGCTGAACAAGCAGCTCAAGTAAATCTTGAGAAGATTACTGTTGATGAACCTACTTTCAGATGGATGCTTAACGAGGACGCCATGGCAACCGACAAACTTTCTGAGGGTATTCGTAAGTTTGCAGTTGATGCCGTTGCCTTGGAAAATCTCATCATCAAACACTTCTAAAAAAGTGAAATTATCTATATATATATTCTCTAATTGGTACAGGGCCCCATTAACTATTCCATATGTTATGTTATTACTAATACATACCACCCATATTTTTGTATGAGTAGAAATAAAAAATGGTTTTTCTTAAGATTTTTTAAAATCTTTTTTGTATATTTTTTTCTGTTTTGTTTTAATATATGAAAGTATATTGTGTATGGGTTCGGGTTCGGGTTTTCTTGAAACTTGAGTTAAAAAAAAAAACGGATAAATGTATTCTTACCATTAAGTATTGATGATATCCCATCGTATTGAATGTTTTCATATTGCGATTAATCTTTTACTTTAATCAATGGATTTCATCTTACTCAAATAGGCAGTTGGTATCATTTTAATTTCGCCATTTAGCTGGCATATGCTGGTGTCTTTATTAGAATGCGATACCACTTTACCGACCGATTCACGTTCATCGCCATAAATAACTTTAAATTCATCACCAACTTCTGGCGGAACGGGTGCCAAATGTTCGCTTACAACCGAAACACTGCGATCTTCTTCTTGTAGGAAAACTGAACAGACACCATTAGAAACAGTGCGAATAATGCCAGTTTGGCCCACTAAATCAACATCGTCATGGGTATGGATTTTGACCTCAATATCAGTTGTACACCAGTCACCAATTGGTGATTCTAAGCTTGCGCCAGGAGTTTGTGGATTATAGGGTGAGTTGGGAGCGCCGCCAGGAGTGTTGGGCGAGTAACTAGAAGGAGATGGTGTGTTCATATAGCCAACAGGATATGGTGATGGAGCTGGACTTGGACTAGGGTTAAAGGGACTGTAACTGCGGTCAGAGCCATAAAGAGTTCCTGGCGTTTGTGGTGGAAACTGTGTGTTGATCTGATAACCAGGAGTACTGGGATTATAGCCAGGACTTGGGCTTGGTTCTTCAAGTGAATAATCAAAGTCATTACTGCGAGCTGGTGTGTTTGTAACATTCGGATCCCAAGCTCCATGACGTGGCGTCATGCTACCATCATGCAACGGTGTCATCGAACTACTATAAGGTGTGCGACCTTCAGAGTCCCAGTTGGGTGTTTGACTACCCAATAATGGAGTCTTAGATCCAGCTGCAGCATAAATTGGTGTATGAGAACCATAACCAGGAGTACGAGCTGGAGTGCGTCCGTACGAAGAGAGGCTGCCATCTTTGCCTGCTGCTCCAACTATGGCGATGTGATTACGATCAACGGAAATGGTTTGACACGATGTATGTAATTCCACACGCGCTGTACTCTCTGTAGCATCTTTGATAATACCCACCACACCTTTTAAATTGAGGTAATATAAAAAAGAAATCAGTGTTTACTAGCATTACACCAACACTACAGTAATTACCTTTATAGGGGCCTCCACTAATTTTGATTGTTTTGCCCACCAGTTCACGATCTCTGGTAACTTTGAAACCACCGCGGCCACCTCTAGCTCCACCACGACCTCCTCGTCCACCCGAAGGATGCATAGGAGATTGAATACGTGGAGACATAAAGCCTAAACCACCGAGCGGGCCAAAATTATTGGTTTGTGATTTGCTACCACCAGCAAGTTGAAGATGTCTGGTCTTGCACACAAATATTCCACCATTTTCCGTATACATGCGACAATGTAAAAATGCTAAACTGCGATATAAATGTTTTATTTCTCCCGATCGACCCTATAAACGAACAGACATTATAACATGTCAACAGTATTATAACGTTTATAACTTACCGCATGAGGACCTTCCATAACTTTAACAATATCGCGACGTCTGATTTGATTTTGATCAGCATCGAGTGCTATGGTATTTCTGTTCTCACGCCTCTTATGTAGAGCAGTAGGTTTGCATTCAATAACCTTGCTATGCATGCCCAAAACATGGAAATTTTCACGTTCCAAACGAACAATAACACCCACATTTTGTGCGCTATTTCAACAGAGAAAAAAGATTCAAATATTTTTAAAATTTCATTTATAGGAACACTCACTCTAGTTGCACCAAATCACCCCATTGAAATTGACCCAGACAATCCACACCGGTGGCAACATCTGAGCAAAGTTGCAAATCTCTAGGCAACACTTCCAATTCATGATTTGTTAAATCGGACACAAGAACCACACGTGTGGGTTCAACACGAATAATTAAACCTGTTTCTCCTTCATAACGTCCAGCCAAAACACGGGCATGGTCACCAGTTTTAAAGTATTTTCGCAATTCGTTTGCTTTAAATACCAAAGGATCCTATATACGATAATAATTATAAATGTTGTTTATTCGAATACTGAATATTATTAATTTACCTTCAAATCTTGATGCTTCGGCATAACAGTAATCATTCCACCGTCGATGGCTATGATTTTTGCCTGCAAATTCTCCAAATCACCCACACATACTTCAACATTATCACCCATGGAGAATGAATGTCCAGCAGTGGGATCATCTTTAGCCCCAGTAACAATTTCTAAATTTACATCTATAAAACAAATCGTCAGCAGTTACTTATTCATTCTATATGTATTTTTTTAATAAAAAGAATAATTACCTTCTGGTTGTTCTTCAAACCTTTCTAATTCTGCCAGAGTTGGTTTAACGCCTTCAGCTTGAATAGCTGACATGGTAAAGTTTTTGTATAAGAAACCCTTGCGGGAATAGCGATTTCCTTCGAACAGCAAAAAGTCACCATCAGAATGAACTTCACCACCAATGGCCCTTTATTTAACAATTAAAAGTATGTTATCTAAATTTTGTTAAATAAAAGTTTAACCTAAAGCTTACCTCACAGCTTCTGGGTCAAAAGGTTTTGCAGGAGGCCTGCGTTTTTTCTTGCGTTTACTATCATCGGATTCCTTAAGGAATATAAAAATAAACAATCAACTTTGTCTTTTTACTTTTATTGCTGTTATAACTTACGCTTGCAGTTGATCTAAGTGCACCTCTCATGCGTGTGTAATCAATACGAGGCAATAATTTTAAATGGGCTTGATTTTGAGCCAAATCAACATAGTCCACCTGAGCTATGTCATCCTTGTAAAGACCTCTCTTCAATCTTACCCACTGCTTGATCTTTAAACCCACTTGTTCCTTTACAACTTTCAATACATCTGTCATTTCCTTGATGGGTACCATCTCTTGTTTCCACTTTCCCATTCTAAGATTACCAACATTTTCGATAGTGGTCTTGACATGGGTTTGTTTATACGATTCAATGTATATATAACCCTTAACACCCTCGGGTGCAACAACAGATTTGATTTGCAATGGTTCATCGGTATTTAGATAAGTTAAAAATTTACGCATTAATAACAAAGCTGTAGCTTTCTCTTCGCCAATGCGACACTTGACCATCCATAAATTAGGATCCCTTTAAAATATTTAATTTTTATGTTTAAAAGCGTTTTTAAATTTAAATTATTGTTGTAACTCACTTAATTCCAGGCAACAGAGTTTGTTGGGTAATTTCATCGGACATGTCTTCTCCTCCATCTCCAAAATGTCTCTTAGCAATAGATTCATCAGCATATTTCTTTCTTAAATATTCCTCGATTTCGTCTTCTCTTTGTGTACTTTAGAAGTTAAAGAAATATATCTGTAAAATTGTATTCCTATTGTTTTTAGTTAATTATACTTACTCCCATAGATTTGTACCACGTCGTCTTATTTCAATATCACGGGCTGTTGGACCCAATTCGTCAATTTCGTTACCAACTATACCCAACTCATTGGCACCTTCTTCCCATTCATCATCTTCATCAACCTAATTCGTATTATATTTTTAACTTGCAATTGAAAATTAATAATTTTAGGTTTCCTTACCTCATCGTCTACTTCAGCTTCATCGATAATAAAACCACCAAAACGATCCTTCTTCTTTTTCTTTCTTGGTCTATCGTCTTCATCTTCTTCATATTCCTCCGAATCGACATCATCACCATCGACGTCATCCTCTTCTTCCTCGTCATCCCGGGATCGTTGTTTATGTCCTCTTACAGAATTATCCGAACCGGATTCTGAGCCCACTGAACGGGAACGCGATCGAGAACGTGACCTGGATCTAGATTGAGATCTTGATCCAGATCTAGACCTCGTTCCCGACCTGGACCGTACTGGCGACCGTGATCGGGAATGCGCACTCTTTTGCGACTTGTTCGATCCAACGGATCCATCTTCGGAACCACTGTCCGATATATTACTTTCTTCAGAGTCGGACATTTTACTGCAAATACAGGCATTTATCATAATCATGTATTAAATTGTGAAAATTGACCACCATCAACACCGCCATATTTATTTTTTTTTTCATTGCGAAAGTCAACAATACTAAAATATATATACATTTAATACTTACCGATCTCTGAACTATCTTTATGCGCGCACTTCCGATTAAATTATAAGAATATATTTCACCAGAAAATCTTTTTTAACACAAAAACCAAATCGATTGAATGAAATGTCGACAGAAATAAAAGAAAATTTTTTAAACAAGGTGATACGTGTAAATAAAAAAATGTATTAATCCAGTGTTGTATCGAGAGACCTGCGCTAACAAAAATAAACGACGGCGACATCTGACACTAACAACTTCGGCGGCGGCTTTAATTCGGCTGTAAGCTAGCTAAGTTTTCAGCTGGGTTTTTTTTTTTCAAAGATATTGAATAAAAACCAGATCCGAGATATTAAAAACGGAGTTTTTGAAGAAAATATTTTAAAAAATCGGGATTTAATACAACAAGCATACACTCATATACTCATCAAAATATTATATTTTAATGAAATGGTTAAAATATGAATAAAATCATATTTTTTGCCCAGATTATAGGTATATCAGATGAAAGATCTCCGATATCTTTGTTTTGCGTTATGTTCCTTGAAAATTTTTAAAATATAGAATCTTTGAAATCAAACAAAATTGCAAAAGGAGTTGAAATTCGAAAATAAAATTTTCGTGTAACTAGTTATATACTAATGTATTTGGCCAAAAATTTATTTTATATTTAATTTTTTATTTGAAATTCATAAAACCTCAGTTAAGATTTTTCACCTGATGTTTAGAGGAGCCCAATAGAAGTTGAGATTTAACAATTAAAATTCAAGATTTTTTCGTTTGGAATCGGAAACAAACAATTGAAAATTAGGTTTTTTATTTGAATTTTAGAAAATTAATTTATACATTGTATTATTCCCAATATCGTTAGTTTTCTTCTCATTTTCAATTGTACTTTCTGAATATCAAATAGAAAATCTTATATTCAAATGTTATTTCCGAATTCAAAATTTAAAAAACTCAATTTCAACTGTCCTCTTCGGAAATTCAAATGTTAACCAATTTTTAATTAATTTAAATGTGATAAGAAATGAAAAATTTCAATTGTTTTTTGTCATAATTTTAAATGAATAGTATTTTCTGAATATCAAATGAAAAATCTTATTTGCAATTGAAACTGATAGACATCATATCAAAAAACTGATAGATTTACCGTTAAATAATCTTGCTTTTAAAGAAAATCAACTTTTAATTTTAAAGTTTAAGAAAAATTTGTAATAAATAAAAAAATATTAAAATTAAATAATAATTGAACATTCAACTCAAAAAATATCTTATTATTTCTTAAAAACACCGAAGGTCGACGTTAATTAGTAAAATTAAAAAAATTCTATAAAATAAAAACCAATACTAATGTAGTACATATTAAATATGTGGATATAAAAACAAAAAAAATATATATATACTAGGTAGCTCAATATGACAAGTACATTAAGGTAACGGTCGGTTATGTTATTTAAAAAATACATTTGTCTTATTACATTATTATATGAAATTATATAAGAATTTAAGAAATATATTTTATATTATAGTGTTTATAATTGAAAAACAAAAAAAAAAAAACACAATTAAGAATTATTCAGCAGTTCTTTTTGAAACCACCCCCTCAAATTAAACGTAAACTTTTATTTTATAAAGTTTCTTGACCTTTTCAAAAGACATTTGGGTAAAAATTTTAATATATAAATACGTTAATACATATGTATTTTAATTAATACATCATATAAACATATTTGTATTGTATGTAAACATCGATATACATATATAATTATGTATGTAAGTATATAAATGTAATATTTATTTACATAAGCACATACAAATAAAACTTATGATTTATTAACACAGATATAAAAATGTTTTAAAAATTTTATATATTTTGTTTATTGATTAATCCATTGTGATTTATAAATTTGTTGATAGATTTCATCAGGAAGGATTATTATTCAAGAGTAATTTGACATAAATATTTTATATATGTATATATTTAAAACTGTATGTGTGTATGTAATGTACAAAGTACGTTTAAATTTATATTATCTACAAAAAATTATAGAAATATATATTAATACATACATACATACATATATGTTTGTATGTATAGATCTATATAGATATATATTTTTGTACTATCCTTCGAATACTAGAATTTTTGACATTGCATGCCTTATTTTTATTTATATCTAAAATAAGTATGAGGTTCTGTAATATTTTTTCTACTTTTGTTATTGTTTCATTTAGTGCTTAGCAATCAGGGGCGTCAATTGGCAATATAGTTTTGTGGGGGTAAAATTATTATATTTTTAAATTTTTAAAAAATTTTGATTTCAAATTTTTTGGTAAAAAATATTTTTACAGATTTTGGAAGGAAAGTTTGTAGTTAAGAAAAATTCAGAAAAGTTTTTTATAAAAAAAAAATGTGAAAAAAGTTTTGAATGAAAATGTTAGAAAAAACTGATGTCTTTCCTCCTGATGATGTATATCAAGAAATTAAAAACTCTCAAAGGTTAAATATAAAAGTATAAAATCCTGAGAAATATTGATTCATAAATAAATAAAAGTTTGGAATTTAAAGAAACGCCATTTTTATTTTACTTTGCATTATATATTCATAATACGTACCGTTGTACTTTTATAGGCTCGAATTATGCCAAAAAAGTACAATTATAAGAAGTGTGGCAGCCCGGATAGATAAACAACGGAAATTAAAATCTAAGTTAAAAGCGTTGCCAGCTTAGAAAAAGTAGTGTTGATTAGTTTTTAACTGTCTTTTTGCTTTGGTTATCATTTTACTTTGAATTACATAGACAGGAAAGCAAGAATGTTGTTAGTAACATTTAACTAGTCATTAGCGACTTGTTATAAATGTGTACAGTTCCAGATTCAAAACCATATTTGCCCTATGAAGTTTTCCACCAACTCAACGTCTCTGCTGGAAAAGCAAACGAAGAAGAAGAAAAAACAAATATGTATAATAACCTTAAGCACTGTCTAAAAAAATGCTTCAAAAAATCAAAACAACAACGGTAACAACAACATATAGATGGATACATCTACACTAGCTACGTTAATAAGTAGAAACCATCACAATACACACATTTTGTTTTCTTTAGCTTTATGAATATCATTTGAAACAACAACAGCAATAAAAAAACGACGAAACGAAAAAGAAAAACGACATAAACATCATCTACAGGAATATATGCATTCATATTATTAAAACAAAACAAGAACAAAAACAACAAGCATCAGAATCGGCATCAGCTAAAAGCACACTAGCCACCACCGCCAGCATCATCATCGAATAGTATAAGCAAGCAGCAGCTAGCCTGGCTGACTTTCGGGCTGCCTTCTTTCTTTGCTCGCTGTGGTCGCTTTTATATAGTTGCTGTTGTTGTTCTTATTGTTATTGTTGTTGCCTTTGTATTATATTGTACGTTGTATGTATGTACAGATGTACAATCGGTACGATGATGATTCTTTCTAATATGCTAAAAGTATTTTCCCGGGCAGTAGAGAGTTTACGTCTGTCTGGGAATTTTGCCAAAAGCAACAAATTCTGTAATTCAGATAGACACTCTCATCAAGCACTTTCTCCCTGTGTTTAGTCGCCGTCGATCGTTTCAAAAGCGCGATCTTTTCCTTAGTTCTTAATTTTTTGGCTGGGCCAAAAAATATAAAAAATACAATTATATAAAAATTTCGGTTCGCACAGCATTTTAATAACAATTATTTTGTAAGTTTCAACTAAAATAATTGTAATAACTTAAAAAACTCAAAAAATAAAACAAAGAACATTTACAAAAGGATATTAAAAAGTGCTACAATTTTCCTGTACTAAATAGTTTTAAATATTATACAGTTATTAAGTGCTTCATTATTGTTAAGAATAAATAAACCACAAAAAACAGAAAATACCTCAACAACTTAAAAGTTGAAACAAGAAAAATTTAAAAGAATTTAAACATCAACTCCCAGGCAAAGATAAAGAACTCATCAAAAACAGTTTCGAAAAAAAAATTAAAAAATAAATAATATTAAAATAAGAAAAAACAATATGGAATAAATTAATAAATATATTAAGTTGTTATATAAAAGATTTCATATTTCGTAAAAAAAACGTTTTAATTAAACATATGTATGTAGGTATGCATAGTACATGATAATGATGATGATAATATGCATATGTATGTACGTATTCATGTAAAAATTACGTTTTAAATAAAAATTAAACAAAATATGTAGTTGTTATTTGTAGTGTATGAAGTATTCGAAAAACCAAAAAGAAAATCCCAAAAACTTTGTAATTTGTCGAAATATGTAAAAGAAATCATTAACACTCATTTAGATAGTATTTTTAATTTTTGAATATTTAAACAAGCAAGTCTATAGATTTCTACCAGTGGTGCTAATAAAGTGTTTTTCTGTTGTTGTTTTAAGAACGTAAAAAATAATATCTTAAACTAAACTTTTCGAGCGAAAGCTAAATGCTTTTCTTTTTAGTATTAGTTGTTGTTGTAAGATTTGCTCACAAATTATTGGCATCACCTATTTTCCACATATACACTGACACTTTTTTAGAAAGACACTCTCCCAAAATAAAATTTTAGAAAAAAAAAACAACAAAAAATTAAAAATAAACCATAATATATTCAAGGTTTCTAAAATCTTTCAATACATACACACAAACACATGTAGATATATGCTTGTTCTTCATTAGATTTTATATATATGATATATTTTTATATATACCTACTCTACTAATTTAGATTTTATATATTTAAACATACATATAGACGTATGTATGTTTGTATGTATATTTGTCATTGCTCCTCGAAAATTTTCGAGGTGATTTGAGCAAAAAAAGAAAATCAAAATTTTTAAAAACGCTTAGGAAAACACAATTCCGATGTTTTAATAATAAATTATTATTTTTTATGAAGAAATTAAGAAAATCACCTTAAAATTTCAAATTTCAGTTGTCAAGGCATATCAAAATTTTCAGCCATATGTGTATGTGTGTGTGGCTGCTTGTATTTATATATAAAAATATAAAAAGAGGTAAAAAAGTGCTGGGATTTTTTGATGAGTATATTTTTATTATTTTTTTTTCTTTGGTATATTTTTTGGTTTTTCATATTTTCTTATTACATAATAACGAATTATTTTTGGCAAAATTATGAACATAAAAATATGTACATATGTATGTATGTGTCTCAATATACATATATATGTACAAATGTATGCATAAGTTTAAGTTAATACGTAAAAAATAATTAGTTTACAGAACAATTAAAACAACGACATTATTATTAATTAATAATGTATGCTGTCAATCAAATTTAAAATTTCCTATTTTAACAATAATTCTAAATATAAATTTTAAAATACCTCAAAAATTACCAAAATTTAAACATAAATTAAATTCCAGTAACTTTTTTAAATTACATTTATAAATTATTTTACAGCTACAGATTTAAATCGTTTTATAACTTTTATTTATAAGTTTGTTAAAAAAAATTGAAACAGCTACACATACATATACATATGTACATAATATTATGCGTATGTGTGCGTTTTAAAGGCCCGGGAAAAATCACTTAAGAAAAACACCTGCTTTTCATTTGTGAAATTTAAAATAGGCCAGCTATTTGTCTTCTTTCAATTGTTCAACATTTAGGTGATTTTGTAGCATGATAAGCCATATTTTTATAACAAATTTTAAAGAAGTTTTGAAAATATCAATAGATTTACTAGGATAAACAATCTTCTAAAATCAAATTAAAAATAATAAAATCTACTGCGTAGTAATTAATAATCATAATTTTTGTTAGATGCGATCGGAACTTTTGACTCTGTCGAAATCCAATCGAAAATTAAATTAAAACTTTTTTTTAAAGAAAAAACAACAATTACTGAAAGAAATTTCAAAATTTTTAATTCCATATTAAATAAAAAATGGCTTCAATTCGAAAAATCTTCATTTTACATTTAAATTCAAACGTAAATTTAATAACAAATAATGTAAATAAAAAATATTCAATACATTCTTTTAAATAGCAGTTTAGATTTCAAACTAAGACGCTATTGTATATTTTTAGTTAATTAATTAATTAACTATTTTCATTATTTTTCTTAAAATATAACGTTTCACATAACGGCTTCTTCAGAGTTGCATTAAAAAGTTTTATATTTACTACTTTTATAGTAAATTTACTACACATTTTACTTAAACCTTGACAGGCAAACTCTATATAAGTATTTTTTGACAAGAAAACATTAAGAAGAAGAAGCACACAAGAGGAAAGCAAGTCACTGAACAATAACTCTGAATTTGAAAAAAAGAAGAAAGAAAAGTCAAGAGAAAATCAGCAAATCAACATTTTGCAAAATCATAAGTTATATTTTATACTTTAAGAAATTTTATTAATAGAATAAGTGAAAAAATATTATAATTATAAATTTTATAAATTAAAAAAAAAACAACTACTACAACAACAGGTATTTAAAAATGTTATTGAATGTTAATAAATCAGGGAAGAAAAAAGTTTAATGGCATCAATCAACCAACCAACCAACACATTTATTCATGTCCACTACTATACTTTCGCAATTTAGAGGGAATTTATTGCAAATTTCTTTTTTTATTTAAGTGAAAAAATCAAGAATGATGTTTCGAAAAGTGTCAAGTGATTTGTTCTTAGAATATTTTAACTAAAAAACAATTTATTAAAAACTAAAACCACAATAGAATGCGCAATAATTCTGAAATTGTATGCGGTTGGTTGACTGGTTGGTTGGTCGCTTTAGAAATGGTAGACAGAAATTTACGTACGTACGTACATTTCATTTCGTTCGTTAGCAGTAGTTCAGGGTAAGCGGCAAATAGTAAGAAATATATAGAGACAACGTAGACGACGATTTGGCAAACAAACGAATGTACAATAATACAGTATTTTTTGTACTTTTTTCACATTTCTTTTTTGCAAAATCTCTAAGTTACACGTGTTCTTTTCGAAATGTTACCAAGTCATCTATTACATGGCAGGCAGCTGAATTTAAATAACTTTCTCAGTAGAAAATAAATATTTGGCTTAAAGAAAATTCTTCTATTTTATTTCCTAAATGTAGGCAAATGTGCTAGGCTACGTCTATTTAATTAATAAATGAAAGATAACATTTTTATTTATTTAACTATTTCATTAGTTGTAGCTGAGAAACGTACATACCAACATATTTACATACATACATATGTATGTATGTACATACATGTATCCATACACTAACAGTTAGAATAAATATTTTAATAATTTTTAATTTCTGTTAATAATAGAAAAACTAAACTATTGATTGAAAAGGTTGACTAAAATTTAATTAGCAGTTAGTTATGCATATTTTGAAGGCGCTTTGTAAACTACCTAATCTTTTGTTTTTTAACTGGCAACTATTTCAATTAAGATAAGGGAATTACTTTCCTAATTTGCAAAATCTTATCAATAGGCGTTTGTGTGTGACAAAATATACCTTACATAGTTGTCTTTGAATGGGGTCACCACTCACTAATTATTACTATTCCGAATTGGGGATAAGTTTTCTTTTTTTAGATACCTTCTTACTTATGAATATAGGTATGTGTGTGTACTTGTAGTTGTGGCTTCTTTATGAATTTATTTTTGTTTAAAATAATACGTTGCATTATTATTGTTTTATTTGTTTTTATCGCACATTAACCTTTTTTGTTTCGTAAAGATTTAGTGATATAATTAAAAAATAAAGAATATTCATAATGTTAATCACCACTACTTTTTCTATCTGAAATCGCTTACGTGTACCTAACTAGGTCGAGGAATATTGTGTGTTTGTTTAATATGCATTTGAAAAGTATTTAATTTTGCGACACTATCACAGCGGAAAAAATAATGCTAAATGTTTTAGTTAAAAAAAAAACAAGATTAATGTTTTAATATAAAAATGTTAGCAATAAATTCTGCAATGAAATAACTCTATATAAAAAATAGTTTATAAAATTATAACATTTCCCAAAGTTATTGGCGCCATTTGCTAAGAAATTTAATGAAAGTGAATTGGAATAAAATTTTTTTTTTAATACAAAAACGTTCACATAACAGTTGTATAGGTATCGTCTGATCTTTTAAAATTATTGGTAATTTCTATAGCAAAACTTTTACCAATCTTTTTTTTAATGAATTTCTTGTATGTTAATATATCAGAGATGGAAATGTTTATATTATAGTATTTAATTTTTCAACATTTCTAAGTGAATTTCTGTACAACTTAAGATTTTAATACAATTAAAAATAAACATCTGCATATTCCACTTTTCAACCCTTACTGTATAGAAATGTATAGGTACTAGAATTGTACGTAAATTTCAAGACGAATTTATACAGCTGGATTAAAACAGCCGAGACTGTTAACACGACGCTCATAAACTCTATATGTATATAAAACTTATAATGAATTCGGCTTTTACCGAAAAGACGTAAAAATGCATTAAAAATTTAATTTACTGAATGATATCTTTATAAAAAATTCTACTTTTTTAAATGGTTGTATAATTAAATATATATTTTTATTATTTTTCTATACTTACAGTTACGTTAAGTGCTTCTTACCGCTAAGCCATGGAAGACGGTCATGCTAAAACCGTCGAACAAGTATTACAACACTTTGGTACAGATGGAGAACGAGGTCTTACTCTTGACCAAGTAAAAGATAACCAGAAGAAATATGGCCCAAATGGTATGTTTATATTTTCCCAGGAATGATTTCTTTAAGTTGTCCTTTTCCGTTATTGTATTTTCATTTCTTTTTTTTTGTCTTACAGAGTTGCCTACTGAAGAAGGCAAATCTATTTGGCAGTTGGTATTAGAACAATTCGATGACTTGTTGGTTAAGATTTTGCTTTTGGCTGCTATCATTTCATTTGTAAGCATTAAAATATTCACAAAAACTCTTTTCAAATTTGTATTAACTCCTTTGTTTTTCGTTGTGTTATAATTTATTTGCTGTTGATATTTATAGGTTTTAGCACTTTTTGAAGAACATGAAGATACGTTCACTGCATTTGTAGAACCTTTAGTAATTTTACTTATTTTAATAGCCAACGCTGTTGTCGGTGTTTGGCAAGAAAGAAATGCTGAATCTGCTATTGAAGCCCTTAAAGAATATGAACCTGAAATGGGAAAAGTTGTCCGTCAGGACAAAGCAGGTATTCAAAAAATAAGAGCGAAGGAAATCGTACCTGGCGATATTGTCGAGGTGTCTGTGGGTGATAAGATCCCAGCTGACATTAGAATTACACACATCTACTCGACCACCTTGCGTATCGATCAGTCCATCTTGACTGGTGAATCGGTGTCTGTCATCAAGCACACAGATCCCATTCCCGATCCACGCGCTGTCAATCAAGACAAAAAGAACATCTTGTTCTCTGGCACCAATGTTGCCGCAGGTAAGGCTCGTGGTGTTGTAATTGGCACTGGCCTCAACACTGCCATCGGTAAGATTAGAACCGAAATGTCCGAGACTGAGGAAATCAAGACCCCCTTGCAACAGAAATTGGATGAATTCGGTGAACAATTGTCCAAGGTCATCTCCATCATTTGCGTTGCTGTATGGGCCATCAACATTGGTCACTTTAACGATCCCGCCCACGGTGGTTCCTGGATTAAGGGTGCCATCTACTACTTCAAAATTGCCGTCGCTTTGGCTGTAGCTGCCATCCCCGAAGGTTTACCAGCTGTCATCACCACCTGTTTGGCTTTGGGTACTCGTCGTATGGCCAAGAAGAACGCTATTGTCCGTTCCCTCCCCTCTGTCGAAACTTTGGGTTGCACATCTGTCATCTGCTCAGATAAGACTGGTACCTTGACCACCAACCAAATGTCCGTCTCTCGCATGTTTGTCTTCGACAAGGTTGAAGGCAGCGACAGCAGCTTCTTGGAATTCGAATTGACTGGTTCCACCTACGAACCCATTGGTGAACTCTTCCTTAACGGTCAACGCGTCAAGGCCTCTGAATACGATGCATTGCAAGAAATGGCCACTATCTGCATTATGTGCAACGACTCCGCCATTGATTACAATGAATTCAAACAATGCTTCGAAAAGGTTGGTGAAGCCACCGAAACTGCCCTTATTGTTTTGGCTGAAAAAATGAACCCCTTCAGTGTCAACAAAGCTGGTTTGGATCGTCGTTCTGCTGCCATTGCTGTCCGCCAAGAAATCGAAACCAAGTGGAAGAAGGAATTCACTTTGGAATTCTCTCGCGATCGTAAATCCATGTCTTCATACTGTGTACCCCTTAAGGCTTCTCGTCTCGGAACTGGTCCTAAATTGTTTGTCAAGGGTGCTCCCGAAGGTGTTTTGGATCGTTGCACACACGCTCGCGTTGGTACCTCCAAGGTTCCTCTTACTAGCGCCTTGAAGGCCAAGATCCTCGCTTTGACTGGTCAATATGGTACTGGCAGAGATACTTTGCGTTGTTTGGCTTTGGCTGTTGCCGATAGCCCAATGCGTCCCGATGAAATGGACTTGGGTGATTCCACTAAATTCTACCAATATGAAGTCAACCTTACCTTTGTCGGTGTCGTCGGTATGTTGGATCCCCCACGTAAGGAAGTTTTCGACTCCATTGTCCGCTGCCGTGCTGCTGGTATCCGCGTCATTGTCATCACTGGTGACAACAAGGCCACCGCTGAAGCTATCTGCCGTCGTATCGGTGTTTTCGGTGAAGATGAAGACACTACTGGCAAATCCTACTCTGGTCGCGAATTCGACGATTTGTCCCCTGCTGAACAAAAGGCTGCCTGCGCTCGTTCTCGCTTGTTCTCCCGCGTAGAACCCCAACACAAGTCAAAGATTGTTGAATATTTGCAAAGCATGAACGAAATCTCTGCTATGACTGGTGATGGTGTCAATGACGCCCCTGCCTTGAAGAAGGCCGAAATTGGTATTGCTATGGGTTCTGGTACTGCTGTCGCTAAGTCCGCCGCTGAGATGGTATTGGCTGACGATAACTTCTCTTCCATTGTATCTGCTGTTGAAGAAGGTCGTGCCATCTACAACAACATGAAACAGTTCATCCGTTATTTGATCTCATCCAACATTGGTGAAGTCGTATCCATTTTCTTGACTGCTGCTCTTGGTCTTCCCGAAGCCTTGATTCCCGTACAATTGTTGTGGGTTAACTTGGTAAGTTCAATGAGCTTTCTTTCTCATCGCCATACAAGTTGTTGACATATATTTTATTGCTGTATACCAATAGGTTACTGATGGTCTTCCAGCTACTGCCCTCGGTTTCAATCCCCCTGATTTGGATATCATGGACAAACCACCCCGCAAGGCTGATGAAGGTTTGATTTCTGGATGGTTGTTCTTCCGGTAAGTTTAAGTTAAAACAAAAAACATGCTGTCCCTGTACTTAACCATTTACTGTTTCTGTGTCAACAGTTATATGGCTATTGGTGGTTATGTAGGCGCTGCTACTGTCGGTTCCGCTGCCTGGTGGTTCTTGTTCGCCGAATCTGGTCCTCATCTAACCTACTGGCAACTCACTCATCACTTGTCCTGCTTGGGTGGTGGTGATGACTTCAAGGGTGTTGACTGCAAGATCTTCAGCGATCCCCATGCCATGACCATGGCTCTTTCCGTATTGGTCACCATTGAAATGTTGAACGCCATGAACAGGTAAAATTTTTCGCACTAAAACATGATGTATTTCCAACCTAACAATTTATTATTTTTACAGTTTGTCTGAAAATCAATCTTTGATTTCCATGCCTCCATGGTCCAACATGTGGTTGATTGGCTCAATGGCCTTGTCATTCTCATTGCACTTTGTCATCCTCCATGTGGAAGTACTTTCTGTAAGTTAACATTTTAAATTGAGCAAAATTATTTACAAACATAATTGATATTTTATAATAATTGATTTTTATATCTTTCCAAACTTTCGTGGTTTTCTCTCTCCCTCTCTTTCTTCCTTTTTCTTTTTTCGTTTAGACCGTGTTCCAAGTGACACCATTGGGCACTGATGAATGGATAACTGTGATGAAATTCTCAATTCCCGTAGTTTTATTAGATGAAACACTTAAATTTGTTGCTAGAAAGATCGCTGACGGTGAGAATCCCATTTATAAAGTGCACGGGATTATTTTAATGTGGGCCGTATTTTTTGGCCTTTTGTTTGTTATGCAGTCTTAAATATATATAAGTTTAAAAATAATAATAATACTACTACTTACTACACTTTTTAACAAAGCCCTCTAATTTTAAATTTTAAAATAATCATCGTTATGCATACCACTAATAATTTCTTATCTTACGCTTCTTTATCCTTTTTTTATATATATATAAATACTTTAAAAAGAAAATGGAAATTAATTTATAACACAAAAAATCAACTCTACAACAAGAAAAGAAAAAAATAAGGAAAAAATCAAAACTATTTAATTTTATTATTATTTTTGTTCTGTTCTGTTCACTTTACTAACTAAATAATAAGCTTTAATTTAATCTGAAAATAGCGGAAATATTTATTTTCCATGATCATATCTGATCTTCTGTGTTTATAGCTAAAAGAAGATTTACGATATGATGGGATTTGAGGATTGCTTTATTGTTTATGAATGTTTTGAATGAATCTCTGTGTATAATTTCAAATTTAGCTGCTCTCATACATGTTTATTTTTCTTTAATAACTTTCTTTTTTTAACTTTTTACTTTTTTTTTAATTTAATTAGTGCAATTTATTCCCAATTTTCTTTGTTAAATTTCATTGGTTTTCATAACAATATAAACAAGTTTTTATTGTGCAAAGGAAAAGGCTTAAAATAAAAGAACTATATTTTTTTGTTTTATAAAAAAATTCTACTCCTTTCAATGTACATAAGATCATTAAAAAAATCCAGCAATATTCTTCACTTTTTCCCAAACAAGAGAAAAGTAATAAAACTAAAACTAAAAGAAAAAGAAAATTAATTAGGTTTCCATTTTTTTTTGTTCTAATTTTAAAAGTTATTCGGTACTTATCAGAAATTTATTAAAATTAAAAACAAAACAAAAATAAATTATAATAATAATAATAGTGTCAAAATAAAGAGTAAACAGTAAAAACATTTTAAAACAAATCTACAAGAGTTTGTTAAATCTTCTCGTAATTGTTCTTTAACAGTAATTTTAAAAAAGACTTTAGTCTAGTGTATTTTAATTTTTCGTGAAAATGAGTTTAATGTTTTGTTCAAATCCACGGACTAGAACTTTTAAAAATATACTAGTTACAAGAATACAGCCAAATAAGAAAATAAAATGTTTTTAATGTTTTGTCATTAACTCTTTATTAATACTTATTGTAGGTTTTAGAAGTATTATTGTGACTTAAATATTGATATATAATATATAGAAATAGCCTTTTGATTGAGAGAATATGATTTAGAAAACAAAACAAACAAAAAAAGTTTAAACAAGTAAAATTAGTTTAAATAGTGGTAATTAACAAAAAAAAAAAAAACAAAAATGTAAATTATTTAAAACAAAACAAAAAAACTTTCATTTAAGGATCTGCATTACATTTTAAACGAATAATAAGGATAGAAAAACAAAGAAATAAACAATTTAAAAATGTAACGTTTTTATTTGCAATGAAATTTCAATTAACCCAATTATTGAAATTTGAATGTATGTAATTCGAATGCATTTAACACAATTTGTAGTTGACATTTTTCAAATTTCATTTCATGATTTAGTAAAAAAAACAAAAATTTCTAAAGTTATAATTCATTAACTTTTAGAAGTGATTGAAATTTTTTAAAATTTTATATTTTGCAAGAACGCTTATTCTTACATAATCTTTAGAATGTTATTGTTGTTGTAATGTTAAAACATTTCAATTTCCTACACAGCGGTTAATTGAAATTACATTGTAATTATCTATCTATATATTTCTATAAAACTCTTTAGCATTAATATAGTTTGAAATGATTTTTATAATTTTTTAACATAAACAAACAATAACTGTTTTTTTTTTCTAAAAAAAAGCTAGCTTTTCTGTTTCTACACAAAAGACACATAAAAATAAACCAAAATAAACTAATCCAAGAATGTTGTTTCACAACAACCTCTCAGAATAAGCCGGCTTTTACAATTTTGCAGCATTATTTAGAAAAAAAAAGTCGTTAAAACACTTGAACATGTTGCTCAAAGTTATGATGATGGTCATGATGTCCTAACCCAATTTTAAAGCTTTATACTCTATAGTTTCCTAAGTGGAAATTTCGAATGTTGCGGAGAATGTTAAAGATTGGGTTAAAACGCTGTACTAACAAACTATATAGCAACATATGTAACTACGTTTGTTCCTTATTACCATATTATTTAATTTAATATTAATTTAATAATTATTTTCTTTTAAATCATTTCCCCCCTTACAGTTAACCCCGACTTCCATTAACGAAATAAGGCAAACAAACAACCCAACCCCGATGTATTTCATAAAATAAAAACATAAATAATATATAATTTTTTTCTAAGATGCTAGCTGCTTAAGTAATAAAACAGATACCAAAAAAAGGCAACGGAAAACACGAAACCCAATCCTGTAATTTCATTTTATAAATTCGAAAATACAAATAATAATATAAACATTATTAACAAAAACAAAACAAACAAAAAAAACGTAATATTAAACTGAAAATATCAATATGAAAGACAAAATTTTAAAATTGGGCCTATTAATACAATCATTTATTATTAATTTAAAAAGGGACAAAAGGGATTCTTTAAATTGGATTGCAAAATTTCATTTTTGTATTAATTAGGGAATTTGGGCAAATTAAACATTAAACAGAAATCTAAGCGTTTCAACTTTTAGTTTTAAATAAAAATAAACAAAATCATTTTACATCTTGTAAACTTTGTCATTTACCACTACATCAATTAAACAATTCATACTACTACTACTATCCTACTGCTGTCTATTTACAATTCTTTACATAGAAAAAGGTAACAACACCACCAATATGTATAAAATATCAACACCACCAAGACTCTTGCTATAAACCATATACAGTAGTTGAAGAGTAAAAAAGAATGAATGAATATAATACGTTACAATTGCAATTGTTTGCAGTTGTTTTCTTCTTTTTTTAAAAAAAATCCATTCTCCTTACAGCTTTAACCCAAACAATCCCACCCACAGCGAACTTATGCCAAACCAAACAAGGACCTGTTAACCGTTATTTGATTTCCTAGTTTTTAGCCAAAAAATATAATTTAAAGAAATTTAAAATTAATATTTATTTGTATTCAATTTTATCCATAAAAATTTTATAGTTCCTGATGTTGTCGTTGACAAGTGGTGATCTAGATCTATTCACGATCAGCGTATTAATCCACAAATTTAAACTTATAAGTGAATCTTCTACAACTACTACTTCTACTTCCTACAATACAAATAAACATAAAACATTTTGTTGTGTAACTTAGATGATCCGCACCAGTTTACAAACCCTGAAGGAATAAAGAATTTACAAAACAAATGAAAAAAAAGTATAAAAAAAAACAAAATAAAAACCAATAATTAAATAAATATCTTTATCTTTACCTTTAATAATGTTGAGTGTGTGTATATATGTATGTACAATGTACTACTATTACTACTATAGAACTATTAACGATCCTTAGTTGGAGCAATGATTGAAAAGAAAAACACCAAAATAACAAACAACAACAACAACCACAATTATGTACATATATACTCATTTATAGTGAAATTATATTTTATTTATTATAAATATATAAACAAAAAAGTATTCGCCAGAAAACAAAGTAATTCAATAAATATACATATACTTATTCATATATGTTAATACGTACATATATGATCAATAAAAAAAAAAAAGTAAATGTGTTTTATTTTTATTAAATTCAATTTTACGACGTTATGCATTTCAACTAGTTAGAAGTAAACTTTTTTACTTGATCGTAAAATATTGTTTTATAGTCAGAAATTATCTTATTTAACGATTGATTTTGATTACAACAAGCTTCTTCTCTCTTATAACTTATTTAACGATTTTAGACATTTTTTTATAAAAAAGTTTGAATATTTTTGTTAGTGAAAAGATCGAGTATGTTTAAAAGTACTTTTAAGTGTCCCAGATTTTTTGGACAGATTATTTTAAGAATTTTTTCAAAGCTTTTGGTATGTTTGAACATTTGATTTTGTGAATTATCATGCAAAAAGCCTTTTTTATCTGAATAACTTATTTATTTTAATAAAAAGCTTTTAAACTTTTGAAAAAGTTCGATATTAAATTCGAATATTCTTAAAAAGCTTTTAGTCTGCAACTATATTGAAAATGCTTTAAAATTCAGGGGGGTTACTCTGTAACTCGATTCGAAAGAAAAAATTTTCGCATTCGTATGTTAAATACATTGTTTCGAAAGCTTTTTCTTTCGAATCGAAATACGGAATAACTCCCCAGGATTTAAAATACATATATATGATTTATTCATGCCGGATCTGAATTTCAATTTGAATAGAAAATTTCTTAATTTTCTCGTAAAAACAACCACCCCTATTCTGCATTTCGATTACGTTAACGCATTCAGTTACGCAAAGGTATTCCAACAAAAAACTTAATCGTAATAAAAAGAAGAAGCTATACAATTTCGTTTGTTAGTTACGTTTTTGAAATTTGAAATTTAAGTGACGGAGAGTCAAATCGAAATGCAAAATACCAAAGTTGCCAAACGGAGAAAATTTCGAATTGAAATGTAGAATAGGAATGAACAACTAACAAAACGAGATTCCGTTTTTTGGTATACTTTTTTTCAAACGTTGCGGAAACGTAACCGTAATGTTGAATAGGAGATTTTATGTTTCCGATTTTGTTTTTTTGTGATCTTAGATTTTGATAAATATGAGAGATCGCGGTTTTTCAAACATTTCTCATTTTTTTTATTGAAAAAAAGTTTTTCTCAATTAAAAGCTTATTTAATGGTTTCAAATATTTTGAAATTTTTGATCAGAAGCAAGTGGACCAGGGAAGGGTAGCGATCAAAAACATATTTTATTACTTTGGTGAGTTTCGATCCAACTTGTCAAAGTATAAAAGTAAAATAAATGTTTTTTTAAATGTTTAATAAAAAAATACTTGTTGGGGCCAACTTAATAAACATCTGCGAGCTAAAAATAAGTATTTAGAATATTGTTAGGTATGACCTCACATTGTGCGGACGGCGGACATTTCTACCAATATAGACACATATTCTTGATTTTTTCGCGGATGTTATTTACAACGTTATATACATAAGTATATATATTTGTTATAAATACATATATTTTTGTAATAACTAAATGTATAGACTTTTCTGTGTAAAAATTGTCCAATGTTAAAAAGTTTAGAATCAATGATAAAACAAAAGGAAAGTCATAATGGTTTATATTAAACATACATCTTTTATTTATTTAAAAATTGTATACAGATAATTATAAATAATTTATTTATTATGTACATACATTTATAATGCAATTTGTAAATAATCGTTTGATTAGATTTTTATTTTTTTTACATAAAAAAAAACATTAAATAATATTAAAAACAAGCAACAAATATCTACAATTATAACAAACTTAACAATTTCGTTGAAAAGGCCAAAACAAATATTAGCCACAGATAACTATAGTTTAGAGAATTTCTACCTACAGCCGATCTAACAGTACTGGCGGTAAGATTTAGATTAATGCCTTCAAATGTAATGAAACAATAAAAATCATCAGCATCGTCATCGGTATTTTGAGCGATGGCGGTCATGGACGCATCATAATAATCATTATTAAGCTTTTCTATGCGTGTTTCATTACTAGACAAAACAATACTCTCATCGGGAGATCTGTAGTAAATATGTAAATTCTATATGTTATAAAATTTTGTTATTTAAGTTAAATACTTACACTAAATGTATTCTGGGCCGGGGAAATATGTTTGTTACTTTACATTCTAAATAGGTTTCATTTTGTACGGGATGATTGTCAAACACAAATGTACTGTTACTAATATCAACCACATGTAATTCCTTTTCCATGGCTTTTGAGTCACGATCTGTTTGCACTAAACATTTATAAGTGCCGCTTAATTCGATTGAGGGATTGATTAGTGTTAAGCCACGATACTCATGGTTTTTATCCGACGATGTGGTTTCGATTTCTCCAATATGATGCCTGAAGTAGCGCTGTAATTAATAAAATATTTTTTATTCATTTTATATTTCATTGTTATTATTGCCCTGTCAAATTAAATGTTTAAAATCTTTTTTTTTTAAGAAATGTCTACTTTTGGTCCTTCATGCCGCGTATCGTTATCTTAAAATGTAGTAAGATGTTATTATTCTTATTATTATTTATTTAGCAAATGCCACCTCCCCATTATTGTTTGTAGTTATTTTCTTTGCAATATATAAAAAATATTAGTTTCACTCAAAATGCTGCCATTTGTTTAATATTTTGAACATTTTAAAATGAGATCATTCATTTGTACAATATGCATGCAGTTAAAATTGTGGTATTTTTAACATAAAAAAACTTTTTTCGCGTACTTTATATTTAAATGGAAAACTAAAACTAAATGTGGAAGAAATATTAAAAACGTTTTAGCTAAAAATGAATCAAGTCCAAAAGTATGCACTGAATAAATCAATCGATTGCCTTATATGTTCTTGTCCTGACTCTAGCTATAAGAATAAGGAAAACGATATTACGATAAAATGTACGAACCATTTAGCATAAGACTGGACTACCTCAACGATTACATCTGGCACTGTAATTGCATCGGAAATAGTAACATCTGATTGCACCGAATCTGGATGAGTCTTTTACTACTTTATCTCACTTTACCTCCTCTTCTATCTATCTATCTATCTATCTATCTATCTATCTATCTATCTATCTATCTATCTATCTATCTATCTATCTATCTATCTATCTATCTATCTATCTATCTATCTATCTATCTATCTATCTATCTATCTATCTATCTATCTCTCTATCTCTCTATCTCTTGTTAGTAATTAATAAACACAAGAACTAATGGGACGAATTTAAAAATTTCAATTTCAAAATGTCCGATAGTTGGCTGAACTGCTGAAGCGAAAACTTTAAAACTATAGATCTTTAATAAAAATTCTTACCAGCGCTGCAGGGGGTTTACCACGTATCCATTGATATATATTGTTGTTATCCTTAAACCATTTGACAACTAAATAGGAGGGATCTTCTTCCAGTTCATAATTACAATCCAATTTAATAGGTTCCATATCATCGTCGTCGTCTCTTTGGATTTTAACCAAGTCTGGTACCTCAATGTCGTGTAAAACAAGGCAATTTATGACTGAAATATAATAAAACATTAAAAAAATATATATAAAACTTAAATATATATTGTGGCTCTTCTGAGAATATTTCTTTATTGTAACGGTATACATAATGACAGTTTACGTACTATATATAAATATTGTTTTAACAGGCAGTTAAAAGAAGTTTCTTGAAAATTGAGAATTTGTAGTAAACAAGTGAAAGCGAACAATTTATAGTTTAAATATAGTTTTTAATAGTTTTTTCCAAGGACTCTTTTCTAACCCTCTAACAAACTTTTTACATTATCTCGCAAATCATAGTTTGCATACTCATACATATTTTAAATTTATATTTTTTATATCACATATGGCCAAATATTGTTATGAATCACTTTAATAATAAACACATACACACTCGTTTTCTTTAAATAAAACTTAATTTCATTTTCGTTATAAATTAGCCAAGACAAGACAAAAAATAACTTTTTATTTAAATTATAAAAAGTAAAACTAAAGGAAAATATTAAAAGGAAATCAATCACTAATTTTCTTTTTTATAAAAAAATTAAATTTTCAAAACATATACAAATAATATTTGTTAGTAACTTCACCAATTATGTTTAATTTTCTTATTTATTTTAAATATTTTTCTTAGCAAATCTCGAAAATTATACACACGTTACAAAATAAAAAAATTATATATATTCAAACTATAGATATTATCCAATGAATGTATGTATAGATATGTAACCATTTGCGTTTTGAAATCAAAAAAAAGAAAACATTGGAAATTTCAAAATCAAATTTTACCTTGAACGTACAAAACACTTAAAATAAGTGAAAATATAAAAAACAATTTCATATTTATTTTTTATTATTTGCCACCACAAAACGAAAATACAATTTAAAAAATAAAATAAATATTTATTTAGTTCTTTTAATTTTAATTTTTATTTATTTTTTAAATTTTATATAAATTATTAAAAACGCAAAATATTGAAAATAGTTGAACTAAATATTTAACCGTACCGAGAAGAATGTATCGAAATGTGAACAACTAAATAACTGAGCGAAAATCGTGTACGATCTTTATGGCGTTTTTGAGTGCGATACAAAAATAACGTATAGTTCGTTCCAATTGGCTGCCCAGCAAAACCGTTTGCACAAACATGACTGACTGGCAATGAGCGCAAAAAAGACAAAGGAGAAGAAAACCTAAAGACAAAAATAAAAAAAAATAAAACACAACTCAAATTTGCTTGCCTACTTGTTTACTTGCTTGCCAGGCGTATAAATTGTGTTTTTGGTCAAAAGGAAGAAGAGTGGATATGGTACGATCGTTTTGTATCTCATGAGTGTCATTTATACAAATACATACAAACATTGTTATAAATTGTACAACAATATGGTTTTGAAGAAAATAGAAAAATAATAATATAATAAAAAAACAAACAAGAAAATTAAACTAAAATAGTATAATGTTTATATTTCATATTTGTGTACAGTTGGGGATGAAATTATTCGAACCCATTACTATTACATATTTGAATTTATTTTGAAGTTTGAATTGCGGTACTTACACTAGTAATTGAGCTCAAATTTAATCATTTTTTTTGCTTTGATTTTTCTCCTTCCATCTATTTATGTCAATATGTCTATGCACCTATCTATCTATCTATCTATCTATCTATCTATCTATCTATCTATCTATCTATCTATCTATCTATCTATCTATCTATCTATCTATCTATCTATCTATCTATCTATCTATCTATCTATCTATCTATCTATCTATATATGTATCTATCTATCTATATATGTATCTATCTATCTATCTATCTATCTATCTATCTATCTATCTATCTATCTATCTATCTATCTATCTATCTATCTATCTATCTATCTATCTATCTATCTATCTATCTATCTATCTATCTATCTATCTATCTATCTATCTATCTATCATCTATCTATCATCTATCTATCATCTATCTATCATCTATCTATCATCTATCTATCTATCTATCTATCTAATCTATCTATCTATCTATCTATCTATCTATCTATCTATCTATCTATCTATCTATCTATCTATCTATCTATCTATCTATCTATCTATCTATCTATATATCTATATATCTATCTATCTATCTATCTATCTATCTATCTATCTATCTATCTATCTATCTATCTATCTATCTATATATGTATCTATCTATCTATATATGTATCTATCTATCTATCTATCTATCTATCTATCTATCTATCTATATATCTATCTATCTATCTATCTATCTATCTATCTATCTATCTATCTATCTATCTATCTATCTATCTATCTATCTATCTATCTATCTATCTATCTATCTATCTATCTATCTGTCTATCTATCTATCTATCTATCTATCTATCTATCTATCTATCTATCTATCTATCTATCTATCTATCTATCTATCTATATATCTATCTTTTTACCTTAATTAAAAAGATATTTTTACGATAAATGATAACTGGTCTTTTTAAATGATATTGTCTTTTAAAATTGAATATGTACGTTAATTTTTATCACCAACTGTAAATATGACTACTTAGGGCCACATATGAAGGTAAATATGTAAAACTAGAAGTAAGTCTATATCTACAATTTATAAATACCTATTATAGTGGTTGTTTCTTTTTTGTACAAAATAGAATCATAGTTTAATGTTTTGAAATTGAATGAATGAAACATGCTCAAATTTAATGGTATCTTAGGTTTTGAGTGAAAAATATCAGCAGTAAGTCAGTCATGCTTTGTTTGCCTTTTACTTTCCACACAATGCACACACATCTGATGAATATGTACATACATTCATGCATACGTTTTTTATCATATTCTACCCCCTTATGTTGCACATGCTGCTGCACATGATCAGTTTGAAATTGAACATGTGTGTATGTTTGTGTAATTAACATTATAAAATTCAACGAACTGATAAACAATAGAACGTGCCACAAACGAAAGGTGTTTTAAGGTTGTCAAGTCATTGAACCATTCATTTTTCTTCAGTAGCTAAATTTTCCTTGTTTTATAATTTGTTTTGTTTTTGTTGTTTTAATTTTTGTATTTTCCATAAATTTTCTTAATTACATGTGTGTTTATTAGATGTGCCCTTAAAAAATAGTTTTCGAGTCAATTTTTACCTAAAACTAACTGTTGACAAATATAAGCTGTATTTGGAAATTGTTTAAAAATTATAGAAATAGAAAGAAATATTCTATAGTAGAGCCACAAAAATGGATAGATATCCAATCAACTATTGATTTCAATACATACCTGTTAAAATTCGGAAATAATCGATTACTTTTCACGTTTTTCTTTGTTCACAACAAGTAAAATATTTAAATCATTTATTCTATTTAAATAGAAAAAATATTTTACAAAATAAAATTAAACTTTTAAAAATTGCCCTACTTACTTACTTATACTTTAAAATTCATAAAAATTTTAAAATTATTTTAAAAACTTCTTAAGTTTGTTGTAATAAAGCCCTTAACAAGTACACATGTACATAAATAAGCTTTTAATAGAGAAAATTAGCGCGATCTTTGATCACTCATGGTTCAGATAAAAATGACATTGTTTTAAGATTTGTAAATAATTCTTTAATCAAATGATTGTTTACAAATATGATCACTTAATCTCCGATTCAAGATGTCAAAATTTTTAAAATTAAAATTTGTTAAAAAAGCGTTAATTCCTAATCTCCTTATATCCCTGATCAAAATGAGTTAAAATCTAAAATCGTTAATAAATGTTTAATTGAGACAAGAAGATCGAACTGTAATCATTAAAATTTCTGAAAAGTTATCTATATAATAGAGGAAGGAAATGAGTTTGATTTGTGATTACTCATACATTCTGTAGTAGATTATCAGATTGACATTTTTGATACACTTTAAACATTTTGAGTTATTTTAAAAACTAAATCATTCGTCCCTTGTTAGAATGTTTTAAATTGATGAATCAAACCAGATTTAGCAAATGTTTATTTATATATGTATATAACAAAAAGTATATCCACTTACCATAAGAGTCCAGTTGCAGTTAAATTTAGAATTTTGACTTCCGTGATTTAAGAACGAATCCACTGTAACATTTTTCAGGAATTTTTTGAAATTAATGCGGAACAGGATTAAAATTTTAAAAGTTTATTAGGAATTCAGATCGTAGTACTCCTGGATTCTGTTTATGACAAAGAATTCTTCTTATCCAACAAGAGATTTTGCTTGGCAATATTAACCTATGTTGCCGCTATACCAATAAGGAACACTGATGAGTTGACAGTTAAAAGTATCCACAATTTTATACGCCTTGCAAACCGAGCAGCTCTTTACCCCAGAATGCAATAATACCAAGGTGTGGAAAAGTCACCAAGATAACATGCCCCGGGGGGTAATTTTTATGAAAGTCCAACTTGAGCGCGCACAGTTTCATTAAATACTTTTTTTATATTTTAAAATTATTTTTTTTTTGTTTAATTTTATTAATTTAATTTCAATTATTACTAAGCTAGGTATTTGTTTGAATGTATTCTTAATATTATATTCATATTCATTATAATATTATTTTTTCCTTCTTTTTTTTTTCATTAAAGTAAAATTTTTATAAATTTATTTATAAATTGTAAATTGTTGTATGTTTCAAACGCGTGTATGAGTTGTGTGGGGAAATGTATGATCCTATATAACGATATACATAGGAATTTAAAATCTTACTATTATGGATGATATTGTTGCCAGGGATGGGAGTTTGTTTGCACTTTGGCATGATGGGAATGTGAGTGAGGTTGAGCTGCAAGCGGTGGATATGTGCTATGCATCAAATGAGGATTCTCATTTGACGCTTGGGTAGGCGTTGTTAACATAAATGTCGACCATTGCGGATAATATGATCCATAGAAATCTGAAAGCGATGGAGGATGTGAGGTTGCTGCTGTTTGTGGATTTGTTGCAGGTGGAGGAGGGGGTGGGGGATGAACGACGGGTGCAATGTTTGTATGTGACGAACTACTGCTGGTCGGATGATAACGGGCGCTTTGTTGCTGAGATCCATAAGATGAGTAGTCTGTATACTGTGGGGTTTGTGGATAGGAATTGTATGAATTTAAATCGCCGGCTCGTACGGCTGTATAATGTGCGGCTGTATTGCGTAATGTTGGATGTTGTGTGTAAGCATATGTTGGATGTTGGCTGTAAGCGGTTGGTGGTTGGGAATGCATTATCTGCGATGGCGTATGAGTTGGTGCTTGTGTTTGAATCTGTAGAGGATTTTGTTGCAAATGTTGTTGTGGTTGTTCGTTTAGAGTTTGAGTATGAGAAACATGCGTAGTATTCTGCTGCTGTTGTGGTTGTGTTTGCACAGTTTGAGCTGGTTGTTGTTGTTGCTGTTGAATCTGTGTTGTCTGTTGTCGCTGACTAAAATGTAGTGATGTACTTTGTTCTTGAGTATCATTGTTTGGTCTAATCATTAGATTCGATTTTGATTTGTTTTCTGTTTCTACTGATGTATTATTGTTGCTATAAACATTTGTTTCTACATTAGAAGAACTATTAAATAGATTCAATTGATTGGATGTTTCCTTTGGAGCATCATCATTTTGATTAACATTTCCATTATTTACCAAACTGTTAAGCTTTAAATCGGCTTCTATAAAAAGAGAGAGTTAAAGTATGATAACAAGACTTAACGGATTATTTTAAGAAATCAATAAATACCTTTGCTGGCAGGTGATAATGCACTATCAGTTTCGGATTTGTCAGTCTTTGGCGACTCTTTCGACGATGTAGTTTCCGATTCTCCGGTTATATCGATGACATCACTTTTCTCTGTTGTCGCAACATTCGGTTTGTTTAGTGTCCTTATAGCTATTATTTTTCCACTATCTAGTTGCATGTAAATGCCTTTGGCCGACTTCAGTACCATAACTCTTTGGCCAGCCTTGATAATAATTTTTGATTTATTGCTTGAATTTGTTGGTATGACAACATCTAAGTGAAATAATGCATAAAAATGATTAGTTTAAAAGTTCTTAAATAATACAAAAGTATTTTAGTACCAAGTGGCAATGACATTTCTTGGGCCGTCATTCCTTGCTTTTGCCATACTTCTGCAGGTATCCATCTAGTAGTTCTTAGGCCGCTGCTATTCTTTTGCGTTGTTTGACTTCTGGGCGCCTGTATTGGGCGAACCTGTTAAAATTTAACAATTAAAAGTTGTGAATCTATTGAAAAGTTTGTGGTGTAGCATACCGAAGCAACTGGTCTGGTAATTAATGAACCATCTTTGCGCACCGTCTGATATTGGATCCTGCTGGAGTTTGAATAAATTGTTGTCTTTGCTGAAGTCTTCTTTTGCATTTCATAGCTACGATGTGCCATTCTCTTCTCGGCCTGCGATAGTTTATCATTTTTTCGATCAATCAATAGACTTTCGTGGAAGAATGGTTCTTTGGTTAAACATGTTTTGTAATCGGTTAAAATCAATTTCATTATTGTATCCGTGTAGGAATCCAAAGGTTTTATATATTCAAAAGTGTTTGTTTTTTCATCGTCATCATCGTAATCGTAACAGAGATTTGTAACATCCTTAATGGAAAGGTGAGCATCGGGATTGCACTCGTCGACTACACGATCAGACATGCCCTGTTTTTTTATTTGCCGATCATATATTTTCTTTTCCAAACATCTGTCCATAACTAAACGATATATAAAACAAGCTCTTCGCTGACCATACCTTTTTTGAACAAATGGAAAATTAGTAAATAATCTAAACAGTATTTTGTTGGAATTTACCTATAAATACGATAAATAGCTTGCGTATCATGACAAGGATTCCAACTTGCATCAAATATTATTACTCTATTAGCTCCTACTAGATTGATACCCAACGAACCAGCCTTTGTTGAAATAAGGAACAACTTAACATTTGTATTCGAATTGAATTCATTGACAAACTTTTCTCTTTCTTGAGAAGTTGTTGAACCATCTAAACCTATTATAATATTCACAAAGAAATTGTTATTACTTTATAAAAGACTTCTTTTTGTTGCTCACTTACGAAAGTAATGTTTGTTATATGTCCAATTAGAATCTTCACCAGGAATACGATTGGCTTGCAGGAATTTTTCAATAAGATTTAATGTTAGTAAACTTTGACTAAACAATAAGACACGATCACCTATGCGAACGCTTTCGTTGAGAATACAGAAAAATATTTCCATTTTAGGAGAATTTGAAATTAGACCAGGTTCATATTTCTTCATAAATTTCATCGCCCAGTCGTAAGTGATCTTTTCAGAGCCCTTTTTTTGTTCGACATCATTGATTTCAGATGCTCCAATTGAACTACTAAAATGACTATCCGTTTCCGATCTATCATTATCAGTTGATGTGCTCTGCTTCTCGCTTTTTTCATCTTTATTTAAAGGAATACTTTTGTCCATGTCTATGTCAGTTTCAATAGTTCGAATTTCATTCGTATCCAAATCGACTATTTCTGAAGATGAATTGTGCGAATCGTCTGTATTACTTGTTTCGTTTTGCTTCAGCATGCAGCCCACATAGTTGGGTTGCAAAGGGCGACCCATGTTACTCATCATAGTGGGGTAGGAAAAATATGATGATTGCATGTCTTGATTGTAGGGGACATTATTTAGAGTAGGATTTTCAAATTGATTCATTTCTGAAAAAAGTGATGGCCTAAAGAAAGGTATAAATAAGTATTATTAGAAAACACTTATGTAAAGGACACAAACTTTTCTTATAAAGCTTTAACAGTGATTAACTAGAGTTATGAGAAACCTTATATACATACCCCTGAAAGCTGTTATCTTTTGGGGTTGATGTTGAAACTGCCTGTGATACTGCTTGTGTTGTTTCATTTATATCAGTTTGATTTTGCAGTTTTTGATTGCCAGTTTCTGAATCGTGCACAGATGATTTTAAGAGCGACTGATACGATTGTGTGTGAGACGGAGTCACAGGTGTCTCAGGGTTAAGAGGAAGGCATGTAGTAACAGTTGCAGGAGTATTGGCAGGCACGGGCGGTGGGAAGCCATTTTTATTTACACTTGATGAAATCGGAATCTCATCGACTTCTTCAATGTCCCAATCTAGACCAGAATCGGCCATCTTCATAGCATCGTACAAAACATCTGGATGATTCCAAATTTTACAGCATACTGCAAACGCCTTAAGTGGATTGGGAACGTTCTTTGTACGTACAATGTCATTCATGAATGTGTCATACAGTTGTTTCTGCAACTCAGACATTCGAGTAAGAATCACAAATTCCTGCTTCTCCGGCAAAGATAGCTGCAATACGGTATGCGATCTCCTCTGGACAAAGCCCACAAGTAGCGAGTGCAATACATGTGCTCTATAGCGCATTAGTTTTATGTCGTCCGGGGTAGAATCTATGCAGAGTCCATTCTGTATGGGTCTTTCAAACATGTTGCAAAATTCGGTTCTTGTACCCAAATAGTTGGGACGTACAAAATCCACCATGCACCAATACTCCAGTAAATTATTTTGCAAGGGGTATCCCGTTAAAACAATCCGTCGACGAGTTCCTATTTGCTTAAGAGCCTGAGAAATGCCGGCCTGAGCATTTTTTATCCTATGACCCTCATCACATATTATTAGATCAGGCCCCGGTTTTACTAAAGCTTCGTACACCTCATCCATGACCCGACTACGAGATTCGGGAAAACTGTCATTTGTATTTTGAAATTTTTTACTGCGCCTTTTTCCGGTCGTACTAAGCTTAAGCGCTAATAGACGATATAGTTCATAGCCAATCAGTAATACACCACCTCTTTCCTTCCATTGCAGAATAATTTTGGCTCTAGCTGTTAGAGTCTTTTGTTGATCATTAAGTACAAAGACGTCAAACTGACGAGGTCTTATGTAATCAGGATTGTCGGAGTGTTTTGGTATCCACATGTCGAATTCAGCGTACCAATTTTGTAAGGTGTTAATAGGCATTACGCATACCACATGTTTGGAAGGGGTATACCTTAGGAATATATCACAAAAACAAACCACTTGCAGAGTTTTGCCCAGACCCATTGAATGCGCCAAAATACAACCAAATCCACCAGAAGTTTTAAAACGTTTAATCGATTCGATAATATTATCGAAAAGAAAACGTACTCCTCCTATTTGATGGGGTTTAATAGTGCGGGCTATTTGTGGTGCTATAAAAATGTCTTCTTCGTCCTCGGGATGGCCAACATTGATAACAACTCTTCCCAGGTGATCGGGAACATTGAACTCATCTTTGACATGCATGCCACTATTATTGGGATCATCATTTTCGTTGTCTTCTTCGAGATCTGCTTCATCATCCGACAACACAATACAATCATCGTCATCTGAGCTGTCTTCTATGGTGACAACTTCAGCCGGCACACTATCTTCCTTTTCGTCAGCACTCTTCACCGCATCAGTATCTGTTTCCGTACTCTCAAATGATTGACTGGTAGCAGTTTGTTCTAACTTTAAATCGTTTTGTTCGGGAACTTTATGTAAGCTGGCCTTTTTCTGCACCGGTATAAGGTCAGAGGGATCTCTGACCCTGTGCTCGTTAACAAATCGATCAAAGTGGGTGAGAACCGCTTCTCTCTGTTGATATTCTCTAAGCAGTTTTTGCTGCTCGGCTACACGAGCCAAACGTTCAGACTCTTCATGCTGAGCCCTTAACGTGTTTGTATCCAATTGATTGGTGTCCATGACTTCTCGAATATTTTTTCTCAAGTTGGACTTTTTCTTTTCCTCTGCTAATTGGCAAAGTTGTTGCTTTTTGGCCAAATGACTGTTGTCAACATTGGGTTCCACAGGCGATTTACGCTTCTGGCTTTCGGACATATCTGTTGGTGGATATGTTGGGGGTAGTTCGACATCTGCAGGAATTTCTCGTTTCAACAGTGAAGCAGGATTAGCGGATGTGGGAGTACAATCAAGTGTATCTGTGTTTGCCGGGGTAACATCAAAATAACTACCGTTATTGGTTGACATTTTGGAATCTTTTATTGTCTCCTCGTTTAAAGGATCAGCAATAGGAAACTCATGCAAATTTGTTGTCGGCTGATTAAATGCCTCCTGTTGTTTTAAAACCTCTGCCATTGGATTATTAACAGGATTATTAGCCACCATATAATTTAATTTGTCCAAATTATCCATGTTTAGTTCTTTAACACTTAGATTTCAAAATACTCTACTCTACTGTGTATTTCAATCTTTAGCATTTACAGTGTAATTTTAGTAATTCCTTTTAATTCTTGGACTCGATTTACACAATTTTTCAGTGGTCCTATTTTTTTCTTTCAATTATGTACATACAAACTAGTGTATGGCAACTACGAGATACAGATTTATTCATTACAAGGGTGAGGCGTGTAGATAATAATACGATATTCACTCCATTTTCATTTGAAATTATCCCAATTTTACACAATTAACAATTTTCAACATACTTTTATTTCATATAAACTAATTAATTTTCAAGTGAACAAACTTGCAAATTGCATGAAAAACTATCAACATTCTTCACAGATACATATTGACTACTTTATGATACAGACTTTTTCTCTGCAAAATTTTGTTGTTCACACCTTTTGATTAAATACAACTATTTCAGTTTTTCACTTAACTATTTTTTTATTATCTTAATTGTATTTTCTTTTAAAGATTTTGCCTTAATAACTAATATAAAAGTTTATTTTTGACATATTTTTATTTATTTTCTGTAATTTACAATTCTCTTGTATATTCAAACAACACTATAATACAATACAATCAAATAGCCAAGTATTTTTATGTCAACACACAAGTTAGCAATTCGAAAATACTTGGATGTCTACGCGAAGGTTGGCATCGCCAAAAGAACATAAGATATTTGACATTTTATTTAATTCAAATAGAAAGTATCTGAAAGATATTTTATAGGTAAAAATATATGGTTAACGGATTGGTGTATTTTAGACTTATTTTTTAAAACGAAAGTTTAAACATAGTTTAGAAGAATAAACAAAAACTATTTGCATGTAATATACCAATTACATTAAAATTTGTTGTTTTTTGAAGTATAATATTTGCCAGTTTCTGTAAAACTCTATTATATAAAAATTGCTTAAAATATTTTTTCTAAACCTGGCCTTTGAATTAAAATTTTATTTTTTTCATTAATAAGTAAACAAGGTTTGTTAAATGAACCTTGTAAGTAAATAAGTATTTTTGTTACGATACGAGAAGTTGAAGTCAACGTACGATACGTTTGGGTAATGATTATCTTAAAAGAAAACAAAACAGAATGACTCTTATACTGAGAAATTTCAAATTAATAAGACGACTCAAATATTAAATACAGAAAAAATTATAAATTATTAATAACCGACTACTCAAATGATAAAAATACAATTTAAAACAATAATTAAATAAAGATATGTGTTAAGATGTATAAACTATCACTCATAACGATTGATATGGTAAAATTTGTTTTATGCTTAGATTCTTTTTTCATTGCACAATTCTGAAATTAATTACACACTTTTCCAAAACATTGTGTTTATCTAACAGATAAAACCATACAATAACATAATCCGGTGGTTCTTCATTGAGGTCCAGACCTAAAAATTATGTTACTTGTATGAAATTCGTCTATAAATCCACTGGACAAAGTGCAGCCTGCCACATATTCCTTCGAAATATTCACAATTCCATAAATATTATCACTATCGAGTATTTTCTTTAATACACATAACAATTACGAAATTAATTCAATTTTCGATTAGAATGGTATTCTATTATAAACTCCTTATTACTGTTTTCATTTTAAGAGTTTTATTGATTATATTAATAGTTATAGATATAGTTTTTTAGATATAATTTAACTTAATAAATACAAATTTTACAGAGCGTTTTTCATTGTTTACAAAAAGAAAATTAAAAAGGCATTTCTAAGGGCATTTTTAACGTTTTATATCATCATTCCAAATTTTAAGATTTTTACAACAAACATTTTCTCTTCCAGCAATAACAGTAACAATGACGGTGACGACTGCAACGACAGTACAGCTTGACGTGACTGTGAGAACAACAATAGTATGGCGAACACAAAGAGTAGTAGGAATCATGGAAGCAACAAGAGATGTATGTGTCACACATTGTGCTGGAACTGTAGTAAACAATTTATATATTAGGATTTTAGAATCTTTTAAATTTTGTAATTTCTCTGGAATGGTTATATTCTGTTAAAATTGTGCACTTAATTCGTTTTAACTACTTAAATTTGGTATTAAAAACTTTCAATAGTGTTAAGAACCAATTAGCAATCAAACAATTCCATAGGGGTTACTCCGTATTTTAATTCAAAAGCTAAGCTTCAGCAAAACATTTAAATCGAGCTATATAGTAACCCCCATTTTGTATTAAAAAATAATTTGAATTTATTTTCAATTTGTTAAGATATTTTTTCAAAATTTTAAACCAAATTTTTGATTTTGGTAAATAAAAGTTGGATAAATTTAAAAATTGGAATAAGTGGAATATATATTAAGAATCAAAGTAACCCAATAACAATATTTGTATATAAAATTAACTTACATATTGATAAACAATTGCTAAACTGTAAATATTCTTTGCTTACAGCCGAAACGTTATCTTTAATCCACAATACACTTACTACTAATCTTTAAAATTTGGAATTTTCTTAAGCTCAACTGGAAATTCATTGATATATGCAAGTATATTGCCATAGCAACAATAGAAATTATTGATATAACTGAACATAACCTATATTACAAGATAATTGCCAAAAAACATGCCAATTAGGAAATCATATACCTACACGTGAACAATAAACAAACTTTGAGCTTAGTAGGTCAGGATATTTTACAGAATTTGCATGAAATTGAGATATCACGTGCCATTGTAGGTGGTGGAGATATCAGTTACATTTTCTATATATTCTTAAGAGTAATTTATTTAATTTTGAACTTGTATTTTATATTTATAAAAATGTTAGGTTATAACGAAATTTTTTGGAATTAATATTGATTATTATAAATTTAGGAAAAATATATGCATGGAAATCTAGTAAGAAGAGGTTTCTCTGTAATTTCTTACAAAGTTTCTTAAATTAGAATAAATTAATTTATAGAAATATTACGAATATATTTTGATACTACAGGACACATTGAAAATGGTATTATAAGTAATAACTAGTAGGTATTTAGTATTAAATTTTGCAAATGTACGAATATAGAAATGAAGTTTACATCCCTTGGAATAAATACATATTTAACATTCCTTATTCATCCCTGCTTTCAGAGTAAGCAATTTAAACTACAAGGGTATATGCATATTGGGAGTGTTTCATTTCATTCGTTTCATATATACAAAGGATAGCAGAGGATATTTCATTACAAAGAAGTAAAAGTCAAAGCAAGTGTCAGTAAAAATTAATTAAAAAGAAAAAAATGTCAAGTGAAAAACTAACATTATAATTAAATATAATAGATTTTCTTTAAACATTTCTACAAGTTAAAATAATTATAACAAAATTGTGAAACCATTTTATAAAATACATAAGAAAATAACTAATATGTTGTCCAACCCTTAAAAATAAAAACTTATAAACATTGCAGCAAAAATATTCCTTTTTAAAGGGTGCTATTAAAAACTCTAGGATATTAAATAATTTGTTAAAAAACTATAATTCTTAAAAAATGTTGTGTATTATAAAAATAAATTGTTTTATATCCTAAAAATATTCAACAGTTTACAAAAAGTTATGAATTAAAAATGTCCCAGATTGGTAGTGCAACAGATGTCCTGCACTATTTTTCTTAAGAACTTTTATAATATACAATCGTCTAGATAATGCTGCCTGTTTTGGAATTCTTAAAATTGTGCAACAATATTATAGTTTTTTATTTATGTTGTATTATAAATATTGGTCCTAGAAAATTAATTGCATTTTGACAATTTTAATAATATTCCTAAATCAGAAACGTACAAAGTTTTAAGTATAAGTATATGTATGTATAAGTGGAACTATTTTGTAAGCGCTTTTTAAGAAATGGTCCTTCTATATATACAAACTCATAAGTCTGCAGTTTAATAGAGTTCAAAGTTCAATAAGGAAAAGGGGAGAAATAAATATGGTAAGGCATGACATTTAGTCATGAGATTATAAACATCAAAGTCAATTTGGCGATTTGAATTCTCTGTATTTATATAATGTATAATGTAGGATCTTTTATCTTTGCAGATTATTAAAAAATATTTATCCGTAAAAACCTCATCTATTGTTCTATTGGCTGGTAATTTATTATGGTCCCTACATTTGTATTTATCAAGCAACTGTAATACAACAACTACAACTGGATCACATCATTTTATTAAAAATATTTCGGCAGCCCATATAGCCTCTCTGAAAGCGGGTCGTTTATATAGCAATTCTAGTAACTATCGCCTGAATAAAGACCCTCCAACAAATGGTGTCAAAAAATCAGAGTCATCGGGATTGGCCTTTGAAAATGTAGCACTCAATTTGGGTCGATGGGACAATCAGCGTGTATATAAACTATTTGATTTTGCACTAATCGGTGATACCTATGAAGAGTCGTCACTAAGCGGTCTAGTATGTTTAGCCACCCAGACCTCGGTCGAGCGTTTACTGTCTGTGGCAGAGGTCGCCAAAAAGTGGTTGGGACCGATATCTGTTGCAGTTTTTGTTTCAGGCAGCGAAGAATTCACTATACTGAAACACTATGTTACCTATCTAAGACTCTGCTTTGATTTTGTACGCACAAATGTAACTTTTCATTTGGCCTTTCCTCATGATCGCAAGCCAAAACATGAAACAGCCGACTCCTATAAACTGCTACAAATGTTCGATTGTCGAAATCCTCAAAAGACCCTGCACAGCATGTTACAAATGCGATCGACAGAGACCATACGTTGGCGATCACGCAATCTATATCCACAAAATCATTTGCGCAACTTTGCGCGCAAAGGCTGTCAAACAAAATATGTGTTTCTCACAGATGTCGACATAGTACCGAGCAATAATATTGTGCCATTGCTAAATGAATTTCTTGCTACGGCCAGATGTGCGACGGGTCTATGTGCTTACGTCATACCCACATTAGAAATTGATGATCGCGTGCGATTTCCATCCAGTAAAACCGAACTACTGCGGCTGGTGAAGAGAGGTTTGGCAAGGCCTTTCCATGAAAAAGTCTTCATCTACAATCAATATGCTACAAATTTTTCAAGGTGTGAAAAAACATACATATGTAGATATTTATATTTGTATATATGTAGTTATTGTAGATTTTAGTGCAGTTGTATGTGCGAGCTATTAATATACCATATGTATAATTATTTTTCTATTTATTCATTATGAATCACACAGTCTTTATTTGTTTGTTTGTTTGACCGTCTGTCTGTATGCCCATATTGTCCGTCTTACGACATACCATCCTCCGTCTCCTCCTTGTTTGTTTTCTTTGATTACATTTTCGTTTTTCAGTTTGTTTTTATAATTTTTCTTATTTACCCGTATTTTTCTTCTTTTTTTACAGTTGGCTTGCCAACAGTCACACAGATGACCAACTGATCGCCATTAGTCACCAAGTGACAAATTATGAGTTTTTTTATGAACCTTTCTATGTGGCTTTGGACAATGTGCCCCCGCACGATGAACGTTTCGTGGGCTATGGTTTTACAAGAAATTCACAGGTTTAATATTAATAACGATAATAATTGCATATTTAATAAATTTTATTTCTTTCTTTTCTTTATGTCTAATAAACTTACCCCCTTGCCTTGGCAACGATTTGTCCATTTCAATTTTAATGTTGGCGTTTGTGTGTGTTTCTGATTGAAGGTCTACGAGATGTATGTTTCTGGTTACTCATTTTATGTCTTGACTCCTGTATTCACCTGTCATTGGGGTTTACAAAAGAAAAATGCTCGTCCATCGTGGCGCGAACAGCAGAATACCTTTAATAGTAAACGCTTTGAGATTTTCAAAAAAGAAATCTTTGCTCGTTATAAAAAGCCATTACATTCCTACGATCAGAAAAAACATGGATGATATTGATTAATAATACTATTTCTTCATACATATATTATTGTAATCATATTGATTTTACATGTAACGTATTTAGTTATAGATAAAAGTAAGTATGTATGAGTATTGGTGGATATTTTCTAAATATCGAAAGGAATATTTAATAACTTTTGATACGAAAAAGTGCATAAAACCATATCTTCTATAATGAAAATCTATCACTCTTAAGTACATACTTAATACAATAACTATTTTGTACATATATATACATACATATTTAGCTACATATTGCTCATTTGCAACAAAAGAATCTTAACTCAATATATTTATAGTTTTTAAATAAGTATTAAAATGTAATATTTTTTTTCTTCAAATAAGTTACTAAAAATATTTTTATGAACAATCTTTTGCCTAAAATTAAATACTAAGTTTAGTTGTCTTGTTTTTGTACAATTTGTATAAGATATTTGTTTTTTTACCTAAATTTCGTAAAATATATAAAAGTACTTTTTGCAATTAAGTAAAAACTGTAATAAATAATACAAATATCATATAATTTTAAGAGTACACTATGAATAATGCTTTTTAAATTTAATGCAAATTTAAAGAAAATTTTATATTATAAGTAACAAAATGTTTTGGTTTTGGTTTTAGTTTTGTTTAACCCATTTGTAGAATAAAGACTTATAAGGTTATTTCTTTAAGGTTCCTAAATTTTAGTCATGCTACGTTTGTTTTAAGTTAGTATGTATTTAACTGCTCATTATTGTTTTTTTCTTTAATAAATATTTATAAAATAAATAATTTTTATTGATTTAATCTTAAAATTTATTTGTCATGGAAGTTGTATGTAATCTTTTTATATACCTTAACCCATAATTACCTACCGCGAGTCCCTCCGACAATAACAATCTTTACTCTTCGTGTATTTCTGTACATTCCGATCTCTGTCTATAGTATAAATAGAGATGCTCGCAATCGTTCTTGAGCTAGGATAAAAGTTCTGTAGAAGTGTGAGAGACTCCTTGGTAGGTTCTAAAATACCGCAGATAGGAACTAGTTTTTTTACTGCAAATCGTTTGTTTAGAAGTTTCTGTAACAAGATAGTAAAGCCTTAAATCAATGCTGTAACATTTATCAATGATTTCAGTTCAAAACTATCAGTTTCGAAACAACAAATCTTAAAACTACTTCTAGGGAAGCTTTAGAACCGGTCGCAAAGATGTTGTTTTGAAATTAGTATTCATATACTCTGGACAACGGTACCACTAGGACCCAAGTGAATCGGTCAAATGGCCGACTGCCTAAATAACCTACTCTGGATCCTTATTCGTTTTAAAGATAATCAAGTTATGTCCATTCTTCTGTCTATATGATGAAAACAAAATAGGACCTAAACGAGAGGAGCTCTCTATAGATATTTGAAATTGGGCAAAATCGGTCCACATTTATGCAAGGAAAAATCTTAGTCCTTTTTTTTGCTTGCAAATCAATTGATTAATTCTATACAATTCTTCATATATTGATGATCAAATAAAAAAAAAAAAAAACATTGAAAATTTTCTGTTTTTTTTCACTTAATAAACACAAATAATAATTAATTAAGGAAAAAATAAGTAATTGTTAAAAAGAAAAAAATCAAATTAATTTATACATGCATCGAAAAATTTAAAGTATCTTTTCGCATTTTAAATCCATATTGGTAGCACCAAACGTATGCATTCTAAATATACATATAGTATATAAAAATCGTATAAATTTATATACATATATAGAGATATATGTAGAAATAAAAGTATATGATGTATACATACATAAATATTTTTTTAATACAAAAATGAGTGTTTATTATTAAAAATAGATTTGTTATTTATAACAAATAACAAAAAATATTAAAAATTAAGCAACAACTAGTGGAAGATGAAAAAAAAAAACAAACAAAAAATACTAAGAGAATACGGGCGGGCAGCAGTTACATTTAAAATTCTTCCGCATTAAATCTTTATACGTAATAAAATAACAAAATATTGTATCAAATCTCTTCATTTTTACACAAAAATATTGGAGAAAAAATCAACAGAGACGCAACCTACTCCATACTCCAAATGTTGTAGGAAAAATTTAGTTTGATTTGCCAGGCGGGGGAGGCTAAGGGTGTTGGGTGCTGAGTGTTGGGATGGATGCTTTCTCAAAGTTTTGAATTGAATATCATCAGAAGATACAGAAAATGTTTTCTCATGAGAATAAAGTAAATGAAAGTGGTAAAGAGCTCCGTGTGCATTTTTCTAAAATGTTCGTTTGCTCGTACAAAGAATCTGTGGCAGTGGGGAGCAGAGATATCGAGAGACCGACCAACCAAGTGAAATTTGGTGAATGAAGGGAATTTTTTTGTTGCCTGCTTGCTTGGAAAATGTGTGTCTCTCTCTCTTTCTATACATCTTTTTCTAATGTTGTATCTATTATGTGTTGTGCCGTGTGCAGTATGAAATAAAGACTACCTGCGCTGAGTATCAGTGAAGTTCATTTTAAATCGGTATTTTTCACGTAGTGGTACCTCAGTGCGGTAAAGTGAAATATTTTTTTAAATATAAAATAATAATTTTGATTCAAATAGAATTTTGAAATTTGAATTCATTCACCCTTTTAGTGAAACTATATAATAATTGTTTTTAATTCTTAATTCATACATAGATTTAAACAAACAAAATGCCTTTCACTCCCGTCGAAACTCCAAAGTGCCCCAAGTGCGGCAAATCCGTATACGCTGCCGAAGAACGCGTTGCCGGAGGATACAAATACCACAAGACCTGCTTCAAATGTGGTATGTGATCAAATTGTTTAATTACACATTTAAAATTGTTTAAAAGAAAAATAAAACTAATGAACGAACGAATGAACCAATAAAATAGAATGTGCTTAAAGTGAAACTAACCTAAAAATTTATTTATTCCTTAGGAATGTGCAACAAAGCTCTTGACTCCACAAACTGCACAGAACACGAAAAGGAATTGTTCTGCAAAAATTGCCATGCCCGCAAATACGGACCTAAGGGTTACGGTTTCGGTGGCGGTGCTGGTTGCCTTTCCATGGACACTGGTGCTCATTTGAACAGAGAGTAAGTTAAAAAATCAAATAAAACAGTTTATAACTTTAAAACTTTAAAAAACAAGTCAGTTAGTTAGTTACTTAACCCTTAAAAAGTCCTCAGAAAGAAAAAAAAACATAACTATATATACTTATACATACATATATTTTACTATGTATATAAGTAACTATGTAAATATTGCCAAAATTCTCTATATATATATTAAAAAATATATATGTATGTATGTAAGTATCTATGTATGTACAAGTACAAAGTGCACTCACTCACTGACACACTCTTCTACAGATGTATGTATATGAATCATACGTAAATATGACAAACTATTTAATAAATTCAAACAAAAGTGCAAATGTGTATGATGAGATCAGTGAAACTTTTAAATATTATCCATAAAATGTACCGTTATTTACATAGATACTACACAAAATACTACATATATACCTATATACATAACAAAACACACACACACGTACATATACAAAAACACATACACACAATTCTTTTTTTTAATATTACACTCACCACCACTACTATGACAGCCGCAAGTTGTTATTTATTTATTTAATTATTTATGTACATATATAACTGTGTCACCGTTTATTTTTAATTACATTTTTTCCGTTTTTGTTTCGACATTTTTTTTTGTTAAAAAAAACAAAAACAAAAATTTAAAAAAAGAAAAGAAAAAGTACATGCATACGTATGAAAACACATACACACATTTCTTTCATTTTGTGCAACAAAAATATATATATGTATAAGATGTATACGATATTGTTATTATAATTATTATTTATTTATCTATCAATCAATCTATCTATCTATCACTATTTGTATACGAAATTGCTTATTAGCATTTACTACTCTTTAAACTATTGCTATTTCTTCTTTTAACTTTGAAAGTTTTATTTAGTTTTGTTTTTAATTTAATTGAAATTATTTGTATTTATGTTTGTAGTATATGTATGTAATTAGTTAGTTTAATATTTAGTTAGTTTAGCTTTTAGTTTTATTTAGTACATATTATTATCACAAAAAAAAAAAAAAAAAAACAAAAAAAGAAACACATACTAAGTTAATTTTTCGTATTATCACAGCAACTAAATTACTTACTGGCGAATTCTATAGACGCAACAACGATGGAATTCAGGATTTGATCTGTTTCAGTTTCAAAATGTTATGTTTCAGTTAGTCCATTTGTTGTTAACAACTACTACTACTACTCCAATACTACTACTACTACTTCTACCACCTTCTACTCTACCGTTGTTCCCTCTATGTACAATATCTAAAGAAATACCAAAGAAAAAAAAACAGAACAGAACATACGAAGTGGTATTCTTCTCTCTTATATACATTTAAATATATAATTTATTTTTTTGTTTTGTTTTTATTTACATCACTTTTTGTATTTTTTTTATAATTATCATTAATTTAATCTTCTTTGTTTTGTTTGTAATAATCTTTTTTTGCATTAGATGTGATGATAATGATGTGTTTGTTGTCTGTCCAAGCAAAAAAATTTTATGTAGTCTTGTTACAAATTAAAAGTAATTACTATTATTTTATAATTTTATAATTATTTTATTAATTTGCGTCTTTTTTATAAAATAATGAAAACTATACATATAAATATATACATATATTTTTGTTATGAAATGAAATTGTCAAATAAAATAGACTTCTATGAAAAAAACACACACACACAAAACAAAAAAACCAAAATGTAATTGTAATTAATTGATTTTATTTGTTTAAATGTAAAACAAAAGATAAACGGTGAGAAAAACATAAACTTGAAGTTGTCATATATATACTACTACTACTTACTAATTATACTACTATTAATACTACTAAATACAAAAATATTAAAAAAAGAATCGCATGGCTTAGCCAAACAAATTTAAAAAAAAAATAACTTTAACCAAAACAACATATTAATATAAATACATGTAAACATTTGTAATTAATACTTAATGTAGTGCAAAAATAATAATTTATAACAAAACAGCTTTATAACAAAACAAAAAACTTTTTACAAAACAAAATAACTACAACATTCATTCACTTATAACTCTATCACAACACTGGTGTACACTATACTTTCGCTTTTTAGAAAAATGTCCATTGCAGTATTTGGCATTTTTCCTTAAAATTTTTATGAAAATTGAAATATTTTTAAACAAACATTAACTGCTAGAAAGCCAAATTATATTACTTATATTAATTACTTTAAATATTAATTTAAAATTTAAAAAAAATATAGAAATGTTTAAAAAAACATATTCAAACTTCGATAAAAAAAACTTTATCGTTTATGGTTCCTAAAACTAAACGGTTATTGTTTCAAAAAGTTGTTGCTTAATTCAATAGTTTGAATGAGATTTTGAGTTCATTCTCTGTGTAGTTGAAATCCAAGAAGAAATGTTAAAAAGTTTTGTGAAAAAGTGCACATTTCTCTATCAAAATATAGTCACCTAAACGTATGATCAATATTAATTATAAATAATATCAATCATAGGTTCAGTTGATGAGAAGCAGACATTAAAAAGTGAGAAAAGAAACAATTAATGTAAACAAAACATACAAAAAAGGCATGTCAAACAGTCTGATAGGAATTGTTCGATCGAACTTATTTTAAACAGATTTCAACTTCTTTCTTCTTCTTGCTATTTCTTCGTTAATTTTCCAATAGAAGTTATTTTAAATAGATTCTAACTTGTTTTCCAGTTTTTTTTTATGACAATTTTACCACTACGTATGAGTAATATTTAACATACAAAATGTATATCAATTATACGTTAACATAATGAGAATCATACTTAAATGAATACAGGCGTGTCAAAACATTATGTCTGTCCGTTCGTAATATTTTCAATTTCGTAGTTAATAGTCCATCAGATTAAAAAAAAACTGTTATTATATCCTTCATCTTTGTGATGGTATTTATAAGTTTGTCTTTCCCTTAGCAATTTCTATAATTTTGCGATCCCGTACAGTATACAGTATATAGTTAGGGAAGTATTTAGCTATGTCCGTATGTTTGTTGAAATCAAGTTCATGAAGATCCCAGATACCTTTCTTTAGAGATAGATTTCAAGAAGTGATATGAGCAAAATTACCAAAATGTCACAATTTTTTCGAAAGTTCCTTTCATTTCATATACATATAGGAATGTGTTCATACATGTATCCGAAATTATGTTTGGTTAGAGATTAGCTCAAAAATATATAGATTTGAAAATGAGTAAATAGAAGACAATTGAAATACTGTTTGTTTGATATTATGGGGCCTGTCAAAGAATTACATTCCGATCGAAAGTGGAATTATTGTCTTATTATATTTCTTCAGAAATACATTTTTGTGTAATTATTGCTTTTTATAAAATTTAGTCAATATATTAACTAAATAACTATTCCAATTTCGATCGGGTTAAAGTTCTGTTGACCGCCCTGTATATTGAAATTTCAATTAGAATTGTTATTTTCTCTATTTCAATTCAAAATATTGTAATGATATTAGAACATGGCATGTGAATCTTTAAAATATTCGCAAGAATAAATCTGAATCATGTATGAATACAAAAGAGTAAAGTTTTTATATATAAAGAATAACTTTCTGAGCTAATAAGTAATATGAAATTGTCTATCTGATTGACCATCCATGTGAACTTTTGAACAAAGTACGCTTTTGAATTTTCAAGATACACATGATTTAGTTAATAGCAAGGAAGAAATGTATTGGATCTGTAATATTTAGTGGTCCCCAAAACATCATAGAGAAAATTCGACCCTAGACTAGAAGTAGCAGAATTTCATTCAGAAATTTTCATATTTCAAAGAGAAAAATAAACTTAACAGCACTTCTATATCACCTTAGTACGTTGAACTGAACATAGACACTATTTAACTTATTGCGAAATATTTATTCGTCCAAGAAAAGTCTATCCAAGAAAAGTTTTAGTTTTCTGTAAACATTTTAAAACAATATTGGAAACGAAAAAAAGAGATAACTGGAAGAGAAGATATATGCTTAATTGACCTTGGCCTATATATAAGATATCTGCCGAAAAGGGCGCTATTATATATTATACATACATATGTTAGGTTGTTGAGGCAGCCGGCCAGTGACTTGGGTCCGGATAATGGTCTTGTTGTGATATATATACACATATATAAATATATCTAGCAGAATTCAATGCACATTGAATAAATATATCGCTCATTTGCATTTAAATAAAATCCGATATTTTTTAACTAATTACCACAAAATATCCATCTGAACGATGATTTTTGTAAAAGTTATTTGCTTTACTATATACTATTTTAAGTTATTACATTTTAGTTGCAAATGAGTAATATTAATTCCTATTAGAATATGAACTCTATTAAATACTGTAAGATTGATCCCTAAATTTGAAGTCTAGTTCTGAGACTTTGATATGAGATCTTTTTTAAAAACACCTTATCATAATTAAATTACACGCAAATGTTTATTGAAGTTTAAAGCATATAACAAAGAACAATTTTACCAACATCTGGTTCGATAACTAACGATCAATTTTATACGATTTTCTAATAAAATAAATTTTCTTTTATTTATTTTAGAGAAATTGATGGCGTACGCAATGGTGCTCGTCTTGAACCTAAAAAAATTGCTAAAGCTCCAGAAGGTATGGGTTGTCCCCGTTGCGGTGGTTACGTTTACGCCGCCGAACAAATGTTGGCCAGAGGCAGAGTAAGTAATTTCAAATTGACATACATATATTATTTAAACAAAAACTAAAGAAAATTAAAACCAAAAAACACAAAAAAGGGTTATCACAGAAGATGTTTCAAATGTTTGCTCTGCAATCGTACATTGGATTCAACAATGCATTGTGATGGTCCCGATAAGGAAATCTATTGCAGAGGTAGACAAAATTTGTATATTTTACAGTCGGTTTATTTGGTATTTGTTACTCGTTTACATGTTAATGTGTAAAACTCTAAAGAATGTTTTTATTTTCTTATGTGTAACTTGTGTGTGATAACCCGTTTCAGGTGTTTAGTTAGTAAATAAAAACAAGTTTAGTTAAATGGAACAAGATCATGTGTGTGTTTTAAAAAATAATTATGAATCATTTTTAGTATGTAATACATATTTGTTTATATGTTTGTGGTGTTTGTTTTTTAATTGTTTTTTTTTTTTTTTTTGTATTATTCTCCTTGTTTTTTGTTGCTACCGATTACTAGGCTTGGCATAAAGAGTGTTTCAAATGCGGTAACTGCGCCAAGGGTTTAGATTCCATTTTATGCTGTGAAGGACCTGACAAAAATATTTATTGCAAATGTAAGTAAATTTGGAATTGCAAAAGTAGGGATAAGCAAAAAGGAGGGATTTGTTTGACTTTACACTAACACTCTGTGTTTTATATGTGTGTTTTAACATGGTGTTTTGTGTCTTTTTTTAAATTTAGCTTGTTATGCTAAAAAGTTCGGTCCAAAAGGTTACGGCTATGGCCAAGGCGGTGGCGCCCTCCAATCTGACTGTTATGCCAATGGGTAAGTGTTTGTAATAATATATTTTATATGTCTATATGTCTGTCCCTGTCTGTAATGTGTACAAACTCTTTGAAATAAACAAATCTTTTATATTAAAAACCTAACTACATTTAAAGGTTGTTACGCTCAAAGATTTGGTACCAGAGGTTATGGTCATATAGGCATGTCATCATTAGGTCTAATGTCTGATATAAAAGATGTTGAATGGCAAAGGTATAGTTTGGTTATAAAAATTTATATTTTCCACTGATCATACTCTAAATGTGTACCTACTAAATATTTACTATATACACAGGAATGTGTTATATGTATCCACAAAGTAGATATTTAGATACAAATATTCCAAAACTTATGTGTGAATGTATAAGTGAATTTCTAAATGTATCACATTATTCATTGTCTACAGAAATCTATGTGGGAGAACTAAACATTTTTTTTGTTATCCATCTAATTTTCTATTAAAAAAAATTATTTATACATATTTGTATATTATACATTTGTATGTACAAACACATATGAAGTGATGCCTATATACATGTGTAGATAATTGCTATAATAAATTTAGATTTTATTTATATGTACCAATTCGAATATAAACAAATCGAAATCTTATATAATTTAGAAAAATCGTCAATAATAACAAATGTGTATAATATGTTTTAAAAAAATACACAATTCGTAAATGTTTACCTTTGAATGTATCTCGTAAATTGGTTTTTTGTTTATTAAGGTGTTTTTATTTACTCTGTTTTTCAGTATAAAACTAAAATGCTGAGAATTTAAAAAAGTTTTCTCTAACATTTAATATTAACGGCAGCGCAATATATCGAGGAACAATATGCATAACTCTCTATCTTAGAATTGCTGGCAAAATATTTAGCAAACTAGCTCACATCTTTTATTTACATTTTACAGAAACCCCATTGAATTCTGGGGGTTTACTCTGTAATTCGATTTGAAAGCAAACATTTTCGAATTTGTATGTTAAATATATTGTGTTTGTAAAGATTTTTATTTCGAATCGAAATACGCAGTCCCAGGTGAATCGTTTGAAACATTTTGCAACATATCTATTAGATTTCGAATTTTGATAAAATTTAAATCAGCGACGTCTAAACTATGAAATATATTGTTTGTCATTAGGTTTTTATTTGTTCTTTAGAGGATCATCAAGCAAAATCGTTAAATTATTGCAGTTATTTTAAAATAATCTTTTGTTCCAATAGTAAATGACCTTTTTTCATGTTATACAAAATCAATGTATTTAGTCATGTCATGATCAATTTGTTTAAACAATGTAAAAACAAAAACAATATAGTATACTCCTCTATACATATTCAACCTTATTCTGCATTTCAAATCTAAATGCAGAATAGGAATGATTGTTAAACTGCCTTATAAAACATATTATTATAAAATAATATATGTACTTACCTTTAACTTTTACATCTGACAAAATTGTAGTGATATGGCTCCCCGTACAGCTGCTATTGATGTTAGCAAAATTCAAGCTCGTCCCGGTGAGGGTTGCCCACGCTGTGGTGGTGTAGTCTTTGCTGCTGAACAAGTACTTTCTAAGGGCCGTGAATGGCACAGAAAGTGCTTCAAGTGCAGGGATTGTACCAAGACTTTGGATTCGATCATTGCTTGTGATGGTCCCGATAAGGAAGTTTACTGCAGAACTTGCTATGGCAAGAAATGGGGTCCTCATGGCTATGGTTTTGCCTGTGGATCTGGATTTTTGCAAACTGATGGTTTGACGTAAGTTTTTCTACTTTTATATGACAATTGTTGTGATGTGTGATGTAAAAATTTTTATAAATTCCTTAGTGAGGAGCAAATTATTGCCAACCGTCCCTTCGCAGCCCCTGATACTACATCAATTAAGGCTCCCGAAGGTGAGGGTTGTCCTCGTTGTGGTGGTGCCGTCTTTGCCGCCGAACAACAATTGTCCAAGAGCAGAATGTGGCATAAGAAATGTTTCAACTGTAGCCAATGCCACCGTCCTTTGGACTCTATGTTGGCTTGTGATGGTCCCGATAAGGAAATCTACTGCAAGGCTTGTTATGGCAAAAACTTTGGACCTAAAGGCTTTGGTTACGGCCACACCCCAACCTTGGTATCTACCACTGGCGAATCTACCATTCAATAGTAAGTGTCCAATTTTCTTTTGTTTATGCAGAAAATTAACTTATATCATATTTTTTTAGTCCTGATGGTAAACCTTTGACTGGCGCCCGTTCATCTGGTGGCTGCCCTCGCTGTGGATTCGCTGTCTTTGCTGCCGAACAAATGATCAGCAAGAGCCGTATCTGGCACAAGAGATGTTTCCACTGTGCCGATTGTCGGAAATCATTGGACTCGACCAACTTGAACGATGGTCCCGATGGTGATATATATTGCAGAGCTTGTTATGGTCGTAACTTTGGTCCCAAAGGTGTTGGTTATGGTCTAGGTGCCGGTACTTTGACTATGGCTTAAGCGTTACACAACAATAATAATATGAAAAAAAAAACATTTCCATTCAAATCAAATCGCCTACCACAAAAATACCACTACAACGACGAAAAAAACGTAAAATTAAAATGATAAAAAGAAACGAAATAATGAAAAGTAGTAGATTTAAAATAAAACTTTTAATTAAACGAACAAACGATACAAACAAAATGATAATACAAAAAATAATTAATCGTATTGTAAATCTACACCAACATTAAACAAATGGAAGTTACGACCCCTATTTAACGAACGCTTATACAATATATATTGAAATTCTTGTTGAGGAACATTTTAGTAACAAACAAACGATCATTGCGAAATATATATGTATAATGTATATATACATCATATATATATGATTATTATTATTTTTTTTATATATTTTATACATATTCATAGTTTACTATAGAAACAAACCTGATTATAAAAGCAAAAAAAAAAAAATGCATACATACATTTATAGTTAAGCATTAAAGCATAAGAATGTGAGAATAATGAAAAATGAACAAAAAGAAAAAATTAAGAAATGTTTATCGAATATGAGACAATTACAAACAAAATACTAGAATTATTACATTATTATTTACTATTGTTTTATATACATACATAATATATGTGTAAGTAAAATCAATGAAGTGCATACATATACATAGTTTTATATACATACATACAAAAATAAAACAAAAACTAAAAAAAAAATATAAATTAACAAATATTTTAAAAAATAAATGCTATTGAAAAAAAAGGAAACTAATTAAAAATTTTTTTTCATATCAATTTTTCATATAAATTGATTTTGTGTTTTTGAAATGAAATTTTAAAGTGAAATTTCAGAAACAACACTTGAAAACGAAGTGATTTATATATTCACCCCTATTCTGCATTTCGATTACGTTTCCGCATTCTGTTACGCAACGATCGAAAAAGTTATTCCCACAAAAAATTGAATCGTAAGAAAAAGAAGATGCAATTCTACTTCGTTTCAATGATTTACGATTATGTTTACTTTGCATAACGATCGTAACTACATACTTTTTTGTAAATTGTTAATTTAGTGACAGAACGTCGAATCGAAATCCAGAATATCAAACGGAGACAATTTCGATTCGAATTAAAAAGCAGAATAGGGGTGAGTACTTTAAAACGAAGGGTTTTATACGTTTCCGCGTTTTCTTACGCAACGATCGAAATTCAATCTAAATTTTTACTAATTGACCCAACATTCTAAAATATCAAAATTCATTTAAAATTTCATTTTTTTAAATTTTCATTAAATTTAAAAAAAAAAATAATTTTCTTTAAAATTTTTATTAAACATTTAAATTTTTACTTGCTATTTGTAATTTCAATCATTTTCATTAAAATTTCCAATTTTCATAAAAAATTCTTAAAAAAAAAATAAATTTTTATAAAAAATTCACTAAAAATTTTTAATTTTTACAGAAATTTTATTTCTGTCTCAATATTCATTTTCACCAAAATTTTAAATTCTCACCGAAATTTTCATAAAAATTGAAACTTTTAACAAAATTAAAAATTTTTATAAAAATTCGTATCTTTATCGAGAAATTTAAATTTTAACTAAAATTTAAACTTTTACCAAAATTTTGAATTCTCAGCGACATTTAAATATTTACACAAAATTGTCTTTTGGATAGCACAACCAAAGTATACTTTTCTAAAGGATTGGCTAAATCGAAATCTGGTTTCCATCACAACAGGTTTTTGAGATATCGTGTCATATAAACTGAAAAATCAAAGTATATTTTGGCTATATTTGAGTCATTATAACAGCGCGTAGGCATTTTTGTATTTAAATCTTTTATGTCATCTGAAAGTCCCATCTGTCGACTTAAAAATAAGGTTTAATCACCGTCATATCTGCATGCATCTTCGAGATATCTTAACCTAAAGCCAGTTTCAGATTTGGCGATGATCATTACTTTAGTATACTTTGGTCTGTGGATTAATACTTTTTTAAAAAATGTAGTAAAAGGAGAGAAAATGTTTAATCTCTTGGTGTTTGCTCTTCTAAATGACTTCTTTTTCAACAACTTTCAGTTATTGAACAGAGATATTATTATTATAGATATTTATTTTTAAGATTCCTAATGGGCAGAGTTAAAAAAAAAACGCTAATCATACATAAATGTTCCTCCTTATCGCTATGAAAACGAATTGTTTTTCTTCAAATTGGTACTACATATGTCAAGAACTACTAAGAGATTGGGAACATATTCCAGGAAAAGAACCAAGCTACTTTTTCAAAAATAAAGTCCAAATATACTTACCCATTACATCCAATACTTATTAAGATGATATCCAGCTATATATCTTCAGTCATTTTAGTTTAATATAACATGATATCTTGTCAAATGTTTCAGAAGGAATTTTGCTTGTTATTACTGGTGATTTTGTTAAATTCGAATTCACTACGTTTTTGTCTTCTCTAGCATAAAATAAACCACTTATTGGGGGGAATTGATAGCAGACAATAACTTCAGTATAAAAAGTACTACACATAAGTATGTACAGAGTAGATAGAGAGAGCATGTATGTACTAAAGTAAAAAAAACAAAAAAGAAAAAATATACATTGAAACAGTGTAAATAGGATTGTTGTATATAAGTATTTTTCATTCTCTTTTTTAATTGTTTTACTTTAATAAGTAGTATAAAAGTGGGGATGTCTGTGTATATAAATTTTTATATTTATGCAACTCACATATCAAAATTACACAAATATTTATTTAGTTTATTATGGCATATTTTTAGAAATTTGTGTCAAAATTTTTTGCAAGATTTATAAAGTATTTTACAATTATAAATGATGTTGTTTTCTTTATAATTTCTATTTTTTTTTTTCTTTCGTTCTTTCTTCTTTTTAGTTCTTTTTCTTCATATAAATATGACATACTACATACATGCATATAAAAATTAAAAAATCCTGCATATTTAAATTTTAATATGGTTGTATAATATCCTAAAGATCTTTTAGGAATAATATTACTTGTTTTTCTTTTCTTTTTTTTTTCGTTTTCTTTTTTTAGTTTTTCTTTACAGATATTTTACAAAAATATGTTACATTATTATTCTCATGAGACTTACATTAAGAGACGTTAATAAAATTGGTAATTTAAAAATCATTATAAACTGTTCAATACTTAAGAGTGTTTATGTGTGGTTTCTTTTCTTTTTTTCTTTTTTCTCTCTTCTTTTTTTGTTTTTATAATATTTATATTAGAATTATTAGATATATGTGTATAAATGTGTCTTTAAGAGACAATCAAATACGTTGCTTGATTAATCTCTTTAAAAATTAAAAAGAAGTAAACAATATTTGTTTAATTTTTTAAAAATATTAATTAATTTCGTTTCTAGCAGACAAATAAACAAAAAAAAAATACAATCTTAAAATTAAAAAACGAAATAACAAATAAAGAAATTTTTAATATTTTTTCATAACTAAAAAAAATCTGAAATGCCCATTTAAATGGTGTAGGAAAAGTTTGGTAGTTTTAATAATTATTAAATCGATACTTCCAATTGTGAAAATAAGTATTAGAGAAACTATCAATTATTTATTTTTCGTTGTTGTTTTTCTCCTTTTTGTTTCTCTTTTTTCATAACTAATGGCAGACAAATGGTGAGAAGAGAACTTTATTTAATAAAGTTCTTGCATCAACACTAATAATACTCGTATTTAACAGTTACTTTTGAAAACATTTTAATCGAATCGTTTTTAAAATTGTCCTTTTGTTAATTTTGCCAAAACCTTGGGAATTGGCTTTAGATTTATTACACTTAAAATAGCAAATAAAAGATCGATGTTCCTTTTTTTTTTTTTTTTTTGGTTGAAACAACAAAACAAATAATTGATAATTTCCGAGTTGCATGGGAAATGTTTGAATAGTTTAATATTGTATGTATTTCGTGCTACATTTATTAATTGGGATCATGTAAAAGGAAGTAAATAAAAATAATAATAATATTGCCGACTTATATTCAAAGAATGAAAAAAAAAACAAAAATATATAATGTTAGTAAACAGCATGTCAGTTTTAAAAAATGCTTTTAAATGATCCTTGTAAATTGTTTGTTTCAATTTTAAACTTACATTTTAACATACATAAATGAGGGGAATGCATTTTCAATTGACATCCATCCATCCATCCATCTTTCCATCCATGCATTGTTAATAAATGAATGGACGAACGAACGAAGGTATGAATGCAAACATTTTTTTGTTTGTTTTTAACTTTCAATGCTGCATTAAATGTGAGACTGTTTTAGTGTTTTATTTGCTGGATAAGTCTGTGAAACAAAGACTGTTTCCTTTTTAAGTAAATCAAAATTATTATTGTTTTTACTTTTTTTGTTTTTGTTTTATCTTATGTGTGTGAGTGTGTGTGTGTTTTTATGTTTGCTAAATTCGCTTTACATCTTGACATACAAAATATATTTATCATTAGCTAAACAGTTAATGAATGTATAATGTTGATGATGATAATGGTGACGATGATGATGATGCATTTCATCATTTAAATAATTATTATTATTATTATAATTTTGACCCTCATTTAATTAACATTATCATTATAATTATAATTATATTAATATTATTATTATAATTATTTTTTCTTTTCTTTTTTTTCTTCAAATTATTATAGTATTATTGTTAGTTAATTTATATTATAATATGTACGTGTGTGCATAGTTGTAATAATTATTAGCAAAATCCTTCTATAAAAGAGCACAACAACAATAACTTTTTTTCTGTCTTTTATCCTGGGTCATATTCATTTCACGTACTATTGTAGCAAATACTTCATTGACATTAATACGATCTTTAGCAGACGCTTCTATGAATGGACATTCCCAGAGTTGTGCTAGGGCATTACCTATAATACAAAAAAAAAACAGAAATACAAATTATATAAATCAGGATGATGTTTCTTTATCATAATGCAATTTAAATAAAAATTTTAATTTAAAACATTTATACAACCTTCGGCAGTCGAAACTTCTCTTTGGCAATCTAAATCTAATTTATTAGCGACTAGTAGAATAGGTGCTGGTTGACTTCCTTTAACACGTGTTATAACATTTTTCATGCTGGAAATATCCTGTATGTGTTTAAATAGAAAAACAAAAGTTATTAGAATATGTTTTATCATTATAGTTTATGGTTAATTACCTGAAATGTTTGATGGTTTGTTAACGAATACATAACGATAAATCCGTGTCCATTTTTAATGTAGAGATCCCTCATTGAAGCAAATTGTTCTGTACCAGCAGTATCTAGGATTTCTAGTACACATGGTGAACTATCAACCTTTAAACAAATACAAAATTGTGTTATTTAGTTAACTGTTGTTTTATATTAACGTCTTTTTTCAGAAATATATACAAATAAATTATAATGCATGATCAAGACTGCAAAAATCACTTAATTAGTCAGTTATTTTATATTTTTAAATTATATTTATATTTGTGGATATTTTTATACTATTCCATAAATAAATTGATTTTCGATTGGTCCCTATAAAATGTTCATTCTGCTGTCAGCGTTTCTTAAAAGTTTTAATCACCAGTTCGCTGTGCTTTCGACAAATTTTACCATCACAGTTCGCTCAATAATATTCTTGTTTATTGATATGAAGTGGAAAAGGCGATTTGAACTCTTCTTCCGTTAGGCAGTACGAGTGTATCTTCAATACTATACAAATTTTAGACCAGGTATCGGCTTAAATTTAACTTCATACTATACACACCCCCTCCCACTCACTCTCTTATATTCTGCTTTATTATCTATTCAGGTATCACAAAAGGGCCAACAAAACCCACGTTTCGCAGCCTAAACCTACCGGCTTAAAAACTTTTAGTTAGCTCACATGGGAGTACTATTTATAGATACCAATTTAGATCAAATCTAAAGATTCAACTATGCGATCAAGGAGTGATGTACTGAGTATGTATAATTATTTAGCTGAAAATGTAGGAAAAATATAAAAAAAAAACATTAAAAAACATTGACCACGCCCATCTTTGTCCCATCCATGTTCCATTCTAAATTGAAATTTAAACTACAAATTTTCATTTTTCAAACAAATTAATGAGAATGCTCACTTGCAAAAATGTTTGGCAATTTAAATTTATGCAAAAAATGCAATCAATATTAAGGGGATTTGAAAATAGTAAAGACTTGTTTTTGTATTTATACCTACTGAATAATAATAATTTCTGAAATAGGTGAAATGCAAAAATTCTACTGCAGCAGGGCGTTAAATTGATTGTGAAGTAAATAGTTATTGCAAACATGTCTGCCAATATTGATTCTTTAAATAAATAGTAATTGCATCTGTAATATAGATATTTTATTTTTTTCTAAAAGGGTACAAGTTATCATTACCAAGTTATATCACTATAACTTAACAAACAAAAAAAGTTAAATTAAAATCCTTTTACAAACCTCAATTTCTTTGCGATAGAAATCTTCTATTGTTGGATCATATTTTTCTATAAAACATCCTGAAACAAATTGCACGGTTAGAGCGGATTTGCCCACACCTCCGGACCCCAAAACAACAACTTTGAATTCACGCATATCTGATGATTTATGATAATGATTTTGACTGCTGCTGCTGCTGCCTCCGCTGCTGCTGTTAGATACTACCTACTACTGCTGCTACTGTCGTCGGCACTGTTAGTAATCGGGCCACAAGGAGGATCTTAGTTCGATTTAGTTCTTTTTCTCTTGTAACTAGTTGCCTTGAGAGTTCGATTAAGGGCTAAAATAACTTTATTTATTTTTTTACTGGAGCTTCTTGATGTAATAACTTATTTTTTATCTTTAAGTTGTTTTTTGATCTTTTTGTTTGTTGAATAAGCAAATTTAATAAATGTATTATATATACACGCACATACACTCATTCACGCTCAACACACACTCATTTATACATACGTACTTGTATATATGTATATAAATTAAATTGTTGTTGTTCTTTTGATTTTTTTTTTTTTACTTTTAAATTAATTTAATAGATAGATATGCAAAATGGTGTGGACCGAAGAAAATTTGTAATAAATTGTATGTATTATGTCTGCACTATTGGATTTATGAAAAAATAAAACAAAAAAATCGTTTGCTTTTTATCTTATTTTTTTCTTTTCTCGTGATTTGTGTTCTTTCTTTCTTTCCTGCCTTTGGAGAGTTTTAGTTGAATTGAAATAAAGTAAACGTCGTAATTGGCGTAGTGGTGGTGGTAGTGGTGTGGTGGTAGAGGTGGTGGAGTCGTAGTTCGTTCTTAAAATATATACGAAGTGTGAACGGGGGACAAGCAGAACACCTGCGAATTTCTACGATTTATTAATTCTTTTCGTTTTTTATTTGTTAACATTTTTATTTCACAAAAATACTTGATAAAAACTTTTCTTATATTTTCACACAAAACATCATCTTATCAATTAAAAATAAACACGACAACCAACTATTGGCAGAAATTCTTCTCGCTTTGTCCAAATTTCACAAAAATCTACAGCAGATCTAATCACGGCCTTGCCATATCTTTCAAGTCTCCATTTGATGAATTATTTTCACAATCACAAAAATTTTCTCTACACTATGCCGACAAATGTGAAGGGTTGCATTTTATAAAAACATAGTCAATTTACTACTTTCCAAAATGGGATTTCCCACTAAAAAACCATTATAATCAACATTTTAGTAATAATTCCAAGAGAAGATATAATTAAAAGTTGAAATTTACTTTTATTTTCCAAATATGTGTGTAAATTGTTTATTAAAATTGATAAATTCTGTGGCCTTGGTAGTTTTACTATGCAAACCCAAGTAACCGTTTGTTTATTCGTACATCACTAACAACCACCTTTTTATGCAACTGCTTCGATGTAACGATTAGCTGTCAACATTTTGTCTTGTAAACACAGTTTGGAGAAAAAGAATTTCAGTTTTATTATAACGAATATATTAAAATAAAAACAATTCAATGTAAAATCAAGCAAAAGTTCGCAAAAACATTAAATACATTTTCATAAGGAACAATATGTACGTGTAAAGAGTATTGTATTAATAAATAATTGTGTGTACATATCTACATACAGTGAAAAAGATATGTATCCGTATTTGTATACGCATTTTTTGTAAAATACGTTGTAGTACAACGTTTGAACGTACATATACGTTCGTTCATATGTGGTGTGTATATGTATAGTAAAGGTTTGGTTTTGTTGCTTTTTTTCTCCACAGATATTGTGCAAAATGTTTGACTCCACCCAAGAAATAAGTTTGGATGTGTGGCAGAAATGGATATTGGAAGCCATTTCCAAAATTCGTTCGCAGAAGCAGAGACCCAGCGTACAGCGCATTTGTCAGGCGATTGGTACGCATCATAAATTTCACGAAGACATTGTCGCCGAAAAGTTGGAACAAATTGTTGAAACTGGCGCCGTGATTAAAGTTTATAATAAGGGATTGCATTCGTATAAAGCACCCATGGCAAAGCGGGTTATCTGCATTGAGAAAAATACCAATTTGTGCAAGATAGTCGCAAGAGCTGTACACGATCTAGGCGAATGCGAAGGATCCAGTGTAAAGAGTATTGAAAACTACATACAAAAATTCAATAATATTCAACTTGTTGGAGACGCAGACTACAAAACAGTCATAAAACAGTCGATTAAAAAAGCCGTTGAAGCTGGTTTTCTCATACAGGAGGGTAAACTGTACAAAAAAGGACGTTCATTAACAACACCAAGAAATTCAAATGCATCGGCTGATATACCCGTACAAATTGTAAGTTTAAAGTATAAATATTCGCGTAAAATGCACAAATTTATTACAACATATTTTATAGGGAAACGACACATGCAAACATTGTTCGGGAAATGCTCAGAAAAATTTAAATGGTATTCCCGAACCTTTGAGTTCATGCAAACAATGCGGCATTTCGCTACACACAACTTGCGCTAACATAGCTGCAAAATGCAAAACACAGTCATTTGTCTTACTTTATATGCTTGTAACCAAGGGTAGCTCATGGTACTGCGAAAATTGTGTCAAATGCAATGCTTGTGGTAAGGGAAATAAGGGTCCCTGTCTTTTGCAATGTTTTGTCTGTCAGAAGAATTTCCACTTGAATTGCTTGGACACTATACCGGACAAGAAACCGAAACATCCATATCGATGCAGTACTTGTTTAAAACTAAATACCGACGTTTTTCGATTAGTTAAAGGCAAAGATGCGCAAAAGAAGATGGTTTTAACCAAGAGTCGGTAAGTGTTTGTAATTGTAATTAATGCATTAGTTGAGATCTCTATTTTTTATGTTCTGTTAAAATCTAGTGCCGCAACTGCTAAACAACAATTAACAAATTCATCGCCTTCCTCAAAATTAAACTTGAGTAATACATCGAATACGACACCCAATAGTTCGCCGGAAAAGGGATGGACTGTCGCCAGAGGTAAGGCCAGCGCCAAAACGACGCCCATCAAAGTAGAAACTAACGTATTTGAAGCTGTAGCCACTTCAACAGCTGCGGCAATGGCTAAAGCCCGAGCTCAAGCTAATGCAGAAGAAACGTTTAAGCAACAGTTGAGCGCCTATCAGGAATCGTCGCTGAAAAATATGAAAAGTCGTAAAAGAACTTTATCAAATTTATCTTCATCCAGCTCTTCAAGTGACAGTGACGACGATCAGAATAACGAAGGTGATGACCAAGATAATGATGATACTTCATCCTCGGACTCATGTTCCTCAACCAGCAGCAGTGGTTCAGACTCGTCTGAAAGTAGTAGCGACAGCTCTGATTGTGACGACAATGATGATGATAATGACGACGATGACTACGATTCAGAAAATAGTGAATCAAAATCGAATGTCATGCTGGCGCAAATTTATAAAAAGCAAAAGTGTGAGGGTTTATTAAGTGCTGGAGCGATGGGTAAGCATTTAAGCTTAGTTCAGCCCCAGAAGGAGGAGGAATGGGGATTTGCTGCTGTGGCCAAAAGTAATCCCGATATTTTCGGAAATAACAGCAACAGTAATACTGGAAACAGCAGTAGCGATATTGTTAAAAGTTTAAAATCGGTAAAGCGAAAAATTACCGAACATTTTACTTTACTAACCAAAGACCAAGAACAGGATCAGCAGCAGCAGCAACAACAAAATCAAATTGAATGTCAACAAATGCTACAGAAATCTTCATTAATACACCCAGCTGCTACAGTGAATCCAACACATGCTAATTTTGTTCAAAACGATTCAAAATTAAATTCAGAAAAAAATAAGAATAAATCAGCCAATTCTCCTACTCAGACTCAAGTAGAGCAAAAACCAACTATGATGATAAAATACAAACCGAAACCAACTACAGATGGAACTTTGATTAAAAAAGCAGATGCTCCGGTTGTGCAAAAGAAAGCAGTCTTGCTAAAGTCTATGCCATTAGAAAAGAAGCCTGTTCCAAAACCGGTAGATGAAGATGACGAGGATGTAATACCGTATCTATCACAAAAGAACCTTATCAAATATAAAATGTTGGAAGATATAGACAAAGCAAAAAATCCAGAGAAAATAGAGGAAGCTCCAAAGGAACCAGAAGAAAAACATCCCTGGGAGGTAAAGACAGATGAAAATCCCTTTGATTCACAACCACTACCAAATGGTGTGTCACAAGCCGACTATGATGTCTACAAAGTGATTAGGGAACGAGCCCGTAAAGCAATAACCGGTGCTATGGAAAGTCCCAGCAAATTAATTGCCAAGCCAACCTTTATTAATTCAAATGCCGAACGTTGCCCCGGTTCAATCGAAATAGGAAAATGGCATATAGAAACCTGGTACTCGAGCCCCTTTCCCCAAGAATATGCCAGGTACTTCTAACATTCTCTCTATCATTAAACTAAATATTTTATCTAAACATTTCTAAACATTTTCCTCTTCAGGCTGGCAAAGTTATACTTGTGCGAATTTTGTTTAAAGTATACGAAAAGCCGTTCAGTTCTAGATCGCCACCAGAATAAATGCTCATGGAAACAACCACCCGGGACAGAGATATATCGGCATCAAGACCTTTCGGTATTCGAGGTTGATGGGAATATCAACAAAATCTATTGTCAAAACTTGTGCCTCTTAGCCAAGCTCTTTCTGGACCACAAAACACTCTACTATGACGTAGAGCCCTTTCTCTTCTACGTTCTCACAAAGAACGATAATAAAGGATGTCATCTAGTTGGTTATTTCTCAAAAGAGAAACACTGTGCTCAAAAATACAACGTCTCTTGTATTCTAACAATGCCTCAGTTCCAAAGGCAAGGTTTTGGCAGATTTCTCATTGATTTCAGTTATCTCTTGAGCCGAGAGGAAGGTCAATTAGGTACACCTGAAAAACCTCTGTCGGATTTGGGCAGACTCTCGTATTTCTCTTACTGGAAATCTATTCTCTTGGAGTACATGTATGACCACAGAAATGATCAAAAGATTACATTTAATGAAATAGCTCTAGAAACTGGTTTAACTGTTGTTGACATTGCACTCGCCTTAGAGCTCTTAGACTTTATAAAATTGCGTAAGAACGAGCATGACATACGCTATCAAATTAACATAAAAGTGGACTGGCAAAAGGTAACGGATCACCATGACAGACTTGAAAGAAAGAATAATCGCATTCATATTGAGCCAGAACGACTACGATGGAGTCCACTATTAACGTATGTTAAAAACAATCATTCATTGGACCAGTCTGGCAGACAAAGCTTGTCGCCCAGGAAAAATGTTTTAAAAATTGAAGAATCCCCAAATTTGCCGAAAATAAGCAACCAGAGACAACAAAAGCTGCAAACATCGCCAGCATTATCATCTGCAACAAAAACAATTAAAAAGATATCCTGTGTTAATCCCAAAGCAAATGAAACTAGCAGCATTGTTCCCAAAACTGAAAATGTATCGTCTGTGTCCAAGGATGACCAACCTGTTCTTGAAGTTTCCCGAAATCTTACGAATTCGGAAACTTTGTTTCAAGATAACAACAATGAAGGCGAATGTACGAATAAACGCAAGAGAACCGATAGTCCTTGCGAATTAGAAGAGGACGAAAAGGAAACAAAAGAGGAGGATGTAGAACAGTTGCATAAAATTACTATAAATGCTAACAATTTTGACGATCAGCAAGATATGGATATCTGTTCACCAGTAGAGGAAATACAAACCAAGCAGGAACAGGAACCAGATCAGGATAATCAGCCAATTAAACAGAAAATAGAAGAGGAACCGATCGTGAAAGCAGAACAAATTGATGCTTCTAAAAGTAGTTCTAATCGTTCCCAACGCTTAGCTAATAGAAAACAAGGCGCCGTCTTGCCACCACTTAAAAGAAAGCACGATGATTTAGACGAATCAAAGCCTGATTCAGTTATAGAGGTACCAGCAGATACTAACCCAGAACCGTGTGTGGAGGAACCGGTTTCGGAAGCTGTTGCGCAAACCGTTAGTGAAAGCAACGTACCAAAAGAAGAGGAAAAAGAGGACGCTGTTAAAATAAATGCTAATGCTTCAGAAGAAGAAGAGAAAATTGCAAAAGCATCTACCACAAATGTGGAATCAAAAAATGATAAGCGTGTTCCGAATTTGTTTCCCAAACTAAGAGCAAAAAATTCGGGTAAAATAAATGAAGAAATTGCAAATGATGTAGAAATGGAAACTATCCAACAAAAGCCTAAAGATTGCATGCTAGAAACTACGAAACCATGTGCAAAAATGGACGAAGCAACAAATGAAAACCTACAAAAATCAACTATTAAAGTTGAGTACAATCCGCCTTCGTCTTCATTCACTGCATCTCCCCCTAATTCAGTTATAAAATCAACTGAAAATGATGAAAAAGTTCTCGAAGCTGTTGCAAAGAAAACGAAAAAGTCTCTTTTTAATGAAACTGAAAACATCGTTAAACCAGAGATAGAAACAACCAACGTAACTGACGTTCCCAAACTAAACGATATGGAACCGTTGCAGCAGAAAGATAAACCGCAACAGAGTGAGGAAAAAGACGATGTAGAGATGAAAATTCAAGCCCCCATTACACAAACTGCTGTCGAAAATGTTTCCGTTGATAATAGTGAAACAAAAATTAACCAACCCACTGCAAATTGTAATGTGTCAGTCATTAGCGAATCGAAGGTCCCAGTGGAAAATCGAGAAATACCAAGTGCTACTGGTGTAGATGCTACTAAAGAGGTAAAACACTCAGCATTCATCGAAGAGACTAAGCCAGAACCAAAAAAGGAAACTGAAGTTCTAAAAACGGAACAATTGTCACCACTTCGCATAAGTCCCAGTCAAAACGAGACAGCAGTAGCCGCTCAAGAGCCTGCTAATATAAAACCATTAAATGAACCAGCAAAGTCTATCGCTCCAGAATGCGAGATAAAAGTTGCAAAAAACTCAACTTTAGAAGAGACAAAGCAAATTGAAATAAAGCCACAAGAGAATATGGTTTCAAATAATTCACTACCGACAGTTGTAAAACCAGAAATAACTCAAGTGCAAAACACAGAACCAATACAACCGAAAAAAGAGCAACCCGCTTTGAAAAGTCCTCCAAAAGTCGCTGCACCTGTAAACATACCTGTAAACATACCGGACACTAAACCAGTTTTAGTTCCCACACCTTTGTCTCAGTCTATATTGCAGCCTACCGAACAGCACATTCAAGTACCACATCAATTGCAATTGCCAACACAGGCACATCAATCACATCAGCCACATCCAACTGTATTGCACTCTTCAAGTAGTGGTATGTTGAAAACTTCCGCTGACAAGTTTAAATGTAAAACTGAAAGAGGTACTTCGGAACATGTCGCCAGCATTGTTAACAATGAAAGATCAACAACAACGCATGAAAAACACATTAAATCGTCCAATAAGTCGAAGGATAAGATGGAGACAAAATTGACATCTGAATCCAAAAGTAAGTCCTTGCACGCTGGTCGCGAAAAACAAGAGCAACAAAACAAGTTAATTGCTCAAACGCAAGGTGTGAAGCCTTTGCATGGACCCATACAAATTAAAGAAGAGGATAGAATGTTGCAAGCTTCAGTATCTTCGTCTACAGCACCTGGGGTACATGATAAATTGCATTTCAAACCCACAGCTGAACACAACTTGAATCCAATCGACCTAAATAAAATAGCGCCACAATTTCCTTTAAATCAACTCTCCAATTACCACACTTCTCAGTATTGGCAGTGGGACTACTATGGTTACAATCTTTCCCATTTGGATGCAACCGCACAGAAAAGTCAAAACAAATTCCACAAGGATTTAGCCACATCAATGGCCTACAACAACTTTACACAAAATCTATACCAATCGGCCAATTTGGCCATGCAACATGTCCACCAACAGCATATGCAACAACAACAACAGCAGCAGCAACAACAGCAACACCATCCCAAGGATAAGTTGAAGGCCGAGCGTAAAACAAGTCCTCTTAAAAAGGAGGAAGCCATCAAAAATCATACACATACACCCAGTGTCAACGAAATGATGCGCGAAGACAACTCCGCTTGTAGTTATAACAACAATCAAATTCACTACGCTAATGCTCAGAAGAATAGAGCAACAACTCAATCCGAACATCATCATATACGTTCCACTATCAACAATCATCAGAGCTCCGCAAACAAATACCATAATGCGCAACAGCAAGGTTCAGTAAGTCTATTGGCAGCTCAGCAATTGCATCAACAACAGCAGCAACAAGCAACTTGTCAGAAAGCTAAAGTCGAACAGAATATCAATCAATCGACTGGTGCTCAATCATCAACAAATCCCATAAATCCCAATGAGGATAATAAGATGAAAGCGACCGGCTCTTCTGTTTTGAGTAACAACGCTCAACAGCAAACTAATAATTCGGCTACCGTTAGTCCAGAAATACCCTCACCAATGGTATACAATGGTAATAACAACGAAACTTCAGGCGCTAATAATAACAATAACGCGGCCACTGGCTCAAACAATAGCAGCAACAACACCAACACTAACAATGCTGCTAACAACAACACCAACAATGGTCCCAATGCAATGCATCATTATGAATGTGGTCTTAATGTACCAATGGGTATGGACTCACCAGCCAGTATCGCTAGCGATATAACACAAAATTCCTCGGATGTATCGGGCAGTGGAGTTCACATGCAACAGACACAACAATTTTCGAATTGTTCAATGCAAAATCAAGGCACCAATACACCCATGCATATGTCCATACATACACCTCAACATATACAGCAACAACAACAGCAGCAGCAACAAAATAATATGAGTATTAATAATCAAAATCTTAACAATTTGGGACATAATCAACAACAGCAGCAACAGCAACAACAACAGCATAATACACAACAAAATCGAAAAATAAATCAGGTGAGTAATTTTAAAAAGGTTTTTTTTTTTTTTGCAAAAATTACATGTTTTTTAAAAATTAGATTTTTTACAATTCTTTTACAAAAATTTTGATTTTTTTAGTGTTTTTTTATGCAAAAATTTGTGTTTTTTTCAATACTTTCGCAAAAAATATTTTTTTACATCTTTTTACACAATTTCAATATTTTCACAAAAATTTGTCTTTTTACAAAAAAAAAAAAAAAAGATATGGGACAAACTATATGTTTACTAAAACAATAATAATTACCATTTCAGAATGAAAACCCAACATCAGGTTCTAGTGCCGCTCAGAGATCAACTACGCCAAAATTAATGCGCAACACAAATACATCAACCTCAAATGCGCACAGACAGTCTAAACAGCAACAACAACAACAGCAGCAACAAGCTCTAAACAATAGTCTCACTCAACAACAGCAGCAACAACAGGCTCTTGGAAACCATGCCAATCAAAACAGCTCGGAGCAATCGCAGCATCAAGAACAATTGCATAACATACAGTTTAGCCAATTGAATGCACATGCCCATCATCAAAACATGCAGGGCTCCGAGAATATATACATTTCTCATTTGGGACAAAATTATGCCGGTAACACTTCGAATTACAATGAAATCGCCAACATGCCGGCTGTTATACAACAACGAATGTCACTTAACAGCGCAATCAATTCGCATGCAGGATCAGTACGCGTGGAACAGTCGTCACCTTCTTGTGCTGTCAATAACTTTTACTTGCAAAACAACTTGGCTGCTAACGAATCGTTGAATAATGCAGCTAGAGTGCCTATTTCTATACCATCGGGAGGCTCTTCCACAGCTAGTTCTTCTAATGAACATTCTTTGAATCAACAGCAACAGCAGCAACAACAACAGCAACAGCAGCAGCAACAACAGCAGCAACAGCAAACCAGATCTGAATCATTGCCAAGTGCTCAGGCGGGTTCGCCAGCAGTTGTCGGAAACTTGAGTAGCCTCTCAAGATTGCAACAGTTAACTAATGGTTTGGATATACCACCATGCAACACTTCACCTATAGGCCAGGTCGACATGACTTCACCGCCACAACATGGCTTGGCGAATAATTCGATGACTCCGCCACCCCACTTGATAGTTCCACAAAATAGGAACCCCAATACTTCGCCCAATATGCTGCAATCTCAAATGGCATCTTTGCAGTACAAGTACTATTCGAGCAACATGAATATTGCTCCCATAACAACAACTCCACAGAGTATCAGTCGTTCAGTACGCAATACTGCATCGGCACCAATTCAACACATTTCCTCTTCGCCCTCCACCTCTTCACCCAATAGTAGCCGACCTGCTAACGTCCACATTACACCGAATTTAATGACACCCTATAGCGCCATCAATAGCTATAGAATGTCTGCCCAACAGGGCCCGTCATCTGGTTATTCCACCGGTGGCGAATATCCAAATTCCCAAATACCAATGCAAATGGGTGTCATGAATATGCAATCTCAATATCAAGATGCATGCGCTATACAAAGAGCAGCCCAACAAAATTCAATGTACTCTACCTACTCTCCATATATATCTTTAAATGCGCCCATGAGAAGATAAGTGAAAAAGAAAAACAAGTTAAAATATTGAATATTTTAGCTTGATATGAACATTTTTTTAACAATAACAATTAAAGTAAAACAACACAACGTCCCTTCTTTCTTTACCCCCCACTGTCGCCCCCGTATTTTGGCCTCATCATAAAGTACTTTAGAATACATAAGTTACATACGAGTGAGAGTAATAATTATACGCTCAAAGCATGGAAAATGTGTATTAAACAAAACACGCTAAATCCTTTTTTTACAATTTATATTTTTTAGATTTTTTTTCACTTTTATTATTGTTTGGAAATGGTAAAGAAACTGCTTAAGAAATATAAATAAAACTCAATAAAGAAACTTGTTCAACTACTGGCTTAAATAGGCCAGTAGGCTGAGTTCTAGTAAATCCATAATTAGCCGCTTAAATTTATAAAATAGAATTTTATGGACGAGCGGTGGAATCTATGCAAAGAGGAATATGTGAAGAAGACACAAACATATAATAAATTATATATATTATAGAAATTACTTTCATTCGTGACATTTCTTATTAGTAGGTATACACTCACACACCCACACATAAAAATAATTATTCTTATTAAACTATTATTCACTTGATGTCCTTCAAAGGAAATTAATAAAGTTTTATCAAACAAAAAAAAAAAATAATAAAAATAAATAATAAAATAGATATTGTATGTGTCAATATAAATAATAGTTGTTGTTTTATTTAAATTTACGAACTTTTAATGCTTTAATCCAGCTAATGAATTAAAATTTAATTTTAGCTAGGAACTACCCTAATCTATATACATACATACACACACACGTATGATAATAGTTTTTGTTTATATGAACATACCCTACCCAATAAACAAATCTTTCCAGCTTTCTGCAAGCAAACCATAATTCATATAATTTAAAGTTTGTTTAATAATTCTGAAGATAATGTTTATTGGGTTTTCATTTCAGGGCAAGATAAACATGCAGACATTTTAGCTTAAAGCAAGACCTTTGATAATAATGACATTTACAAGTGGAGAATAATATAAAAATAACACAAGATTATTTTATCATCTACTTGAAAAAATATATAAAATGTTTGAGTTGTAACATTTTTGTTAAAAAATCAACAACATGTAATTGTTGCTGTACAATTAATCAGTTTACTAGGAGGGTTAGTATCTCAAAGCATAACCTCTGATTAACAATGATAATGTTTGTGTTTAAATAAATATTATTACTCGTACAAAAATATGTGTACGTACGTCCGATCTTTTGTTGTTGTTGTTGTTTTATTAAAAACACTTGTCTTTTTATGATTATTATTTCGCTTCTGTTATCATTTATTTTATTAGCAAGATTAAGTATAACGTATAATTAATTGCATGGCATCAATTCAATGAGAATTGTTCTAAATTAATTAGTTGGAAAAATGAAGCGAATCTGCATAGTTGGAGCTGGTACAGCGGGTCTCTGCGCTGCTCGCAGAGCTTTAGACGATGGTTTTCAAGTTACCATCTACGAACAGACAAATAGTGTTGGCGGTACATGGGTATATACGGATCAAATCGGTAAAGATGAGTATGGTATTGATGTGCACAGCAGCATGTATCAGGGTCTAAGAACAAATCTACCCAAAGAGGTAATGGGCTATCCTGATTTTCCGATTGATCGTTCGGAAGAATCTTATGTACCATCGCAAGTTATAGAAAAATTTTTAAATGATTATTGCAACGCCCACAATTTGCTGCAACACATACAATTTTTGCATTATGTTATAAGAATATCACCAACAAGATGTGATAAATGGCAGGTATGTTTCCTTCTAACTCTTATATAATACAAAAATATTAGACCGGCTCTAAATATTTTAAACATTTTGAATTATCTTTGATTTCTATTAAAAGTATTTCTGTGAAAAGGGTCGGGTTTAATACAACTACATTTATACAAATGTTTAACACACCTATACTATGTTTGATAATAAACAAAACCGTAATAAAACTTAAGAAATAAATCTAAATAAATTGATTACGAGCATTGAATGCTTGATTTAAATGTACGGATCAATTATTCGTTCTCTTGAGTTGAAAGAGTTTGCTGACTAGCTGCCTTCATACATACAAATGTCCATTAGGAATGGTCACATAAAAATGTTTATTTGTTTTTAAAAAGAATTTTTAAGAAATTGTTAAAACGTTAATCACTAATGAAAGGCAAATTCTTTTGTGAGAAACTAATGTTTCATTTAAATTAAAATAAATTTTAATATCGAAATCAGAAAGGAAAATTGCGATCAATTTTACTCGATCACGTATACGTTAATATAGCCCCTGGTCTTAAAATTAACTTTGAATTTATTAATATTATTAAAATTCTCTTTGGTTTTGGTTTTCCAGGTGATAGTGAAAAATTTAAAAACTCAAGCGGTAGATTTTCTATCGTACGATTATGTTTTGGTGTGCAATGGTCACTATCATACACCATCGTATCCCAGCATTAAAGGATCCGATACATTTACAGGATTACAAATTCACAGCCATGATTATAAAAATGCCAATAGATTTAAAGGTAAAGTAAAATAAGTATAACTCAAAGTTTAAGAAATTTGAAATGATGTCTGAATTTAATGGGTTTATAGCAAAAGATTAAAAAAACTTTGAGCTAGAAATCTTCTTCCTAGAATTTATAATTAACTAATATCATTTTTATTTTCATACACTGCAGATGAAACCGTACTAATCATTGGAGCCGGTCCCAGTGGCATGGATTTGTGTAATGAAATATCAAAAGTAGCGAAAAAAGTTACACTCAGTCATCATATGGCCGAGACACCCAAAACAATATTCAAATCAAATGTTAATCAGAAACCTGATGTTTCTCATATTGAAGGTGATACTATATATTTCAAAGATGCTTCCAGTGATAAATATACGATAGTGTTCTATTGCACCGGCTATAAATATGCCTTTCCATTTTTATCCGTGGATTGTGGCATTTATGTGGATGATAATTATGTCAAAGATCTGTATAAACATTGTATTAATATACGTCATCCCTCGATGGCATTTATTGGTATACCATATTATGTGTGTGCGGCTCAAATGATGGATTTGCAGGCAAGATTTGTTTTGACCTATTGGACGGGTAGGCAAAATTTACCCAGTCAAAGTGAAATGTTGGAGGATACTAAAAGTAAAATGCAGCAGCGTTTTGCCAAGGGTCTTAGGAAACGTCAGGCCCATATGATGGGCGAGGAACAGGTGGGTTTTAAATTATTTTTTATATTTTAATGTTTCATTTTTAATAATACCGTTATTTTAGGGTTTTTACTATGATGATTTGGCCGAAACGGCTCATATCGAAAATATTAAACCCGTAATGACCGCCTTGCATAACGAAAGCAGTCGAAGATTTTTAGATGATTTACTACATTTTCGTGAAGACATATTTCGAATCGTTGATGATAAAGAATTTGTTAAAATCAACTAATTTTATATTGACTATCTTTTTAAGTCTAAAGCAATAAATAAACAGAAAATCGTATACCTCTAATATACAAATAGCTTTTTGTATAATTTTTCCTGCTAAATAGATTGTAATTGAAATCGTAATACCAGTTGTAAATCTTAAAATAGTGAGAAATTAAAATAAGCTGAAGTTTGATATTATTTTAGTTATTGATATAGAATGTAAATAATATAACGGTATTAATCATTTGAGCATAAATATAAGCCTAAAGATATGCAATAATATTATTCGTACGCACTTTTTCTAACTAATTCAAAAGGATTTTGACTTTAAGTTTTGTGTTTGAAATGAATCAAATATCTAATCAAAAGCAGATATTTGAAATCTTCAAAATCTTTAACACATCTTTGTGTATGTATGTTTGTTAAAATTTCGTTAATATTCTACTGTTTAAGTAAGTTGATGATGATGATGATGTTTAAATTACTGAGAAGCAAGCCATGTGTAAGCTTTGTTTAATATTTTAGATGGATTGCTTGCAGATAAATATTTGGCTAAAATTTATTTCTCACACAGAACAATTATACATATACATAAGCACGAATGATTGCGAATCAATGGTGGTTGCTAGCGAACTGTGAATAAGCAACAATCGCCGACACAGACTAAATAATTTATGACACATCCAGCAAGTTTCTTTTGTGTGTAAGAGAAGCTCAAGAAAAGCTTAAGTCTTCTAGCAGGAGCGTAAAGTACAGATTTAAACAAGATTTTGCTACAAACTAAGGGGCTGAAACAAAATTCGTGGACTTCTTTTTTCTTGAAAAATTATTTTGAACATGACCAATGAAAAAAAAAGGTTTTCAAATGTTGGTCAAAAATGACTTGTTAAAACCTGTCAACTGTTTCTAATAGAGCATCAGTACAAAGCTTAGAAAATAAAGTTCATAGCGTTTGTTAGAAATAAAGTTAAAGTTATGTAAAGTTTTATTTACAATGCCAGACAGGCAAGAGTCCGAAAGCCAACAGCAGCAAGTCAGCAAGCAAGCAACAACTTCATAATTAAAAAGCCAGCTTTTAAAACGTATTTAACATAACCAGTTTTATTGTTTTCTTAGCTTCGTTGCAGCAAAGACGCTTACTTGCTGGCTGACTTTGTTTTAATATTATTATTATTATTGTGTTTATAGTGTAACTATTTTAAAGTAATTTCTTACGGCTTTAAAGAAATATTATACGTTTTTACTTATTTAGTTTAGTTAGTTAGTACTCGTTGAATTGTAAATTTTTATAACACAAAACTTAATAGAATTAAAAAATAAATTTAAAATTAAATAGAAATTTAATTAAAAAAAGTGCAATTTATAATAAAAGTGAGTAATGGAATAAAGTTACAAATTACAAAATAAAAAAAAGAAATAATTAAAAAAAAAAATAAGTAAAATAAAATTAAAAAAACTGTGTATCTGTTGATAAACAAGTTTCTTTCAACATTTTAAAGAAAAAAATATTGTAGCTACTCCAAATAAAATTAAAAAAAAAAATAAAGAAATATGTACTACAAAAAAGTTAAAATAGTTTAAAATCCAAAGATTTGAAAAAAAAAAAGATTTATGAGTACATAGATACAAATTAAAATATCGTTCAGTTAGTTAAATGTTTATACAACAATAGGTATATAGGTAAAAAAAAACAAATTTATGTATGTACTACTTATATACACAGAAGCCCATAAAACAACTACAAACATTAAACCATATATACATACATATGTACATAGTTAAATATTTTTTAGCAATAACATTCAGTTTCAACGTCCCGCCGCCTTTCAGTTCGTTCGTTCACATACATACTTATACAATATAAGTGCAGTGCAATTTGTTGTTTATGTTGTAACTTGTTTCGAGCAGTGATTGTTGTTGTTACTACTTTTCGAATGTTAACACCGCTTGCTTGGGTTTTGATCCCACGTTTACGTTACTCAAAATAAAAATACTCTGCTGCCATAGATACTCACTCTTAAACACACAAACCAAAAAAAAATAAAGAAAAAAACGTACATTTTACACACATTATTAAAGTTATATCGCTTACTTAACGTAAAAACGTTATTTGTTAAAATTTAAAATTTAGTTTTAAAACATTTCAAACAATGTTTGCTAAAATTTTATTTTAAATTTTTTCCTTAAACAATAAAATTTACAAAAAAATATTATAAAGAGAATAATGAAATGACATTGAAAATGTTGTTTTCTTAAAAATTATGAGTTATGACGTTTTTACACTAAATAAGCGTTATGTGTGTTGAGTTATATATACATTAGTGTAGACAACAATAGCAGCAGCAGCAATAGTATTGAAATCAACAACAATAACCAATTATATTAACGGTTTTAGCAGCAACGGTAATATTTATTATATTTCTTTAAACATTAGCAACAAATGCAGAATTTCTTTAGGCGGTTTTTTTTTTCTTTGTATTACAAAAATTTTATTAATTATACAACAATTTGTGTGCTTTTACTTCCATTTACAAACAAAATCACTACGATAAAGCCAATAGGAATAAAAGTGATCGTAAATTTAAATATAAACATATATACATACTTCGTGCGGTAACTATGGTACGTGGACAGTACATACAATGAATGAATTGTTATTATAATTTATTTACTTCATTCTTAAGTAAAAGAATAAAATTTACAGACATTTATACAAACATACAAGCTTATGTAAATTTGTATGTTGTTAGCAAAATTTTATGCATATAGCATAGCTTTTCAACTTATATACCAAGATGTGTATGTACATATGTATGTCTATATATGTTTATATAAGAATTATATGCTTGTGCTTTAATTGTGCTTCTAGCATTATTTATTAGTTTGTCTGTTTGTACTTGGTTATAATGTCCGTTACCTTTAACTATTCATATTGTTAAAGTTATTCATACTTATGAGTATGTCTGTATATTAGTTTCTTTGTCTATACATATGAATGTACATACGTATGCATATAGTTGTTGTTTTTGTTATTATTTCTTCTGTTGTTAGTTGACGTTAATATTCAATTAAGTTTAAAATATAAAAAAATAATGAAACGAAGAAAAAAAAAGAGATCTAAGAAAAAAATGTTTGAAAGTATATAACCTTGAGTTAAATTGAACTTAAAGAAACAAATAACAAAAAAATAAAAACAACAGTAAGTAATTCTGGTGGTATAAGGAAAAAATCCAAATATTACCTAACTAGATTCAGCTTAATGTGAATACTTGATAAGTACAATCTGTTAGATTACAATAAAAAAGTAATAAACAGTGGCGTTAAATTAAATAGGTCGTTTTGTGTGAAAAATTCCAAACAATCAAACAATTGTTTAAACATTTTTCAAATTAACTAGAGAAAATCATTAAAAAATTTTAATATTTACTTTTCAACCTAGAAAATTAGTAAAAACTTTTATAATTATAAATATTACCTTAAAACCGGGTAATTTTTTCATAAGGTGGGGAACACACCTATAAAAAAATATGATCAGATAAACAAAAAATATTGTATGTATATTGAAATTTGAAGTACGGGAAATGATTTACTATAAAAAACCTACTAATCTAATCAATACTGGAACAAACATAATGTCTTTTACATTAGATTCCATTAAACCTATAGAAGAGCTCTTGGCCTAACACTGTTCTAATCTAAGGCACAAGAAATTCAACATAAAACTTCAGCCAGAATATGGAATCCCGCAAATTAAGCCAATGGAGAAGGAACTTTAAGCAAAGCTACTCTACTGAAGCTCATACAGCTTAACTGATATTTTAAAAGAAAATTTCTTAAACCGACCTATTCGACACTTTAATGTCAATAAACTTGATTATCTTAACCTTATTTTTTTAATAATTCTAAATTAAGAATGCTTTGTTGTAAATTCATGGATTTCTTGCATTAAAAACACAAGAACTCCTTTTACACATTTACATTCAAATCGTTTCTTTTGATTCAGTTTTGTAATAAACAAAAGTATTTATTATTAGCTTTTTATTATTTAAATTTACGTTCAAAAGCCTCGCAAACAGTGCAATATGTGCATTTTCAATTTTACATTGAATTTGTCAGAAATTGAATGGGTTTTTACTTCCACAACACTGATACATTTGATCGCCTTTTTGAACTGATCCTTTATAACGAAAAGGTTCTCTTCTAAATAATACAGATAGCAATTTGTACAAATGTGCAAGTTAGCACACGCGTTTCATGAACACCCTTATTAATTTTTAAGTTGTAATAGTCTTCCTATTTAACGAACGATATCTACATACATATGTATCACCTCATCAATCAAAATCTTTTCAAAAATAAATGAACTCGTTTGGCATTGATCAACTTTAAATCTGTAAATATTGTTATAATTCTTTAATTTGTTAATTGATTTTTTATTTCTGTTTTTATTTTTTAGCCAATTATACGTTTATTTGTTTGTATTTGTTTTGTGTTACTAATGTATTAATTTAAACAAACATAACCAGCAGCAGCATCATCAATAAATTATATTAGCTAATCTTCACACGGCCTTTTTTTAACAAAAAACAAAATGAATATTTGGACCATAATCTTGTTTTTATTCATAAATGGTAAGCAAAATGAAAACGAAAGTTTAAACCTGCATAATTAAATAAACAGCAGAAAATCTATTGTTGTGATCAAAGTTATTTGCCAATTTTGAAATATACAAATTTTATAAACATAAATTTTGTAAATGTTCAAAAAGTTATGCCGAAAAGCTAATACTTGGGAAAAGATTTATGCAGCGTTATGCAAAGAATCCGTTAACAAAACCAATTAATTAGTTATATTTAGAAATATTATAACTAAAATTTTAAACAAAATTGAGATAAACTGTTCAATAACTAGCGTAATTTTGAATATAATATGATAGTTTTAAAGCAACTATTACTTTTTACTAACAATTTTTTTATGGCTGTAATAGTCGTTCATTACTCCAGGAAGGTAAAACAACTAATAAACTTTTTTAATAAACAATAAACTTAATTATTCACCTATTTTAACAAATCAATGTGTTATAATGTTTGTCAGTAAATAAATTAAAAGTTAACAAAAAGTGTGTTTAAAAAACGTGTATTTTAAATGTGGCGCAAGACAACAAACTAATTCATTTAAAATTCACAAGATTCATTCATAATCTATACACAAAATTGTAGGAGTTATTGATAACAAAAAATAATATTATTATGTCTAGTTATGCGTAATCGAAAATTTCAAACAGATTTCCTAACAAAACCGTTTATTACTCATTAAAAAAGTTAACTAATGAATGAAAATTTCAAAAAAGTAAACAGTTAAATTAAAAAATTTGTTTACACACTTGATAAGAAGGATATTTCCTTAACTTTGAAAACCTGTTACATTGACACAAAATAAATATTAGGTGTTATTGTAAAACTAGTTCAATACATTAACTAACATGTTTTAGCTTTAGTTTATTTATATCATAAATAACCTAAATAACTCTAGTAACCAGAAAATTTTTAAATTTTGTTCACACTTTATAAGAAGGATATTTCCTTAACGTAGGAAAACCTGTTAATTTGGCACAAAATATTACATTAACTAACATGTTTTTTTTTTTTTGATTTACTTTAATATTATCATACACAATCCTAAATAGCGCAAGTTGGTTTATCGAACGATGATGGCCCTCTCTTAACGCAGACCATTTATGGATTTTTGGATTTTACCACTACTATTGGTAATACAGTAATGGTTTTTTCACCACAAAGTGCTCCATCATTAGGTAATTATACAAAATATAAAAAAAAAATAACTTCATACCGTAAACAATTTGTTTTCATTTTATTACATAGTCATAACACCGGAAATAATAGCACCTGTTATAAAAACAAAACCTGAAAATGTGGCCCCCATTACACCGAATGATGCTATAAATCCTACTAAACTAAAAACGGTTAATACAAAATCGAAAACCCAAGTTACTTCGAAAGGCAACGAAAATAAATTAAAACCGCCTAATGCTTCTACATCTGTTGCTGCTCCGGTTTCTACGCCTCAAGATGTCGTCATACCAAATGAAATTGTCCAGACTTCCCTTACTATTGATAATGACGTACAGGATCCTGAATATGATTTACTTTCCCGACAACCGCCACAATTTATAGAGGAAACTTATCGTGTTGTAAATTTAAAATCCAATAGTAAAAATTCCAGAACCCCAGTTGTTGTTACACCTGAGAAAAACACTGCCAGCAGTATTGTTACCAGTTCAAAAGCACCCTCGAGATCGCATAAGAACAAAAAGAATAAGGTAAGAGCTTCCAGCACTCTGCAAGTATTGAAAACTGCCGCTCCTGTTACACCACAAAAAAGCAGCAGTAATAATAAAGTCACACTACGCAATACATCGTCTTCGTCCACCTCCACCTCATCATCCCGTAAGAGCAGTAAAAAAGGATCAAGTCATAGAGGAACTACTTCTACCACTCCTCAACCGGAAGAGGTAGTTATAGTGAAATCTACTACCACTAGAAACAAACCTAAAAGGTATATATCTCCTAGTTAAAAACACTAATAATTTAACTAACTCCTTTAACTGTTACAGAAAAAATAAGCATAAGAATTCAACCACCTCCAAACCCAGATACTCTACAACAACAAGTGCTACCACTACCACAGAACAAACCCTGCGTAGAGCATTCCGACCTAAATTGCAGGTAACTAACTCGGACTTAGATAGTAATAACTTGCATATAACAAAACTTAACCGTACTCCCGGTCGTTGGCAATATAAAACTTCACCCAAACCCCGAGTAAATATACGAAAACCAGCTGTTGAGGCCAATGGAGCGGGTGGTTTAAGCAATGTTACTTCTGCCGGCAACAGCAATTCGAATGTCTTTGCCGAATCAGCTTTAAGTGATAATTTAAATGGAAATTTCTTAAACCAGAATGTTATCTACAATCAAACCGATTTAGAAATATCCGGCTCACAAAATGGACCCATCTTGAACAATATCGATCAAGAGGGTAAACAAAAGGTTTTCACCGAAACCATAAATGTTGAAATATCAACACCAGCTGACTTTAAAGACACCTACTATGAAATTGCAACTATTAAGAAACCATTTATATTCCAGGTAAGTCAATGAGTTTAATGGCAAGCAAATAGTTTTTATAAACGATTTATTTATAACTTTATAGGCTGGTGTTTTGAAAAAGACCCGTTTTATTACGGTCACCTCGACCATTGAAAAATATCTAACGCCAGAACCCTCTATAGAGCCACGAAATGATGACGAACCTTTGACAGAGAATATTTTAGCCGCTTCGACCAAGGCGGAAGGAGTGCTAGTAGGCAGTATAACAACTTTGCCACCTATTTATGTTAATGGTGAAACCGATACGCCGATTTTAGAAACTATAACCGAATCTTTTAGTATTGTAAACAAGAAATTGAAAACTCAAATTCTGCCCGTTATCAATGAAAACGATAATGAGACTACTTATCATACTTTGGTGCAGACGATCGATTTGACCAGCCTGATAACGGTTACAAAGACCACATCGCCCCATTTGGAAACTAAGGAATTCAATGGCTTTAAAGATTTTGTAGGCAACTTAGATGAAGCAGGTTCTGAAATCAATTTAGACTTGGAATTTGGTGATGAAGGCAACCAGGAGAATGGCAGTGGTGAATCGCATAAAAACGACTTTGAAGGTGCAAGATTCAATAAGACAACCCAACAAATACAACCAACATTTACTACAGGAGTGCTAAATCTGCCATCACAAAATGTAATTACAAATTCACGTCCAGTGATTAAATTAGAGACCCTATGGGAGTCATATGTGGTGCCAATTACCAATGGTCAATCGACCACATTTAGAACCTTATCTAAGGCAAAGGGTGTTGTAGAGAAAACTGATTATGTTATAGAGACCACAACACTTTCGGTGCCACCTCCCATTCTACCACCATCTACAATAAATCCCTTCTTATTGCCTCTGCCTCAGCAATTCCAAACGATTACTTCACCCATTGTCCAACAAACGATAGTTACACAAACTGAGAGCAAAGTATTAAAATTAACTTTCGGTGCGAAAACCGCTTACACCACGCTCTATTCTACGCAAGTTGTACCTACTGTGCAGACCATGTATGTGACCACTTCAGTGCCTGTCCAACCTACGGCCAATCCATTCCAAGGATTTTTCCCTCAACCCTATAATCCTTTTGCATATTTAGGTTAACATCATTCCTTATCAAATTATTATACATGCTCATAAGATTCTCTAACGTAATATATCCAAATTTTAGCATTTGACATCAAGTAAAATTTAAAATTTTCAATTTGAAATAGTGCATTATTTTCGATTTTCATCATTGTATCTAATCTTAAGGAAACCTTATGTGTATGTACTACATTTATTATCCCTCTTCCCCTTTCATTAAACATCAATTCGTTCATTATTTAATTATTACTTTTTCGTTTATTCTCTCCCAAACAATTCATTCTATGTAATCTGTAAGTTATTTGCCCATTGTTGCATTAAAAATACTCAATATTCACAAACAAAATACTCATTTACTAAATTCATAAATGTAAATTTTAATTTATTTCAAAATAAAATGTAAAAAATCGGCATCCATAGTTTTAATAATACTTTTAAAAAATAAAAGCGAAAAACAGTACTCGTATGTAATAATTATCTACACAAACCAATCGTGATCACATCGTACAAATTCCAGTAAGCAATTTGAACGATTTTACTTTGCCGCCCACATATTTGTACATATGTATGTATTTATTAGAATATAAATGAATTTTTTAGTTGTACATAATACAATCTTCATTCATACGTTTGTTTATTTGTTTTTATATACAAAATATTGTTGGATTTCAAGTACCTTTCCGTTAATGTTAAATTTTAATTATCTGATTATTTTTTAATTTTGTTTTAATAAATAAAGAGATGGTGAAATCACAAAACTAAATTAATTAATAAATACATAAACTTGTTACCTTTTTTTCTTCATTACTTTGGTATGTATTTCAAAAATTTCAACTCATGACTTAACCACACAGCAAATGACAGCAAAAGCAGTGAACCAGATTGATGGGCTGCAGCCAAAGGTACTGGAACGTGATGAAGAAGGGTAGTAATGCCCAGAGTAACCTGTAACCAGCCTACCAAAGCAGCAGCATTTATAGCCCAATAAGCACGGCGTGGTAGCTTAGTTTTCTTTGATAACAACCACATGGCCGTTACTAAAGTCAAAGTGGAAATGCCCAATAGACGATGATTGAATTGGACAGTTGTGGGATTCTCGGTTATATTTTTGTTTACAGGTTCTAAAGCTAAAATGTCATCTGGTATCCATTTATCGCCCATTTTTGGAAAAGAGTTGTACACTAAACCGGCATCCAAACCGGCTACAAATGCACCCGAAAAAGCAGTTAAAAATATAAGGCCCTTGGCGGCGTAGGCAAGTCTCTTGAAACGTAAAGCTTTACTTGAAATAGTACTGAAAGACTCGGCTGGCAAGAGTCTTTTTAAACCCTGTGAAAGGAATAGAGTATAAAGAACAAATGCAGCTCCCAAATGCATAGCCAAACGATGTTGTGAGACACGGGGTACATCGTTAACATCATCAAAACGATTTTCAAGACCCGACTTTACCATATACCAGCCCATTAAACCTTGACAACCTATTAAAGTGCCCATTAACAGTACAAATTTCTTAGCGCCACTATTAAAATAGTTCTTTTTCCAGAAATAAGCAGCGGGCAGCAAAAATACCGCTCCTATAGCACGACCCCACATGCGGTGTATGTATTCCATCCAGAAAATTGTCTTAAATTCTTCCAAAGTCATATTCGCATTTTTCCTGTGGACGATTTGCTTTGTTTTAAAACTTTACTGCAGTACTTCTCTACTTACATTTTAAATTCTGGATATTCTTGATACTTGGCGAATTCCTCTTTCCAGTCGGACTCGCTGCGTGGTACTTTCTCACCCAACAATTTCCAACTAACCATGGAAAGACCCGATTCTGTTAGTCTTGTAACACCTCCAAGTACCACCGCTAAATAAACCATACCACCACAAGCGATCAACCACTTGCCCACAATCTTGTCATGTGGTTTAACTTGCTGGCTATGACATATTCTAACCGGTGTTTTTCTTATAGCAAAAGACTCTAATAATGGCTAAAAATTAAAAGCAATTTGTGTTTTTTGTTGTTGTTTGTTTTATAAGAGCAAAAAATTCGTCCATTACCTTGGATATTGTTGGTTGACTTCTGAAATTGCGAATACTTTGACTTAAAATATATTTGTTACAGTGTTTATAAGAAAGATTTATTGTTGTATGTGCAAATTTCACTAGACGGTTCATTGTTTTATGTTGTTTTTTCTAATAATTGTCTATTACTTAACTAAATTTATAACAAAACACATGCACTCGGCAAAATTGTATTGTATTTTCTTTACACTACTTGATATTTTATTGCATCACTCTGTTGTTGACAATCGTAGTGGAACAGGGTGTTCAATATAGATTTAATTTTATTATAAATGTTTCGTTAAATCTTGACAATGGTAAACATGCAAATGTACTATTTTATTTACACATTATTATTATTTCCTCTTCCTGTTATTTTTGAATTAATTATCTAAAAAAAGCGCATGTTTTCTTGGTTAACAAATTCGTTTTTAGATTAATTATAACCTAAAACAACATTTAAATTGAGAATATGATATTTTAAAGTCATTTAAAAATCACAATTAATAATAAACACAAATAACGTAATTATTTTTTAAAAATTTGTATTCAATTTTTTATTTTTTCTAAATATAATAAGTACTTTGTATAAGAAAATTATAATTAACATAAAGTATAGTTTCGTAATATTACAATACACCAGATTCGATTAATGTACTCGAGAGCTGCTTGATCCAAATTCCGCATTAACATTTTTTGAAACATGTCCTTCCTTAGAGGGCATTTTTATCCTTTATATCAGTTGATTGAGAGTGCTGAAACTGGCAGAGGTTTTGTCGATTTCATCGAAATTCTTCTTGATCTTGGACGATTCATTCGATAATTGAAGTTCAGGAGAAACTGTGAAATAGACATTACTATTATCATTATCGAAAATATGACTACATAAATGATTGTTATTTTTTTGATTTTGATTCGCACATTGAGCAACTAATTTCGATAGCAAGAGTTTTCTGTAATTGAGAAAATTAAAATAATTAATTGTAAATGTACCTTTTTTAAATTTAGTTTATTTTTAATTTATAAAGATATGATCACGGTTTATAATACTTCTTTTTGTTTAAATTACCTTAACATTATTGAATCCGCATTTAAATTATTAATGTAAGCTAATTGATAAGTTGAAAAATAGAAATAATACAATTACCAGTATAAGTTTTAGTTTCAGGTTAATAATTATTGTCCTTAGTTAAATTACATTAATACATTGTATATGTCTGACATGCCTTTTAAAACATATACTAAATACTTAAAATTAAATAATATTAATTATTATATACAAGAACACATGCAATTTTTAAAGATTTAATTGTTATGTTAGTATTAGTAGTCATGCATCATGCTGGCGTCCAATATTAGTTTAGATTAAATGGCCTCCGCCAATACTATCTAAGCTTTTCTTATCGACAAATCTTTTTGGATATGCAAATGGTAATTCATAGATATTCAAACCTCGTAAAGCATTTAAATTAGGCCTTTGGCGATCTTCACTGTGATAGGGTCCAAGCACATAGATGGGATAACGATCATGAATGGAGGCAAGATTTTGTAAAGAGCCACCCCTCACTGAACCAAAATCTTCTTCAGAAGCTGTGTACAAATATTTGAGGAGAATAAATTGAATATATAGTTTTAGAACTATATATTTGAGATTTTTAAATACTTACATAAAGGCGTTAAGGATACCTAAAAAACATGGTGTACAGTTAATAACTTGATCGATTAATGTTTGAAATGTAAATGAATATATTACCTTTTGTGGCATGCCCATAACAGCGGCAATGTATATGAATACTGACACTAGATACAATACTTTCATTTTGTTTAAAGAATATTATTATTTTATTTAACAGTAAGAATTGTTAAGTGAGCTAGCTGGTTTGTTACTCTTGTACGTTTCACGATTCACTGTGTGGCAATCTTTAGAAATTTCTTCCTTTTATATAATTCCCGTTACTAGAAGCTCAGTTCTTTCGGTGATACACATTCATACATTCTTCATAATAATATTTGTGGTAGTTTTCAGTATAAATAATTTAAAACATTAGTCCATATGTAGTATACCCATTATCACATCCTCAAACATAGTGGTTGGCAGAAGTATGTAAGCTAGTTCAATTGCTAGTACTAGCATTCATATTATTTCCTCCCACTCATCATGGGTATTCTAGTAGAATGCGGTTTACTTTAGTATTAAATGATATTTTAGTAACTAAATGTTATTGTTTTAAGGATTTGTTTCAGAGTGTTTTTGCACTAAGCCATATGATCAAATAAACAACATCAGCCGACATTATATTTGGCGTAAAAAAATAATATTTAAACAAATATTTGTTTGTGGTTTTTTCATTAAATGTTCTTTACTCATAATAAATGTAATGTGGTGCGGTAAAATCAACTTAACCATAAATTTACAGATGTTATGATGGAGATGTTGTTGACAATGGTTGGTCGGACGACAACACTTAACATTAGATAACATTGCTTCCATACAACAATACAATGAACGTATGTATGTATGTATGTGTGTATGTTCGCAAAGGGCAAATCAAAACTGCCCACAAGCAAACAGTCACAGTCGTCAGTCAAGTCAATTCATTAATTCAGTTATCAACCAAAACTAATTATTTAATTTCATTACACTTTCTTGTTGCTTGCATTACTTTTATCATTTATACATAATGTGTGTATGGATGTGTATTTGTAATTTATTATATTTAAGTCAAATGATGTATAATAATCATAAAAACATATTCATAATATTTGAACTTCTTCTAGAAGTGTTTAAAATTATTCAATGTAAATTTAATCTCGATATCGAAACAGAGAATATTTTTAAAACGATCTGTTTGTTATTGACAAACATAATAATATTAATGAGTTTTATTTGTGTGAACTAATTGCATCAGAAATGTTAACAAACTGATTATCCAAAAAAATTTTCTATATATCCAAAAATCAGTTGAGAGAAAACAAATAAGAGTGCTATATTCGGCTGTGCCGAATCTTATATACCCTTCACCATATGTAGTGTATTTAAAAAATATCAATTTTATAAAATTTTAATTTATTTAATTTTTCCGACTATATAATTATTATAGCAATAGCAAAACATAATGAACAACAACAACGCTAAACGAAATAAACACACAAAAAACAAAATTCACAAGGCAGGCAAACCAACAGACATCCAAACATACGAAACTGAATGCACCAAGAAACAAAAACAACATACACAAGGCAATGAAACACAGCCATCCAAACATACGAAACGTGAACTCAAAAAAACAAAAACAAAATACACAACGCAATGAATAAACAGTGTTGTTGTTGCTTATTTTTATGAAATTTTCAGAGGTGTCTCGGATTTTTGCTTATATCTCCGTTGTTTATGGACGGATTTTGCTGATTTTAAATAGGAAACTTCTCGAAAGCATGTCTGATAGAATTATTGAAGATTTGGATCCCGAAGATATCTGGGGTGTTCAGAAAACTGATTTCAACAGACAGACAGACGGATATGGCTTAATCGACTCAGCTATCTATAAGGATTCAGAATATATATACTTTATAGGGTCGGAAAATTATATTTTGGAAATTACAAACGGAATGACAAACTTACATATACATATGTATATACGCTTCTCACGAAGGGGAAGGGTATAATTAACCCATTTACAGCCAATCAAAAAGTACAAGTTAAATTTTTGAAACTTCAAGGTATATTTATTTTCAACAATGCAAAAAAGTAGAAAAGTAAAAAAAATGCTAAAAAATATTAATAATTAGGACATTAGAGGGAATTTCCGTTTTTATGTAGCTCGCGTTTTTTAACGGCTTAGAGCCGTCACAGAAACTAGAAACAGAGTGAAATGGCAGACACGGACATTACTATGTTATCAGATTATTTTTAGACCGTTTGTTTCAAATTAATAACTGGCATACTTTGTCTAAAAAATTATAACAAATTTATTTTATAACATGTTTTTAGTATATTTTTGGCCACTGAAGTTTAATAGATTATTACAACAATAACAATGAATTTAGTTAAATTGTTTGATTTTATATTTATTCTGAGCACTTTCCTCTACTCAATAATGCAAAAATAAATAAACCAGAGTTAACCTTTTTTTAATACAGCCTTAAAAATTAAGTGTTCCCAAATTGGCACAGCGACCGTAAATGGGTTAAAAACAAACACAAACTAAAACTTCGGAAAACGTTCTAGTTCAGTTCTAGTTCAGTTCTAGTTCACTTCTAGTTCAGTTCTAGTTCACTTCTAGTTCACTTCTAGTTCACATCTAGTTCACTTCTAGTTCAGTTCTAGTTCAGTTCTAGTTCAGCTCTAGTTTTTAAGATTGAATAATTGTTCAAAGATAATAAGAGTTCGTTGGTCACAGTTTGTGATACGGTTTGATGCAAATGGAGGCATTATTGGATCATACTTTGTTCATATTCAAAGAATCAATTTGAAAAAAAAAAAAAAAACAAACTTATTGGTGTCCTTGTCCTTGAACATAATTTCAATTTAAATTTTATTATTTTATTTAATACTTACCAACGGCATACACATATCTAAATCTGAAAAGGAGATAGTTATACCTCAAACAATCCCTGGGCAATATTTTAGATGTATAACATATAACTGCCCAACTACGATGTCATCAAAATCCAAATTAATCAAATATTTTAGTTTTTTTAACAGATTTAAAATGACCTTGTCATTATGTTGTGCTAAATACAAGTACATATTATGTATGTATGAATTTATGTATTTATGTAGTACGTACAATGTACATGTCATGTCAACACCTTATCCTTGAACTCATTTCACGAGTAATATACACACTTTACATACATATGTATGTATGTACATTGTACAATCACTCATTTACATAAATATATACTATATATGTATATTTTACATAATATAGTACATATAAATACATAACTATTAACTAAATATATCAAATGGAGTAACAGATAGAGATATAGATAAATTTAGATAGATTTTTGACTGAAATGTCTAATTCTAAGAATTTCTTTTATTTTCTTAATTTTTTTTAATTGAATTTTGTTTGTACATTGAACATGACAAAATAACAACAACATAAATTGAGGGCCACATTTATTATTTTCCATCTCAAATTAGTAGAATAGTATTTTTTCTTTTGTTTTTTAGTATTAGGTAGTGTAGATATTATTACGAATAGTAATCTAAAACTTCTTTTTATAATTTTCTTTGTTTTTAATTTTAATTCAATTGAACACTTAAAAGCTAATCGTCTGTCATTTTTTACCACCGGGAACGGAGGTTTTTAGCACACGATGGCCTGGTGCTGTTGGTGACAAACTTAAAGGTGAAGGTATGTCCTGGCGTTTATCCTGAATGGAAAGTGGTAGAAATTGTTGCTGACGTTTCTTGCTCAGCTTATTGTTTTCGTAACCGTTTTCGTGTTTTCCATATAAAATTGCCAGATGAACAACACAAAACAGACCAAGGCTCTAGAAATGTAAAAAGGAATATTATAGTTTATGTCTGGAAGTTTAAGTTTTATTTGTAGTTTTTTTTTACCTGTAAAATGGCAATGATGGCAGCTCCGAATGCTGTTATTAACAGTGAGTATTTTATTTGTTCTGAGACTACAGCCAAACAACCCCTTTTGTAGTGCGTATCACAAGCTGATTCGTATGCGTGTTCTGGCCTGGAACAGCAAGACCATGGCAAGGACAAACGGCGATAATCCAATGGTCCATCTACACCACAGCATTGCAACTATTATGGGATAGAATTACAAATATAATAAAATATTTATGTAAGTGTAATGGTTATTTTATGCAAGAAATTGTCTGCCTATACATTTGTACACATGTTCGTATATTTTGATGAAAACTAGCTTAATTATTCCTATAAATTATTAACAAACAGTGATCAACATCCTTAGCCACCAAAGATCGAAAGTAATTTGCTAATTATATGTAAACAACTCGAATGTCAACGTCAATTCATAAAATATTCATAAAGTATGTATAAATATCTTATATGAAGATGTGTATGAGTTATGTATATTTAATGCAGATTACTCATACGTATTTTTCTAAATAGTGCAATTTTAATAGAAAATTAACTTTACTTTTAGATTAAAACCTTGAAAATTGCATTCATTTTGGATTTTATCAAATGCTCAACAATTTTCTTCATTGGATTATATACTAAACATTTTTAAAATCCTTGTATACTTCTAAAACTATCTCGAAAAAATAGTAAAATTAGTTTTAATTTTAAATAAAAAAAAATATATTACAAATATAAATTCCGGTCTAGTTAAGATCTAGTTCAGTTCTAGTTCAGTTCTAGTTCAGTTCTAGTTCAGTTCTAGTTCAGTTCTAGTTCAGTTCTAGTTCAGTTCTAGTTCAGTTCTAGTTCAGTTCTAGTTCAGTTCTAGTTCAGTTCTAGTTCAGTTCTAGTTCAGTTCTAGTTCAGTTCTAGTTCAGTTCTAGTTCAGTTCTAGTTCAGTTCTAGTTCAGTTCTAGTTCAGTTCTAGTTCAGTTCTAGTTCAGTTCTAGTTCAGTTCTAGTTCAGTTCTAGTTCAGTCAGTTCTAGTTCAGTTCTAGTTCAGTTCTAGTTCAGTTCTAGTTTCAGTTCTAGTTCAGTTCTAGTTCAGTTCTAGTTTCAGTCTAGTTCAGTCTAGTTCAGTTTCTAGTTCTAGTTTCAGTTCTAGTTCAGTTCTAGTTCAGTTCTAGTTCAGTTTCTAGTTCAGTTCTAGTTCAGTTTCTAGTTCAGTTCTAGTTCTAGCTTCTAGTTCAGTTCTAGTTTCTAGTTCAGTTCTAGTTCAGTTCTGTTACTGAACTTGTTGTTTTTGTTACTTTTGCGTTTTAAAAATAGTCAGCTTGACTTGGAGGGTTAAAAGTTATGTTGACCAAGGACACTTAAGAGACTATTGACTTCCTTTTGACTAAACCCAAAAATACAGTATAAAAGGGTTGCATTGACACCTTGTACAACTTACTGGGTTTTTTGTTGTTAATGTATGTATATTTATGTATTAGAGTGCGTGATTTTTTTATGTGTGTATTAGATACAAACTAAAAACCTACATACATATGAAAGTATGTATGTATATGAATAGCCTATATTTATATTATACTTTTTCAAGGTTACCTGTGATTGCATTCTATTCCACAAATGTTGGTTATCAACCTTGGTCCTGGAGAATTTATCCAAGAACTCGACGAAAGAGTCATCTATATAAATCTCTACAGATGATGGCAAATGTTCTCGCATGGCTAATGACCAGCCGCACAATAAGAACTGTATTAAGATGTTAATCACCAGGAAAGTAGCAAACTTTTGTTTGTTTGTTAAAGAAATAAAAAGAAGATTGTATATGTAAATAAATACTTATTATTGTAAATGTTTAAATTTATTATTAAAATAAAAAACAGGTTACTTACCATACCCAAAAGACAACGTTTCTTTTGGTTGGTAGCCTGACATCCTATCCAGCACAAAATAAATGTGCCAGGACCTAAGCACAATAGTAAAGCTGCTGGTGCCCATAACCTATTTTGCACTACTCCATAGTGTCCCGAATGGCCCCACAATAGAGATGTTCCCAAGAATATTTGAGTACATCCCGTTACCTATACACATACATTTGTTATTGTAATAAGTATTGAAAAATAATTTTTACAGATACATAAAATTATTGTTATACTAGATATGCATACAAATATTTCCTTTTAAGATTGTTATTTTTTTTTAATTATGGTTTTTTAATCATTATTTGTTTTTATTGATGTTTCCATAGAGTTTGCTTTGTTTGCCATAGAAAATGGCATTTAAGGTCATTTGCCTATATTTTGCAAAAGATGTGTATCCAAAACATGCTCTTCTGAAATCCATACCCTACATACACTTAAACACACATACATACATATCTATTATTGTTTATTTACACATACAGCATTAGTATGTGTGTGTGTATTTGAATGAATGTGTACTATATATGTATGTATGTATATACAAATATGTAGTATGTTGGTTGGTGTGTTGCGCAATCATGTTTTCAATTCAATATTTATTTATTTTAATTTACTCACAAATACCAATTTCGAAAAGATGCAATGGTTTTTTAAGTTTGTTAAAAACTTTAGAATATTTATGGACTTACCGCTAATAGGATAATATAACAGTAAACCATATATTTGAAGCATTTTATACGTTTAGTTAATGCCATTTCATTGGTTTTTTTAATACCAATATGTATGTTGGTCTACTTTGATTTTTTTTTTTTTTTTTTTTTGTTGTTAAATTACTCCCCGACCCTTTTGGATGGGTTGTTGTTTGGTGGTTATTCTGCTGTTATTTTTAATTAAATATTTTATCTTTCGTTTATGTTTTTTTACTAATTTCACTTTTATTTCATTTTTCTTTATGTTCGAGATTTCGTTATCCTTCTTGTTCACATAATGCATTCATTTGACTGACTAATAATGTTTACTACAAGTTTGGAAACACTTTACAATAATGCTGGAGAAAGATTATACTTTTTTGTATTTTTGGGGAAATTTTTTGTTGCAGTAGATTTTGAAAATTAAATTATAAAAACAATTCAATTGAACCAAGTAATAAAAATTATAAGAAATCAGTTGTGGTAATCAGTAACCAGACTTTTTCTTACATGGCATTGTTATACTGTTTTCAATTTGAACAGTGAACGCATTATCTATAACCATATTTACGCAAATGAGAAACACTTCTACATGGTTGTTTTTGTCACCGAGATTTGTGTATTTGGGATATTATCCCATCAAGGGATCATAAATGACGGTTACTTTTTATTATTTTCAAATATTAAAAAATATGAAAATTAGTTTCATATTTAATATACAAAAAAACTTATTTCTCTTTGGCTTTTTGTTGTCATATATGTACATGATAATTATCTACAATTCTTTAAAAGTGTACATTAAATTTGTTTATTATAAATTATTTAAAAAATAATTATAAAAAATCTATTACAAATTTATAAAATATAATAAAAAATTTTCATATTTCTTATTCTTGTACATTTTAATTTTTATGTATGTACATAATATTATACAAAATGTAAACTTAAATATTTAATTTTAATAATTTTTTAATTTCATTAATAATTTATTTATAACATTCATTTATTTTCATTTAACCCACAATCTATTACAATCGCTTTGTGTAAACCCAGTAAATTTGACAGACACGTGCTAGGTAACATTTTAGTACAATAATTTTTGGTCGGGTTATATCAACCCTGTCAACTACATCTAACTTCGCTTCGTACATTTCTTTCTTTTTCTTTCTTCCGGCCAAAGAAGACTGTATCAAAATGGTGCGTTTTACTAAAAAAATTGTGAAAAATATTGAAAAAATCTCTAAATTGTAAACAAAATACTATTTTTGAGCTCAATCGTTTGTTGTAATATACAATATTTGGTTGTGATGTGTTTATTTGCATAACAATTGTTTTATCTAAGTTGTTTTAATTGGAATTATTTTATGATTTAAGACCAAGAAACGCCGTAATGGAGGACGTTGCAAGCACAACAGAGGACACGTTAAGGCTGTCCGTTGCACCAACTGTGCCAGATGCGTTCCTAAGGATAAGGCCATCAAGAAGTTTGTAATCCGTAACATTGTTGAAGCTGCTGCTGTCCGTGATATCTCTGAAGCCTCCATTTGGGATTGTAAGTTAATTGGATTTTATCACATTGTTCTATTTTATTAATTGGATAAAATTTTTATCTATTCTAGCTTACATTCTACCCAAATTATACGCCAAGTTGCACTACTGTGTATCTTGCGCTATCCACTCTAAGGTCGTAAGAAACAGATCAAAGGAGGCCCGTCGTATTCGTACTCCTCCAGTCAGAACTTTCCCCAAGGATATGCAACGCAACCAAGCCAGAAAGTAAATGTTCTGTATAAGCATATTAAAAAATAAATGCTAAAAAAGTAAAAGAAAAATTTGTTTGTAATATTGATTTGAAGTGTTGATAGGAAGATGGCTTCTCGACTTATCCCATTTAGTGTTAGCGTTATTTAATAAGCCTTAAACTGCGTTAAATTACAAAATTATGCTTATTAAAATTCGATTCTTCGGATCTTACCAAATGGTTTCAAACTGTAAACAAATTTGTTATCCATAAGGAAAAAAGAAAATTACATTGTAATTATAATATTGTAAATTTAAACATTTGGCAAAGTTACAAAAGTTGTCTATATAAAATTGAAATTTACTTGATTTTTTTCAAAAATTACTTTGTGTAACCATAAAATTGGGGTTTCCCATCAGATCTCAAAGGTTTCGTAAAATATTTTCTTTACCAATGTAATCATTAATAAAATGAATCCTATAAAAATGCACATTTTAACAAATATTGATTATAAAAACCTACTCAACAGCAATACAACTGCCTATTCAATCCTAGGTATTTCATTTTCCTAATGAATTCATGAACTCAATAGTAGTATAATTATAAAATCAAAGATGATTGCTTACAACTCAAGATTTGCAAATTGTATATAATTGTTATTTTTTTAATAAATTGGTTCAAATAAGAATAATCGCATTCTGCTTTTTTAAAAACTAGTTTTTTAACAGTATATCTCGGACTTTATAAATAAAATAAAAATTTATACAAAATCGCTACAAGTTAAGCCTGTAAAATTCTATGAACTTTAAATTGTGGCAACACAAATAATGTAACAACAGAGCAACACAAGGTTTTGAGAAAAACACAAAGTTTTTTATGAAATTCTGTATGTACTGTTTCTCTTTTAAAATAAATATAGAAAGGTACGTCTAATGAAAACGCATGTAATATTAAATTTTAACTTGAAAAAATTATAAAAAACGAAAAAGAAAACAATACAATAACTCTAATCCGGAATCACCTTGTGCATTTAGTATATTTTTAAGGGTGATTCGTATATATGACTACAGGATGTTGCAGAGAAATAACTACTTTAATCTGTAACGATTATGACGGATGTTCAGTGATTATTTTTTCATTGAAAAGCACACATTTCCAGTAGTAATTAGTGTAATAGACACATTTATTTTATAACTTAACCAATATAAATAAATAAATAAATAAAAATTGTTTTAGTTATATCGAAATATATAATTTTTTAATTAATCGACTTTTTTTGACATTAAAAGGATAGAAAACAACTAAACTAAAAAAGCAAAAATATTCACTGTCATCATTATTATAAATTATTTGTTGACACTTTCATCGAGTAACCGAGTACCTGAGTAATGTGTATCTCTATACAATACTAATTTCATTTTACACAATGCGAAAATAGCTAATGTAGCTGCAATTGCTACATAATAATTTTCTTTTCCATAAAATTTTTGTAAAATTCGGGAAAAGTTTTGAGTTTGTGCTAGTTGAAATAAATAAATAAAGTGCGGGCACGATGTCTGTGCATTATAAATTCAAAAGTACTCTCGATTATGACACCATAACGTTTGATGGTCTACATATATCGGTGGCGGATCTAAAGAAAGCCATTCTACAACAGAAGCGTCTCAGTAAAATTACTGATTTTGATTTACAAATTATTAATGCCCAAACTAAGGAAGGTAATGTATATAGATTATGTTTGATGGCGTGGCAGTTGGTTAAAATTTTTTTTGGCATAAAACGTTTTTATTGCAGAATATCAACATGAATCCAGTTTGATACCTAAAAATACCTCATTAATAATATCGCGTGTGCCGGTGGCCAATCAAACAAAAAAGTCATGGGATCCAACGAATAGGCCAGTGCAACCTAGAATACCATCTAAAGTCGAATCAGCTGACTTTGATTTATCGAAAATGGAAGGTAGCGAGGAGGATAAAATACAGGCTATGATGTTACAAAGTACTGCTGAGTATGACCCCAAAAGGTAAGTTACTAATGATCAGGTGAAATTTTACAAACATCTACTTTCACGTGGCCACTATTGTCTATAGCTACCAAAAAATTAGAGGCTACTCGCAAACAGGCGAGGTTCCTTCTACTTATCGTTGCAACAAGTGTAAAAAAGGAGGCCATTGGATTAAAAATTGTCCTTACATTATAAGTAAGGAACATACGGTGGAAAAAAGGACGACAGGAATTCCAAAATCGTTTAGAGACAAAGATGATAGGTAATTTGAGAATAACAAACATAACCATAAACCCCATTATCAATGTTTTCCTTTAAATTTAGGGCATTGATGATCGAAAGTCAGGAACCAGTTGTGGAAGAGGATAAGAAACAGGAAATACCAGAGGACCTGATATGTGGCATTTGCAATGATTTATTTGTGGATGCTGTAATGATACCTTGTTGTGGCAGTTCTTTTTGTGATGATTGTATGTTTTTTAAAAGTTATTTGTCGTATGAGTTTTCATCTAATGTTAAATATTTTCTTATATGCAGGTGTACGAACAGCATTACTCGAATCTGAGGATAATGAGTGTCCCGATTGCAAAGAAAAGGGCAGTTCACCTGGATCATTAATACCGAATAGATTTTTAAGAAATTCCGTTAATGCTTTTAAAAATCGTACCGGTTACAAAGCCAGTAGTCAGGCGAAAAAGGGTAAGAAGTTTATTAAATAATCATATCAAGAATGTAAATGTAACATAAACTTGTTTCTTTCAGAGTTAAATCAGCAATCCAAGGAAGAATTAGAGGTCAAACAACCTGAGAATTTGAATGATAAGGAGCAGGATAAAGAATTACCAACTACGAAAACAGAAGAGCCCGAGCCTGAATTAGAAGAAAAAGTAAATATTGAACCTAAAGGCAGAGAAAATAAAGAGGTCGATACCGAAGCATTGACACAACCAATAGAGGAGCCAACTGCCGATTCAAATATCGAAAGCATTGAAGTTAGGCATAAATCAACTAATGTCAATAGTAGTCCAGCTCATGAAGATTCCGATTTTGAAGACAATATTGTTGTAACAGTTCCATCGGCATCGGATACTCGTACAGAAAAATATCTTAGTCGGCGTCACACTTCACATCCCAAACCTCCGGGTATTGAGCAAAGTTCTCCGAAAAATAAACATCAGGTATTTACTGTCATTTGTTTTATATTATTATAGCTTGATAAGATTGAAATTGTGTTTTTTGGGATGTTTGATTGAGAATATTTAATTTTGCATATGATTTTGTTCTAAATTCAGGCATCTCCCTATCAACAGGAAAGTAATTCACATAGATCCAGTGAGACCTCTAGCCATTCCACTAAGGAATGGGAAAATTCATCTCGAGAAAAAGTTCGTGACCATCACGAAAATGCCAATAACGAACATTACATGTATGAAAAGAGCAGAGCAATGCCGCCGTCTAAATCAATAGATAATGTGCAACCACCCGGAGCTAATCCGGTACCAGTTCCTTTGTATCCTTCTCATCAACCATATGATATGCAACAACAACGACCCATAAGGCCCATGAATATGCATCCAGGATTCCACAATCACATGCATCGACCGCCTCTATATCCACATCCAAATATGCCTCCTCATCATCCACCACATCAAATGCGTTTACCAATGCCGCCCATAAATTCATACGACCCAACTTATAATCAAATTGGCAATGTGGCACCAGGGTAAGTGAGCTTCCTCTTCTTCTTCTTTGTAGATCAGATTGATTTCCTTTTAAACTTTTCCGAGCGATACGGAAAACGTCATTCATTTTGTCATAATGAAGAATATTCTACATCCATATGTACTATGTATGTACATCAATATGGAGTGTCTCAGAATTTATATGAGTCTAAATATGCAGTTCTAAACTATGACTATATTTAGTTCTTCTCTTTCTCTGTGTAAAGTCTAAAATCAAAGAAAATATTTGAACATTTTGAACAAACTTATTATGTAAAAGAAACATACAGTGTTCCATCAATATCTAGTCAGTATATACATTTATTGTTTGATATATATACAAATATCGTATATAAAATGGTCTATTAAAGTCCGTTTACATCTACCACGAAATAGTCAATCAATTAAAATATGTATGTCTTCTTGATATATTTTTTACATAATAATTAATGCCTTCTCTTGTAGTTCCAACAATACTTTTTTTCGATTTAATAAAATATATTCATATATTATTTATGTTGTTTTAACTATGGCCGTCTCTGTGTTTAAATCGGTTTGCTTTTAATAAACTTAACCGTTATACTCCCGTAGAATTAGGTTTGGTTTATTAACTTAATTCTCGTACCATGAGAAAATGCATAAAAAACATGAAAACCTGATTGGAATTGGATGGAATACTGTATCCTGCCTACTGATAAAAACGTAGATTAGACAGACATAAATATTTGTGTGTAAGAAAGAAATGAAATTGAAAAACAAAAAAACTAAAAGAAATAGTGATTCTGTGGAAACCAATATTAACTTTTAAGCAAATCTAATATAAATATGTATATTATTAAATGTATATATGTATATCTGCATACATAAACACATGTATATGGTAGTATATATATATGTATGTATGCATACGTTTAAAATAATGTGTAAGTCAAGATACTACGAAGAATACATGATGATTACAAAAGACTAAGAGTTATTTAAGTTTTGCTAATAAAATATAATTTTTTTAACATTGTTTTTATATGGATTAACCAACCAACAATCAATGAAACATTAATTACAATACAAAGTAAAAACAAAAAGAAAAATATTGTATAATAAAAAATCTCTAATTGAATTATAATAATTACTACTATTTGTTATTGATCAATCGAATAGAAAACTTAATTTATTGTATATAATTGATGCATATTGAATGTGTGTATACTATACACAGTTGTAGTAGTTTAGCAGAGAGCTGATATTAACTGGAATTTAACTGGGCACGTCTTTGTGGACTTCATTTGAGATATTTTGGGTAAATTTATGGACTTTTCCGGTAAGTTCGTGCTGATTCAGTCCAATACGTGAACAATTATTGACACTGTAAGTTGTTTGATCTGACGATGGTGGTTTAGCTTGGAACCTGGTTAAACTGTGAACGTGTTTTAAATTTGTTTCAAAAATACACATTTCTTTTTAACACCAAGCATGTTCTTTTTCTTTGTTTCATTCACAGATATCAACGTTTTCCCTCTGCGATGCCGAATCGCTTTAATTATCCCATTAGAGAGGCTGAAGCTCCTAATCAAATGCGTCCCTTTAATAATATTGCGTCTGTTTATGAGGAAGTGGCCGCTAAAGTTGGAGTGGGGTAAGAACGGTTTTACCAAGTTACTTTCATTAGTAGAAACTATATTTTGAAATGCCTATTATAATTCTTTAGGATAATTGACGATCCATTGGAAGCATTTAACCGCATTATGAAGGAAAAGGAAAAAAAGAAAGATGAACGCCGTTCTCCCGACCGTCGGCGTAGATCAAAGGAACGACATGTAAGGGGCAACTTTCGTACATCCCCCTACAACAATCGCACAAAAGATCATGGCTATCACGATAAAAGGGGCCGTTCGCGCGATCGAGATAATGACCGACGGTGGCCACGATACGGAAAACCCATGGATAAGGAGCGAGAGCGTGAAAGAGACCGTGATAGAGAAAGGGAGCGAGACCGAGAGCGCGATAAAGATCAAGGCTATAGAACTAGACGTTCGAAATCTTTAGATAGAAGTTCAAGGTTAATATTAAATACAAAAAATCAAAACATTGTACTTAAATTTCTTCCATTTTAGGTCAAGATCTCTTTCTCCTCCCGTCAAAAGGTATAGATCACCTCAAAACACTAAAACACACAGTGTTCACGAAAAGTAAGTAGAAATTATGGCCTTAAATTTGATTTGATTTGAACAAGCAATTCTAACACCCATTTACATTTAGGCATCAACACCACTACCATCAGAAATTTAGACTGGATGAACAACAAGAAGAAGGGTTTGAAAGGTACATTTTACTTTATAAATCAAAGTTTTTTGTCAGTTACTAAGAGATTAATACAATTTTAGGCAAAGAAGGGATTCTAATAGGACATTGACAAATCCTCCAAAGTCTTTGGATCCCAGAGGAGGAAGTAGACAACATATAGACCACGAGGACAAGAATATGGAACTCCGGTAAGATTGATCTTTAAATATTTGTTATTTGAAAATTATTAATTCTGCATTTTTTAAGGAGACCCTATAACATAAATGATGAAAACTCGGAACCACCGCCTCCAGGCTTTGAAGTGCAATCATCACGTAATCCATTCCACAGCAATAATACTTCTCCGCCGCCGGCTGCTATAAGAGAAAGAGATCGACCGTTACGTAACAACACTCCAGATCTCTACGAAAAATGTGTCTCACAAGATATGGAAGAAAACAAATTGTATAATATTGGCAGCAAAAGTGATCAGAGATCGGGAAGCAGGTCCCGCACTCGTTCCAGATCTCGTTCGCGATCGAGCTTAAGATTAAGTGAGAAACGTCGAAAGGTTCATAGGAGTATGACACCGAAAGGAAAGCCAAGCGATGGACACACTAAACGGGAAAAGGATAATACTTTAACTACTAGAAGTCACTCACACAGTAAGCGTAAAAGCGAAGAGCGACACAGTAAAAAGGACAAGGAGCTAAACGACCATGAGTCAAAGCGACGCAGTATGACACCACCCAGACAAAAAGATACGCTAAGTGACCAACATCAAACATCTTCTGAAACCGATCACAAAGAAAAGTCAGAAAGCAAAAAATCTGACAAAAAACTTAAGGATCGTAAGAAGAAACGAAGAGAAAAGAGCGAGCGTAAAAAGGTCAAAAAAGAAAAGAAATCCAAAAAGGAACGCCACAGGCTTAAGTCAGAAGATGCGAGCAAAGATGATGAAAACGACGAACATAATACTAGCACTAATAGTGCTGAAAACCAAAATGAGCAGGAAAACAAATTAGAAAAGGAATTTAAGGAACATCAGAAAGAGGACTTCGAAGAAGAGGGTGGCGAGTATCACAGTATAGAAAAAGTTTTAGGCAATAATTCTACACCAAAAACTGAACAAAATGGTTCAGTTGTACATCAGGGTGAAAGCACTCCTAAGAACCAGCAACCAACGACAGAATACGAAGAGAAAACTCCTACGTCATCGGATATAAAGTGTTTCGATGCTGTTCTAGATATTCACGAATACGAAACCGATTTTGATGACAACAGTTTCAAACTGCAGGAGAGCGCAAATAAACTTGTACCCGAAGCATCCAAATGGGAACTGGAAGACCAGGTTGGTGCAGCAAACCAGTATAATGAAGCCAACACAGACGGTGCCCATACTCAGAACAATGCGGACAACAAAGTAACAAATGATGTAATTGTACGAGCTGAAAAGGCCATTTTTGCGCGAGCTATTAACGCTATTCGTCCTCTAGAAGTACGTAAAAAATCTTTATCTAAAGAAAGATCCTCCAAATGCTATAGTGACGATCACGAAAGCATTCGTAATATACAAATAACTTTGCCTGTAAATATCAATAAAGATCGTTCGGTCGAAGTAAAAACTGAGAACAATGAAAAGAAGAAATCAATTAAAGATCGTTTAGGCAGTAAGATAAGTCAACCGATTTATTCACAGCTTGCAGATACCCGAAGAGATCCGGAACACACGTACAAATCGAGCTATGCCAATGCCGATCGCGACGCAGACAGTGATCGGCGAAAGAAGATTAGTACGGATAGTAAAGTCAGCAGCAAAAAGAGTGAAATCGACAAAAACTACCGTGAACGTCATGGAAAAGATAGGGACAGGGAAAGAAGTCATGACAAGGAAAAAGCAAGAGAAAACAAAGATAGAGATAAAGACAGAGAACGGGAAAGGGACAAAGATAGAGATAAGGAGAGGAACAGGGAAAGAGACAGAGAACGTGAAAGAGACAGGGACAGGGAGCGTGGTAAAGATAAAGAACGCGAGCGACATAGGGATAAAGATAACATAGATAAGGATAGAGATCTTGATAAAGATAGAATTCGTGAACGTACTCGAGACCGTCACGGTCATGAAACCGATATTGACCGCACCAGACTAAATAGCAAAAGTAGGGATCAAAAAACTTCGAAAACTGATAAAGCCCATCATAGTTCTGAGCGAGAACATCGCGAATACGAGAGTACTTCACGTAAACGACATCACTCAACTTCACCCGCTGTTGTCCAAAGAAAACGAAGTCCTTCCTCCTCAAATTCCGATTCAGATGATGAAGATCGCAAGCGTAAACATTCAAAAAGTGACAAAAAATCACGCAAACGATCAGAGTCCCCGGACAGCGATGGCGGCAAAAAGTCAAGCAAAAAGAAAAATAAATCAGATAAGAAAAAGAAGAAGAAGAGCAAGAAATAAAAGGAGTCGTGGAATGATTTTTCGACATGAACAACCACAACTCAAATTACCATATAAATACATACACACATAAATGCTCATATTCAGCATTTACATAAAAAAACAAAAACACATACAAATGAAATTTATAAAGTACATATATACATATATAATTTAATAAATATATATATATATTTAAATTACCTATTAAGGAAATTTAATTTTCTTTTTAATAAAAACCAACTAATGAGAAAAATTAAAAAAAAAAAAAAACATAAAAAAGTAATCTGTTTCTTTATTTTCCTATTCTAAGTTAGATAATTTCATTCTTACTAGAAAAACTGTCTTTTTATTGAATAAACCATGAACACTTTATATACATATTTCACAATTTATTGTATATACATTTAGAATTAATTAATTAAATTAATTACATAATAATAAAATTTATACATAAGTATGGAGTATATTATCCTCTGTCAATTTTAAGGGGATCGATGAAATTGGTTTCTAAAATAAAATGAAAATATCAAAACAATACAAATATGTATGTACATGTATGTGTGTATGTACATTAAAGTGGTTCAAGTTAATTCATGATTTTGACTTTCCAATATTGATAATATTTAATGGTAATGAAATTAAAATTATATGTCTTATATCTTTTCAATAAATTCTTTCTAAGAACACTTCAAAAAAATTTTATTTTGCAATAATACTGTATCTAATCTTAATATTGTAGTCTCACTTTTTCAATTTTGAAATTGTCATTAATTAATTAATGAACCACCCTAGTGTACATATTTATGGGATTGTGATCAAGTACATACATACATATGTGTGTATTCTAAACGTACCAATTTTTCTGTTTGTATTATTTTATTTGATGTTTCATATCCCTTGATCGTAAGACAATCTTCAAGGAAAAATAAAATTCCAACTAAAAATGAAAGGCTGCCTAATATGTATGCATTGATTCTAATATCTTCTGGCACATATTCTACCGAATAGAATACCATTATGCCTATAAAATGAAAAATAATTTAAGATTAAAATTTTATTGAAATTTCAAAAATATGTACCATGCACCAAACACAACATTAAAACATTTTTAAAAAAATTCACTAAACATTTTGTTCTTCAATATGTATTGAATTAAATTATAATACAAACGGAGTTTGAAAAATTCTTCATAATTTTAAATTGTCTAAATCATATATCAACTAACCTTGTATGAAAAATATAATTACACCGAAACGCAAGAACAATGTATCCGTTGTAGTTGATGCTTTCTTAAAATTGATCATTCTGGAATTTCATGTTGTATAATAAGATAACCTTGCAAAAGCAACACTATATACACCAAACAATTTTCCACAATATACATACCGGTCCAATAGACAAACCGCAATTATAAAGGTGTAGCCAGCATAAGCAAATATACTAAAGTCATTACCCTCTGCTGACCATGTAACATTTTGCAAAAGATTCCATTCGTTTGAAGTTTTTTGATTTATTTTCGAAATCATATGCGCCTTATTGTCCGTAATTTTTTTAAATATTATTGCTCCTATACACACAATCTAAAGAAAAAAATTATGAAGAATATGATAATGATAATAAATAGTGCATTATTAAGTCTAGGAAACACGTACTAGTTGTAAAATCTTAAAGCTTATATTTCGCCCTGACTGTGTCATTTCGACTAACAAATTATACTAAATAAGTTCTAGCAAATGACATATGTACAAAGTTTTAAGACTTTAGTTCCCAAAACCTTTGGAAGTTGAAGCTTTTCTCTAAATGCAATTGTTTATATTTTCCCACAAATTAAATTTTATTGTCGTAAAACAAACAAAAACACAAGGGAAAGAAGGTTTGCATAAAATACATGCATACGTATGTATGTACTTACACAAATTTGCGAGGTGGCAAAGCAAAATTCTATTGTTTTTAATAATTATCTGATTTATTTTACTGTAAAATAACGTACATATTCACTTTTTAGATAATTTTACTTAATAGGTTTAGTATTATTGTTGTTGTTGCAAACATCTGTGCGTTTGTTTTTAATTATTAAATTGCCTAAACATACTGATCCATGATTTATTTTTTGCGTTCCATTAAAATTTTTCTATATATCTTTTAAATCCATATGTACATAGTTAAAAAAACAACCAGAAATTTTAACAAAATTTAATTACTTTTCTTTATTGTCTATATATTATAACAAAATAAGTTTTGTCTTAGTCACAGTTTTATTACGTTAATATATAGTTTGAACGTAATTATTTATGACTAGGACGGACTTACTGATTGCATACAAATTATATTTTTTAATTTTTTACTAATAATTTAAAATCTATTAGATCTAGGATGTTTTTGATTTTTTCTGTTCTTTGGCCGAGAACAAAGTTTTTGGATAAGCCTCCGTAAAGATAATAGTACCAGTAAATACTAAAATTGTACCAATCCAATGATAAAGGGTAAATGAATTTTTAAAGTAGAGAATGGAAAATAGCAAAGATACAAATTTGCGTAAAGTAACAACCAACGTAACGGTCAATGAACTGCATTCAGCTGTTAACACATAAACCGAGCTAATACAGACATACTGGGTAATCATATTGCAGATTAAATAAAATATTTGTTCAGGAAAGTATGTGTTAACTCCGGCTACAACAAGAGCATCGCTGGTGGCACATATCACTAAATGATCCCAAATGTTTTTGCCCAATAACATAAAGCCGGGCAATGGCAAAAGATGCTAAAATAAAAACATTAGTTTGAAAAGGAATAAATATATTCAAGGCTTTTAAAATTTACCGTGTAGTACAAAGCTTCTCTTGATCTTTTTCCAAATTTCTTGTACAATACTTCTTGATATATGCCCATACACGCCGATATTAATAAAGCAACTGTTAGAATACCAATGCCAACACACCACCAAAACACTACCGAATATTTGTCCTCAACTGTATTATCTTTAAATTTGGGATTACTTGTGTCCTCCTAAAATATATAGAAAATGATATTAGAGATCTTAAAATAACAGAGATTTCATACCGAATACTACTTCTACTTACAACTTTTGTTGCTGAAACCAATGTACAGGTAATAATACCAACAGTAATCAGGACTACCGATAGATATTTGGAAAAACCATAACGTTTCTTAAGTATCAAAATACCCATAATCATATTAGCCATTAAAGAGCCCTTGAAAGAAAAATCAAAAGTAAAAACATATATCACGCAAAATATCATCTCAACACAACTTGATAAATGGTTATTCAATTGGTTATTCAAAATTTGTATCTTAAGTTTTAATATCACTCAGATAAAAGAGCTCAGATTTTAAAATGATATGGTTAGTTATGATTTTTCAAAATTTACCGCTCTAAATATCATATGCAAAGGCATAGGAATATTAAAGTTGAAAGCATAATTATTACAAACACTGGTAACGAAAAACATAAGCACTAAAATGGCATAGTCCTTAAAGCCAATTACGGGTTTAACCGTGCCAAATTTCGAAGTAAATATATAACCCTCCACGGCTATGAATAAAAATTGTGAGAAAGTAATAAGATTTCCAGCACCGGCATCATGTCTGCATAATTAACAAAAAGTGAATTATTTAATATACCTTATAAAGTTGAAAACATACTTTACTAAAAGTTCCAAAAATATCACATTACTACAACACCCAATGAATACACCCAGCACTGCGGACCAAGCCTTTAAATTCATATCTATTTAGCTTTGTTATAACTTAGTGCGGGCTGAAATTAGAAAAAATATATACATATGTATATTTGATTAGTAAGCGAACGTGAATGAATATCCAGTATTTCTTATTTTAAATGTCCCACACAATGTTGCATGTGCAACAATTGCTTTAACCTAAAATATAAGTGTATGTACATTTAGTTTTGTTAGAGCTTAATATTGATAATGAGGATTATCTCTTATTGTACGCAAGAAGTAATATGTATTTTCTTAATTTAATTCTATACAATGCGGATCAATGAAATGAGAGAATCACAGTTCTCAGTTGAGGGTCAATCATGATTCAGCAAATAATCTAAGTAGTATATCTGATAACATTGTAGTATTTGTTTATTGTAATCAACTAGTATCCGACCATGACTTTGTTAATTTATATGAATTGTCATTCAGTCTATTAGTTAGTCAGTCAGTCCTTCAGTCGCTTATCTTAACGGTCTTTCTCTATGTAATTATTCAAAATAACGTTTTAAAAATAAAACACTTATAAAAATAACAATTACGCCAGACTTATGTAATTCATAGAAATTTATTTTAAACAACTTTAAAATGTAGAAAAATTATAAACACTTATTTAATAAAATAATTGATCAAATTATTTAATTTATTCTAACACTCCCGCACGAATACTAATAAATTTTTTGCTAGTTATAAATGCAATGAAAGTATGCGATTAACCCAATGAGCGAAAAATAATATGGATTACATTATTTTAAGGGTTTGGTTTAGAAAGAACTGTTAATTTTTAATTTAATTTACACTTTATTTAAATATTATTCCAAAACAGTTTAAAGAATTTAATTAATTACATTTTAGTGTCACTGTGATTTCTTGTTCTCCAATAAAAACAATTATTTTATTGATGACAAACTGAACACTACCGGTTATTTTACCTTTCAAAGAAAAAGTAATAGAATAAATTGTCAAATTATGTTAGTTGGCAACTCACAAATAATACCAGTATGCGTATTACAATTCTAAAATTTTTTGATAATTTTATTACAAAAATACTTACTTGATATTTTTACTTATAATCACATTTCACAACATAAATAGAAAAGAATTAGTGTTGCTAAAAACAAGTTTAGATACACCCCACCTAATTGTAAACATTTTGCACGAACTTCCGAAATAAACTATAAACATTTTTTACTGTTAATATCTAACAAAAAGTTTAACCGTGTAAACAAGCCTCCAACAATTATTTACTTTTCCTACTAGAATCAAATTGGCAACGCCATATTGACAACTTGATGTCAAAATTGTTTGTTTAAAAATCGTGGACCACAAAATATAATTATTACAGAAATAAAACAAAAATAATAATAATAGAAAAATGGCTAATATGCTAAATGAAAATTTTGAATTATTAAAACAATTATTTACCGATTGTTTGAATGCCAAGAACAACATAAAGGATACGGTTAGTGTAATGTTATTTACTTTTTTACGAGAATATGCGTTTGATAATGCTATTGTTTTTGCAGAAAGTTGATCTGGATGAAAAGTTGAAAATCGGATCCTTGGAATTTGTAGTAATAAAGAAAATAAATCGTTTGGTTAAATATAAAGTACGCTCTGGCCGTGAGGAGTTACAAGCACAGAAAACTTTAGTCGACTGCAATCGTTTGCATTTACAAAATCTTTTATACGAAGTCAACTATTTAAAACGGGAAATAAAGCATTGCTACAGGTTTAAAAGTCAAGATGAAGACATTGACATCTATGAGCAGAGAATTGACTCTGTTCCTGAATCAAAATTGAGTCATAAAGATCGAATTGAGCGTTTGGAAAGAGAATTAAATTTGCGTAAAAAGTTGTCGGATGATTGCAACAAACTGTTGAATGATAAAAATATGGTCTTCAATCAAATTATTGTAAAAATGGAAAATTTGTCAACATTTGCTCCTTCTCTGCGCACGCTTTTGAAAGCTACTCGTCCACTGCAGGAAGCATTACAAATGCCCATAGAACAAAAATGGAAATTGGAGCAGAAGGTACACATGTTGCCGGAACCATTGTATTTGGCTTACGTAAATTTACGGGCAATAGAGCAACTAGAAGGAGGATTTGATCTAGTTGTTCTGGGACAAGAAGATGAATTGAAAACGTATGAAATGAAGAAAAATGAAACAAGTTCCCTTCAAGATCAATCGTCCTTTCTTCAACCTCATCCGCTTTCTCTTCAAATTAAGGTATTGTCTGCAAAATTATTTTTTTATGAGTATTAGTAATATCTTTTTTAACAACAGTTCACAGATGCAAGTTTTCCAAATGATTATATTGCAGTTAAAGTATATTATTTGCCATTACTTGAAATTGTTACTGGTCATTGCGAGATCTATTTGAATGAAAATCAAATAAATCATTCGGAAAGTAATGTTTTACAAGATTTTCTGAAGTTTATAGGAGAAGACGATATGGGCGATTCGCTACCATATTCTACTGCAACTTTAAATGTAAGTTTTTCTACATATATGTATACATATCAATAAATTTCGATTCTTTAAGTTTTTAGAAAAAAATTTTTTTGGTAATTTTTTTCGCAAAATTTTGAATTTTTTACAAAATATCGATTTTTTAACTTATATAATAACGATTCTTTCCTAGAAATCTGATTTAAAAAAATTCGATTTTCAACAAAATCGGATTTTTCTAGCAAATTTAGAATATCACATAAAAAACTTAAATTAACTGTAAATTATTTTATATATATCTAGCTTCAAAATCACAACATAACTTTGGATGAATTTTATAAAAAAATAGCTAAAAATAATTTGGGGAAGCCATACCGTTGGCTTCAACATTTATGTGGAAATACATCGTTTAACAGTGTTAAAAACAATCACAATAAGATTTTAAAATTAAAAGATTTCACATCCGATTGTGTGAAAAAAATAAAAAGTTATTGGAATTCTCGTTTAATATTGATAACACAAATACGGTCTTTTATGAATAAAAACCTCGATGAATATATTGACACTAAAGTGGGATGTACAAAACCGAATTGTGCATTGGTACAGTGGTCGGCAATTTCATGGGAGGAATATGAAGGATCTGAAACGACACAACAACTAATAAACCAGAAACTGGCTGACGAAACCTGTAGTTTTTTTAGAGCTGTTATAGTACTGAGTTCGGCAAAAATGGAATGTCTTATTAGTATTTCCAATAAATACCCCGTCAACATACCTTTGTGGACAATTACAGTGCATTGGAATGGTCATCACAATGCATTGAATAATTCCTCGATTAAGGCATGTTGGTTGTTAAATATGTTGTGAACTTTTAATAACATTTTTTTATTTTACATTTTAGATAATGGAACTATATACAAACTCTTTAAATGATTCCAAGCCACCATCTTTAAATCTATTGGCAAAACAATTATTACGTACTATGTATAGCTTTGATATATTCCTCGAAACAGAGGGACCTCTTTATCAGCCACTAGAGTACAACAAAGAAAAGAGTTTTATAAAATCGTTTTCCAAACGTATTCGCGTGAGACCATATAAAAAAATCACCAAGGGTTCTATTAACTATTTTAAGCAGTAATAGTTACGGAGAATAACTTTTATTCTAATTATCCTCCTCTTCTTTGGTAATTATAATAATTTTCTATTCATCGAAAAATAAAATACGTAAAAAAGCATTTGATTTAATTTATTAAAAAAAACTACTGTATCTTGCACGTAATACGAATATCTAATAATTTTTTATACGTCAATCGTTTACAAAATAATGAAAAATTATCGTCAGTTGCAACAAATTTTATTTGGACATCGTAATCTAAGGCGATTATTTTGTGCGAAAGTAAATATGTATAAGATTAGTTATGATGTATTTAAAATATATAAAATTGTTTTTTTTTTTTTTTTGTGTAAAATGTTTTTGAAGGTCATAAAATCGTCAACGTTACAAGATGAATGTAAGGATTGTACAGAGAAACTAAATCAAATAGTTCCGTTATTTAAAAAGGGCTTAATGTTTGCCGATAAAGTTTGTATAACGGATTTTAATGGTCAATACACTTATATGCAATTATATGCTAACTCGAAAAGACTATCTAGGCAAATTTCCAACATATGTGGTAATAAGTTTGTTTTGGAAAATTGTTTTAAGTTAAGTAATTATTACTTTAGGTAGTGGCTCCGGTTCATCCATAGCTTTCTTTTATTCTAATGATGTATTGACGGTGCTAATTTTATGGGCGATATGGATGTCAGGACAAACAGCTATGGCTCTGAAGCGTGATCTTGGAGAAAATTTACTTGTCAGTTTATTTAAAACAAATAAAACAAGGCTTATTATATCTTCGGATAAATATGAAAATTGTAGTTGTAAAATAGCTTGTGACAATAGCATTCCATTGATAAAAATAGACCACAAGTTTCTTCAAACTGATCAAGAAAACCAAGAGAATAGTAAAATTTTGGCTACTCGGAAGAAGGCATTTTTCGAAGGAGTTCTATTTAATGATTTTTATAATAACTCGGCTGCACTGTGTATCTACACCGATAAAAGTGAAGAAACCACCAGAATTACATTGCTGTCTCATAAACATTTAAACGCTCAAATAAGAAAGGCAGTACAAGCACTGAATATATCTGGTAACGAAAGAATACTTTATATTTGCCCATCGTCTCATAGCTCCTATGTTGGATACATATTTAATATGTTGTTTCCGTTAAGTGTGGGGAGTCATGTTTTTATATTAGAACCATTCGATGCCAAGTCTGCTTGGAGCACTATCTTAGGCCTAAATATACCTTTAAAGGAGCGTGTCGACATAATGATTGCCGAACCAGAAGTTTATCAACTTTTGATACAAGAATATAATAACATGTTTACAGGAGACCATCAAATGATAGAATATATAAAGGATTACTGTCAACGCAATATTCGTCTAATGATGTCGTGCTTAATGTCTTTAAATTCTTCAATATTTTCTACTTGGCTTGAGATCACAGGACATTCGCTACTAGAATGTGATTTCCTAAATGATTATTTAAACTCAAGAACAAGTAAGGATTATCCTGACACTATCTCCAAAAATCATTTTAGAAGGCTGCGTATAGTCGATGCGAATGACAATGTTTTGTTGGAACTAGATGACTTCCAAAGATTCCGAACATCACATACACCAATAATCGGACGCCTTTTGATAGCAAAAGCTTCAAATGAAACTTTCCACTACACTGGTGAAATAGTCGCCTACTGCAATGGTGTTTTTATGAAAGTTGGTCGTTATCATTATCGTTCAAACTGATTGATTTTTGCAATCAAGTGCACTTTAATAAATGTATTTGTTTGCTTTTTCTGATTATAAAAATGACTAATTGTCTGATAATAGGGCAAAGAAAGAAAAACAAAAAAGAAAATGACTCACGATTGAATGAGTCACTGAATAACAAACTTTCTCACATATTCGTATTTATCTCTTTTGGGGAGAGAACCATCCAAATTTTAGAAAAATAAAAAAATAAATTTTACAATTTGTAAAGGGGTAATTTTTAGTGTTTTTTTGTTTAATTTTTATTATTATTTATAAAAAGCTGAAATTCAATGTTTCATTATTTCTGCTTCAAAATACAAATATTGTGTTGTGGTTGATGTAATTTTATTGGATTGGGTGGTAGAGTGGTGTTAATAAAAAAAGCATTCATCTTACTGACGGTCAGTGGCGCGCAATTTTTCCTCGACCGCTTCGCGGGAAGCTTCAGATAAGTCGGTAGCTTGTATGTATTTTTGGACACCGACAAGAGACTTTTTCAAGGCATCGAAGGAGCTGGAGTACAACATCTTCTTCTTGACCTATAATTTTATAGAAAAACAGTTATATTTTTTCTCAACCTGTTTGGTTAAATTGTTTACTTACTTTGGCAGTATCAGGGCACCAGGACATAAGGAAAAGCTTTTGTTTTTTGGAACTTTCTGAGGTACCTTGACATTGGTGCATGTATTCAAAATCAAAGAGACCATAACTTTAAGAAAAAACAAAATAATGAATTAACTACTTGTTTTTAAGATTGAGTGTTTGTTGTTGAACTTACCGGCACTCTCCGGGACCGCACTTTTGAATATCTTCCAAGAATTGGTCATATTCAGCATTACGCTCACCCACAGTCTCTACATCGATTTGTTTCTCATCACGAATGTAAAAGATAACATATCTATGTTTTTTGTCCTTCTTGATTTCTTCGTATGTAGTTTTGCACACATCAGATACGGTGACTCCTGATGCCTATGGAAGGAAAAAAATATCGGAATACTGTTAAACCACGCCCAATGCTGCAGAACATATACACCCCAAAATGTAAAAGAAAAAAATATACCGGCCGCATAAGAGATCACGTCTACCATATATGTACAAATATATATACATACATATGTACATATATATATTTTTTAAAGGCATTGGCAAATTAACATTTTACAAGCCACATTATGTACAACTTTCTACCTAACAAATTTATTCTTTTTTACATTTATCACATCATTTATTTCCTCGGTTCCAAAAAGATATAAAAAAGAATTTCTTTTTTAAAGCTTTTTGCAAAAGCCGTGAATGATAATTTCGCCATTTTTTATTATTGCAAAATGGTGAGACGCCTCTCACTATACTCTCTCCCTCTCTATTTGATGCGATACATTTCTGACCTTATAAGGCTATTTATAAACGGCGTGTGGTCGTCGTCTAATTTATGAATTTCATATAAAAATATATATGGATATACATATATTTTTAGATGGTATAACCTCTAAAAATTAATTTTAAACAACTTTTTGGCCATTTTTCGATGGGACCGTAGCATTGTTAAAAGGCATGTCTCTTTTTTTCCATTTGTCGGCAGCAGTATGTATAACAATATTGTTTGCATGTGTGTGTAACTTTTGCCGTCTATATACATTGCCATTTTTACCGATTTCTTGCTTCCTTTTGGTCGTTTTCTTCGTTGGATAATTTTTACATTTTGGAGAGAATTTGTGGATGCAATGATAAAAGTTATGGTTCCAGCAAAAGTTTTTCCTTACCATTTTTAAAAAATTTGGGTGTAGACGATGCGAATTTAAAAAATGCGACGAACTTGCAGCGTGTATACGCTAAAAAAATTTCTGGCAGACTGACGCACAGAATACAGAGAGTTGACAGAGGTGAAACTGAACCCCGCAAAGAAAGCGAGAGGGAAGATGAAAACCAAACAGTGCTGACAAATTTAACAAAACAACAAAGAACTTGGCAGCACACTTTTTTTCAATGTGTCATGTTGCCAGAGCTGCCAGTTACTTTATAAAATCAATATACATACTAGACAATTTTTATTTTTCAAACCCATAAAACAATATAAGATGTCTTTCGAATGAAATATATGTAAAATTACTAAAAAAATAAAAAAAAACTATTTTATGAAAACAATTTTATTAAAAAATTATAACATATTATCTATAACTAACTATTTGTTGTTTTTGTTTTCAAAATAAGAGTAAATAAAATAATTATTAAATTTTGCAGATTATTTTAAAAAGTGTTAAAAATATTTAGCTGCCATCTACTGGATATTTTTCATATTTAGTTTCGTGTTTGTTTAGAATCTCTGATGAAAAGAAAACATCTTTGCAACTCTGTTGTCAATTCTTGGACGGCGATATTTATTTTGTTAGTCTTTGTACTTTGGTGTTAAAAATCTGGACAAAAAAGAAAAAAGTTGACAAATGTGAAATAAGAAAAAAATGTCTGAACTTTGTGGTAAATATCATTAAAGCTATTTTTATTATGCCCAACATTTGGGTACGATGGCTAGGGCCAAAAAGATTAACGCCTACATGTGTAAATATGTCTATTATTGGCAAGAAATTTACCCCCTGTCACCCTCGTACTTATACTATACAAAGAGAAAGATTTCGATTTGGGAACTATATTGAGGTCACCGCTTTGGCCTTTCGTATGGAGAGCTACTTTTCAAACATTGTGATCCAAGTCGTCAGACTTGAAGAGTGGGAGAATATGTCTGATTCCGTTGGAACTTTTTTATATGCTCTTACGAGTAAAAGGCGTGTCTGTGTACATCTGTCAATATGATGGACATGTAACCATTAGTGGACCGAACTAAAGCCGCTAGTCTTGTTATTGGTTGATGAGTAATAGACTCCAATATAAAATCATTCTGCTTATTTTTCAATATTTCTTACTGTTATTGAGTTTTTGTTTATGTTTATTGTTTCTTCACCTAGAATCTCTTGAAGAATCGTGTACTAGGCGCTTAAAGTTACTCGAATCTGTCATATTGGAACATGGCATGTCCCAGGGCATGCTCTTGGTGGCTGACAATAAGGATAGCGAAGATGAAATCTTACCACCGCATGGCAAAGCGATTTCAGTTGAAACATTGCTGGATGCACTACTCTTGCTCTACGATGAATGTTCAAACTCCTCGTTAAGAAGAGAAAAGACGGTATCCGATTTTATTAAAATAGGTGTGTGTGCGTTTAAGTATTGAAAATAACAATGGTTAAATTGATTTTATTATTTTATTTATTTTTTTATAGCCAAACCTGTGGTATCTTTAGTTAAAAAGTTACGCCTATCCCGGGATGATTTTGAAATTATAAAAATTATTGGCCGAGGTGCCTTTGGGGAGGTGTGTGTAGTTCGTATGATCAGTACCCAAAAAATATATGCCATGAAAATCCTTAATAAATGGGAAATGTTAAAAAGAGCAGAAACAGCTTGTTTTCGAGAGGAGCGCGATGTTCTGGTATACGGTGACCGTCAATGGATAACGAACTTACACTACGCCTTCCAGGATGATACGAATTTAGTAAGTATATACATGTGACCGATGAATATTAAAGAATCCCCTAAAAATATGCTCTATTTTTTAGTACTTAGTCATGGATTACTACTGTGGAGGAGATCTGTTAACGCTACTCAGCAAATTCGAAGATCGTTTGCCAGAAGACATGGCAAAATTCTATATTGCCGAAATAATATTGGCTATTCACAGTATCCATCAATTACGATATGTCCATCGGGACATCAAGCCAGATAATCTGGTTATTGATGTAAATGGACACATACGTTTGGCCGATTTTGGATCATGTTTGCGTCTGGGAAATGACGGCAAAGTTCAGTCCAATGTGGCTGTGGGAACCCCTGATTACATTTCACCGGAAATTCTTCGAGCAATGGAGGATGGACAGGGTAGATATGGTGCTGAGTGCGATTGGTGGTCGTTAGGAGTGTGTATGTATGAAATGCTTTACGGCGAGACACCCTTTTACGCTGAAAGTCTAGTCGAGACTTATGGAAAAATTATGAATCATCAGAATTGTTTTGATTTTCCGCCGGAAGAGAGTACGCACAAGGTCTCAGATTCTGCCAAAGATCTTATAAAACGACTTATATGTGCTCCTGAATTTCGCTTAGGCCGAAATGGTCTAGAAGATTTTAAATCACATCCTTGGTTCGAAGGAGTCGATTGGGATCACTTGAGATTGGGCCCAGCTCCATATGTACCCGATGTTTCAAGTCCAACAGATACGTCAAATTTCGATGTAGATGACAATACAATAAGGCATTCTGAAAGCGTACCACCAACCTCGAATCCGGCATTTTCAGGCTTTCACCTCCCGTTTGTTGGTTTTACATTTACACAGAACAGCTGTCTCTCCGATTTAGGTAAACTCGATATAAACATACTTGGTACTCGAAAAGAAAGTAGCGAAGGCATCGATATTTCGTTCTTGAATACTCTCAAACAGGAGCTACTAAGCGAAAAGAATTTGTCTCCCGAATCCACACGACAAATTTTGAACGAAATCAAAATGTTTAGCAAAAATTCACAAGGAATTGAGGGCAGCAGATCTGTGGGAGATAAAGAAACCCAATCATTAAATACGGAATCTCTAGAGCTCGATAGCACATCGAAGGCTCAACTGCAAGAACTCGATAAGGAGATTATCGAACTAAAGCGTGAAAAATTAGAATTAATAAAGGAGTATAACGATGCTATGGAACGCATAAAACAACAGGATTCAGAATTAAAAGATGCAATAAGCCAAAGAAATCTAGCAATGATGGAGTATTCAGAGGTAACAGACAAACTTTCTGAACTTAGAAGTCAAAAACAAAAGCTTTCAAGACAGGTAAGTTAAAACAAAGAAATCTTCGACGAGTTTACATACCAGTCGGGTTAAGAGCTGACTTGTACGGAAACATAAGTATGAAACTACATTGCGCTAAAAATTTTATCTATTCAACATAATAGGTACGAGATAAGGAAGAAGAACTCGAGACTGTTATGAAAAAGATAGACAGCCTGCGACAGGATCTTAGAAAATCGGATAAAAGTCGTAGAGAGCTTGAAATGCGCATTGAGGATGCGCTGACCGACATTGCAACAGAGAAAAAGCAAAGAGAACGCACGGAAGAATTTTGTCGTCAATTACAGGATGAATTGAATAAAAAGAAGAATTCAGATGTCTCATATGCTGGATCCAATTTCAATTCTGACGCATCTCGTTATGAAATCGAACGCATTGAAATACAATGTACCGAAAAGTTAAACCAGCAACAGGCCAGATATAATCTGGAAATCTCAGCTCTAAGAGAGCAACTAAAGGAGGCCGAAAAATATCAGGAGACTCTCCTTAACGAA